TATCACTAAATGACTATTGAAATTAATTAATTAGAATATGCCAATACGGCAATACCATATTTCAGAATACCAATAAGTAATCTATCTATATATCTATATATCTATATATAATATAATAATATATAACATATAATATATAATTAAAAATAAACTTATTTGGTAAGCAAATTTAAAATGGAAACCCTAATTTTATAGGTATTGGTAATTGGTAATTAGTAATAATATAATAAAAATCATAATTGTTACCTTAGTCATATCTAAACACCTATATATACATCACATTCTCTTCAATACAAACAATACCAAGTTACAAATAAGGGAATATTCTCTGCTGCATAGTAATGGTGTAGAGAACATGGAGCTTCGAGAAGAGGAGGAACAAGACCCATATTCTTTGCGTGAGGTGTGGCCACCGAAGCTTCCATATCCAGAAGAGCCGCTACACCACACTTGCACATTTGGTAAATCTCTGTATCATTTTTCAACTTTTTTTTTTTTTTTTTGATAAAGAATAGAAAATTATACCATTGCTGAAATTTAAATTCTATCTACATATATTATATAAACTATGAATATATTGATCATATGTATAAGCTAATCCAGGGGTAAGTTAGTTAAACATAAATATTGAGTTTAATATTGTTTCTTTCAATTTTTATTGTTTTTTAAGACCTGAAAAATTATATGACATACAAAAATAGTTTATAACATATATGTTTATAATAATTTTGATGAAAATAGTCCAAAACATATATGTTTACCTCCTGATTTCCAGTACCATCAACCTTTTATGCATAAGGTTTGTGCTTAAGGGCAGGTAATGCACTTTTCACTTCATCTTCTTCATCATCAATCTGGACGAGTTTTCTCAACCCATTAAAAGATATTTCTCTAATATCTTATCTCAACCCATTAAAAGTTATTTATTAATTATTAGTGGACTTTGTGCAAGATTAAATAATGCACTATTCATAGTGATAGAAAAAAAACTGACCATATGATTATTAGTGGACTCTGAGCAACCAGATCTGCAGGTTCATTTGCATGAGAGGGGACACCATTGAATGAGTTTGGACTATTAGGGTTTGTTTACCAACTTGGAGAAATGGAGAAGTGGAAAAAATAAAAATTGGAGAAGTTGTTTACTAAATATCTTCTTCAAATGCTTATTCGTTCTTCATTTTCCACTTCATGTATATTTTTGGAGAAAGAAAATTTAAACTTCTTCAAATAGAGGGATGGATATACATGCGTGAACAGTACACTTGGCCAAGAGGTTGTTGGTTTGAGTCCTACTCTGTGCGTTTGCTTTAGTTTTGCCTTTGCTTCACTTTTTGTTTGCTGCTTCAGTTTTGCCATTGCTTCATTTTTTGTTTGCTTTGCGCCATTATTATTATTATTATTATTATTATTATCATCTTTGTTGTAGAAATGTAAAAATGCTATATGGGATTATTGTATTTAATAAAATCAGAAAATAAGAGAAATGAAGAACTAGATGAATGGGGAATGAAAATTGGAAAATTGGAAAAATGGAAAACTTAAAGAATGGGGAAGGAAAACTGGAGAAATGGAAAAATGGAAAACTGAAAATGAAAAAACAGAGAAAAGAAGTAAACTATCCCTTAATATTTCTTTTTTCTGTTGTGATGGCTCTCCCAGTACCAATAGGAGTAACACAAGGATTTGGAGCCCTGACAATGTGTTGAGGACCAGGAGTGGTGCTCCTTGACAAAAGCCTAAAGCAGCATCATATGAATATGATGTGGGTGACGCAACGTGTTGCACAGCAAATGAAACTTGAGCATTTGTTGCAGACCTTAAAGGATCTAAGGATGAATAATCGTGATGAAAATTAGGAAATTCAGTTTTAGCTGAAGCCAAGGAATCACCACTATCATCATAGTAACTGTTCAGGAAATAAGAAGTTACATTCATATGCAAGCATAGTTGAGATTAAAATTTTCCTCTTTATTTTCAATGTAGTATACAGAAGAAAAAAAAATGGTCCATACGCATGAATAGTTGAAAAAAAGGTACAAAAGTTTTAACTTAAGTCTCAAATTGAACAATTTTTCCTTGAACTTATATGGGTGGAATGCCCGGAGATACATAACATTCATCAGGAATTACTTAAAATCATTAATCCAACTACCACATTTCCCACAAAATACAAAGTGAGACAACAGAGTAAAAAAAAAAAAAAATATTAAGTAATGCACCCGTATTTAGTAAAAAAAAAAATAAATTATAAGGCATATCAAAACTCAATGAAATAAGGCAAATAGGGAAGAGAGCTAACATGAAAACTAGAAGACTGCTTAAAACTCAAAATCAAGAAACAAATGAAATTTAACAAAACTTATTATGTAATAAAAAAACAATTTAGTCAGAAAAAAACATCTTTATCAATGAAATAACGCAATATACTTTGAAAACATAAAGACTATACTTAAAACTCAAAATCAAGAAACAAAGATAAATATCACTAATATAAACTTATTATGTTAAAAAAAAAAAAAAGTGACTCAACAAAAATTTAAGTACAATTATTTTCATTAACAGTTATGGGAGAAAAAAGGAAGTACAAAACATCTAACAAAGGTATGTGGTCATAGCTTTAACCTTTCTTTCTAATCAAATTTTATTTTCTTCATGAACCTGTTTTTTCAACAATATAAATCCAACAAAAGTTAAATAACAGTTTCGACATACGATTCAATATTCGGTTCTAATTAATAAAAGAATATACAATCAATATCTGACAAATTAAATTAGTTTGAATAGGAAAATAAGGGACTGTAAAAACTAGAGTTATACTAAACCACAACTCTTATCTTTATTGTAACCAATGTGCAGTGTTTAACTGTTGAATTCCTATGCAATCTGTAAAAAACAGATTTAGACAAAATATTTGGTAAAGAATAGAAGAAAGAAACAACCATAGATCTACAACAATCAACAATTAGATGGTAATCACAAAGTAAGTAGATAAAAGTCAAATAATGAAGGTTACCATAGCATGCATCTGGAGCTTTCCCCTTATAAAATAAGCTTTGTTCTTAAAAATTTTATTTTGTGTATCATTTAAATACCACATAATAATCATTGATGTTTTTATATATAAGAAACTCTAATTTCTTAAACAATATCCAATTTCATTAAATGATTGCAAAGAAGTTTTGGTATTAACTCTTTTTAAAAATATTATCAATAATAAAGTTATTTAAATTTTATGGCGTGCATCGCACGGTGCCAAATATAGTGTTCCCACTTCGTTCTTCTGGCTAATCTTGAAATAAATAAACACCCATTTTTACAACATATTACTAGCTTTTCTAAATTATTATACAAAAAGTATCAACTATAAAATGTAAAGTTAGTGGAAATAATAATAAAAAAAAACTGTTATTAATAATTAACTAATTAATTAATATGTAGTAAAAAGAATAATTGACTGAGAATAAAAATGACAAAATTTAGACCAATTGAAAGAGGAAATGACTATTAATAATTGACTGAAAATGAAAAATACTTCCAAACTGACTCAGTATATAGAAAGAATATTAATCTCGGTTATATATTTTATAAAATATAAAGTTACTGGAAATAAAAAAAAAATATGTATATATATGTTACTGAAATATAGTTATGTAAAGATATATATATTTAAAAATTGAAAATGAAATAGAATCATTTAGTATCCACAATTTATAAGGAACTTTTGTAATTAAAGATGGAAAATGTTTTGCAATACGAGATTGAAATATAAAGTTTAGCCGAGATGGAAAGAATATTAATCGATATGGAAATTAATAATTTTTACACCAAATGTTATTTTATACTAAGAATATAAGGATTGTGTAATTATAAGGTTTATCCGAGTATGTCAAAAAAAAAAAAAAAGTTTAGCCGAGCTGGAAAAAATATTAATCTCGGTTATATATTATATAAAATGTAAAGTTACTGGAAATATTAAAAAAATGTGTGTATATATGTTACTGAAAATATAGTTGTGTAAAGATATATATTTACAAATGCAAAATTGAATAGAATCTTTTAGTATCCACAATTTATAAGGAAAATTGTGTAATTAAAGATGGAAATGTTCTTGCAATACGTGTTAATGATTCAAAAGAAATTAATTGTGACTGATTTTGTAGCACATCTTTATTCAAAATTATAGGACCTCATTACAATACACATATATAAAGATGTAAAATTATGTATAGAATGTGTAAGGAAGATGTTGCTTAAAGATGGAAAACAAATTAGACCAATTGGAAAAGGTAATGAATATTAATAAGTCACTCAAAATTAAATATGATCCCCATATATAATTCACTGAACACTGATATTAAAAATATCTGAAGTTTCAGCATTTAATGCGTACATCTACATATTGACTATTAATTTTGGGCAATTATTTGATTGAATTCAAGCAATGATAACATTAGAAAATACAATCGATCGAACTCAATTCATCAATTGCATTATATAATATTTGATAAAATAATTTATATAATTATATATCGATCCAAATATTCTTAAAATATTTTAACAAATCCATTCCGTGCATCGCACGGGGGCAAATACTAGTAATAATAATAATTTTTATTTTCTAATTGTGATTGTGATTTTGTTATTATTAAAGTGATAAATTTGATACCTCAAGAACTAAATTTGTCGTCTGCTATGTTACTTAATAAAGATGTTGATTTGATTTTAGGGAAACCTAATTTACTACTTTAATAATACAAAGTAATTGAATGACAAAATCTATCCATAAATTATTGAGAGATTTTATTTATACAACCATTATAATTGAAGGATTAAAAATAGTTTTATATTTATTAACAAGTCTTGACTCTTGAGTTGAGTAAATTAAGAATAGATGAATCCATATAAATAATATTGTTGGAGTGATATTAATGGGTGAAATGTAGTTTAGTTAAGTTGAAAAACATCCTTAAATCCCAAAAAGAAAGATGTTTATGCTTCTCCAAAACGGCATGCCCTTTGGCCTTTACCCCCTACTGCTCTGCTTCCTTTAGTTTCCTTTTTCAGTGAGACCGCAGCTGAGCAGTGTGTACTGTGTACCCATTCTCCAATCCTTTCCACTCCCTCCTGTCTCTGCAAATTCTCCCCATTTTGCTTCTTTGGAGTTGAGGGAGAGAGGGTTTAGGGCGTTCTTGAAAGAATGGAGAGAAAGCAAGGATTTTTTTCGGCTCTGAAAGAGGAGGTGGTTAGAGGGTTATCTCCGGGGAGGTCGAGGTCGAGGGGCCGGAGCCCGTCTCCGTCGGGTTCGGGTCTTCTCCGGCGCCGGCGTGCGAGCCACGCTCCGCCCCCGGATGTCTACATTTCGAGATCGGGGAGCCTGAGGCCCGGCGGCGTGGAGACGCTGTCGCCGCTGATGGAGGGCCCGGATCCGAACGCGTCGGAGTGCGGCGGCGACTCCAAGAGCGAGAAGTGGGGACACTGGATGAAGGGCCAGCTGTGCCGGGCCCCGTCCGTTTCCGTTTCCGGGTCGAGCTTCCAGCAGCGCTCGGATCTGAGGCTGCTGCTCGGCGTCTTGGGTGCGCCGCTTGCCCCCGTGCATGTTAGCAACAATGACCCTTTGCCTCATCTCAGCATTAAAGACACCCCCATTGTTAGTCTCTCATTTCCCTTTCTTCTTTTGCTAATTCCCCATTTTCTTCATTTTCCTTACTTGTTTCGGTGCAGTATATTTGATTCGGAGCTTTAAATGTTGTAAAAATGATGTCTTTTAGCAATTCTTGAGGTTAAAACCCCCAATTTTCAGTTCTTGTTGATAACGAAAGGGATCATTGTGGTAGTGAGCATTATCTTGTCAATTCTTGACACCATTCACACATGTTGTCTTATAAATGTGGTTGTCTTTATCTAACAATACTAGGGTGTTTGAAAACATGAATCTCTGGCAAGGAAATTCCATTCTTTGTTTTGTGTTCTTGAATTATTTTGTTGCTATTTGACACTTCAGGGATAGAGTGGTATGCAGTTTATTGGTGAATCTTTGGACTCTTAGTTTAGTATTATGGGGTGGGGAATTGGGGATAAGATATTAATGTTGTTACTATGTGCTGAGATTGAAGTCAATGGACAGAAAGATAACCTGGAATAAGGACACCTGTGTGATATGGTTGAGGGGTAGTCACTAGTCATGGTCTTCATTTAAAGCTATGGAAGTAAATGTTATGGGAAACAATGATATAAATTTTTTATCACGATCATGTTGTTTAGTCAATATTTTGCACGGGTGCTCGAAAAAATATGTTTTTTTAATAAGAGTAGTGTTTTTTTTGAGGTTCCGGGAAATTAATGTTGATGTACTTGCAGGAAACTTCATCGGCTCAGTACATCTTGCAGCAGTACACAGCGGCGTCTGGAGGGCAAAAGCTGCAAAATGTGATTCATAACGCTTATGCGATGGGGAAGGTTAAGATGTTGGCGTCTGATATTGAGACGGCCACCAAGGTCATAAAGAGCAAGAACTCTTCGAAAACTGCAGAGTCGGGTGGATTCGTGCTTTGGCAAATGAACCCGGATATGTGGTACGTTGAGCTTGCGTTGGGGAGCAGCAAAGTTCATGCGGGTTGTAACGGGAGACTTGTTTGGAGGCATACGCCTTGGCTTGGCGCTCATGCGGCTAAAGGTCCTGTCAGACCCTTACGACGTGCTCTTCAGGTGACATTATTAATTAGCGTGGTATATTTGATAGATTTTCATAGCTCCTGTAAAGTTCAGTTAAAAACAACTTTGAGTTTTTTTTTACTTATAGGGACTCGATCCACGAACCACTGCAAACATGTTTGCCAATGCAAAGTGCACGGGGGAAAAGAAAATCAACGGTGAGGACTGCTTTGTTCTCAAACTATGTGCTGACCCGCATACATTGAAGGCCAGAAGCGAAGGACCGGCAGAGATCATTAGGCACGTTTTGTTTGGTTATTTCAGCCAGAAAACCGGGCTTCTTGTACACTTGGAAGACTCCCACCTGACTCGTATCCAAACAAACGGAGGAGATGCTGTTTACTGGGAGACCACGATCAATTCATTCCTCGATGATTATAGACCCGTCGAGGGGATCATGATCGCTCACTCGGGCCGATCAGTGGTGACACTTTTCCGCTTTGGTGAAACTGCCATGAGCCACACGAAAACCAGGATGGAAGAAGCATGGACTATTGAGGAAGTGGCGTTCAACGTTCCGGGTCTTTCAGAAGAATGTTTCATCCCTCCCGCTGAGCTAAGATATGGTTCGATCGGTGAAGCCTGTGAACTTTCTCAAGGGCAGAGAGTACAAACCACCATGGCTGCTGCAGCAGCATACCGAGCAAAAGTTGCTGCACTGGAGAAATCTCGCGATGGCAATGTCAATAATATTGTACTGAGGATGAACATTTAACCGTAAAGAAAGAGGTCTTTTCTGCATAATTTTTCAAGATGGTTAGGCCGGGAGAACCAGAATCCAGAGGTAAATAATTACCGAGTTAGGATTCTAGAATGTCAGTGATTAAGGAATTTTGAACTCGAACACAGGTCTTCTACCGTCTACCCTACTACCTCAATCTGTACATATTCAGTGTCTTTAGTATCATTCAGCACTTGTATTTTGCTATTTCCTCCTAACATGAGATCACGCATAACTCTTTTATGATCGTCAATTGTAAGCTTTAGATCCATGTTTTTTATGCAATGATTTTCTAAAGTTTTAGTTCACTGCCATTCTCTGATCTCTGAACACCCCCACTGTAATCGCAATGCTGTGAGAAACTGAGAATACAGATAGTGTTTTGACAGAATTCATTATCTTTTTAGCAATTTGTGTGTCGCTTTAGACGAACAATATTATCTGAACATGTTAGTCGTCTGTCAAACTTTAAAGAATTCATTGTAAGGTTGGAATTGGATAATAGAAAACGATAAGCAGGAGTGTATATATGTATATATATATATATATATATACACATGTGATTTGTGAGCATTCATTTTGAGTGAAAATGAAAGATGCATGTTGGTTGGGGTGGTTTGATTTGCAGCAATGTGGAGTGTGTGAATGAGTGGTGCTGAAAAAAGGGGTGTAAGTAATCATGTTGCAATTTGCATTATAGTAAAGAGTAAAGAGCTGTGTGTGGATGAATGATGAGTGATTATTGGGAGGGTCACGCTCTGATATATTCCCCCCGTCCCTAGTGTTAGCACACTAAATGATAGGGGACTGACTAAATGGTTTGCTCCATTCACATGGGTGGAGATCAAACCCCCAAACTCATGCTTAAGGGACGAGGTGTTGAACCACCACGCTAACCATGTTGGTTTCCCACATTCTTCATGATTGTACTTCTTGAATGGCCATGACGCGCTCACAGAGTCTTTGCACTCGTGTGTGTTGATCTAGAGATTCTTTTTTTAATAACAAGGGAAAAACTTAAAGGAACCACATAAAACAACTCAGATCTAATGTCATATACTTAGCTCTCGGCATATCCACACTGTATTTCATTAATCACGGGATGTGCATCAACTGGCCCATAAGCTTTCAAATGCATTGAAGACTGCACCCGTGATTGTTGGCAAAGTAAAAATAGTAACTTATTTTGAGTGGTGGAACCCACCGTCAGTACCGATAATACGTACAAAGGACCACAAGTAGGTAAACCAGCCAAAAGTCAAACTTGGAACCATTGAGATGTCTCCATCCATATTTACCTTACATTGAGAAGTCTTGGTGTGGTTCGAGGGCAATTTATATCCTACACCACGGCGCGCGTTACACTGTGCGCCCAGATGCAAAACGACGTCGTTTTAATTTTTTTTTTTTTTTTTTTTGAAATTTCCCGCCCCAGTGAATGGCAATAATTTTTTCTTTAAAAAAAACCCGCTGTTCAAAAATGTACATAATGTTATACTAGAATACACATAATTGTATACATGAATGTACATAATTATATAACAAAATATACACTCTTTTTAAAAGATAATACACATAATCTAACATAATACATATAAACATAAACTTTTAACATAATACACATCAACTCTTAACATAATACACACAAATTTTTTGATTCGAATGTACATAATTGTATAAAAAATGTACATAACTGTATGAACAAATACACATAATTGTGTGAATAAATACACATAATCACAGCAACTTCCTACCGCGTCACCCAAAACGATCTCAAAACGACGTCGTTTTGGGAGGCAGGCGGCGCACAGTGCCACGCGCGCCGTGGCATTCGAGATTTTGATTGGAATAGGTACATGAAAAGCTGAAAAATTGGAATTTTGGGCCAACTTAGAAGGAGGCCCATTTTCATTATTCATATCCGCAGTCTTTCACATCTGTGCATTCTTCGATTCTTCGCCGGAAAATCTAATGGTGCTCACGAACTTCAATGGTGCCGGAATCGGATTTGGTATGTCTACTCATAGCCCGAAATCCGAATCCCCATTTCATTTCTTTTTCTTTGCTCGTGTGTTCCCGCTGTTGATCTTTTTTTTCTTTCCTTAATATATTTTTATTCTCATCTCAGGTTTTGGGATTGGTTGCGGTTTCGGGGTAGGATGGGGTTTCGGTGGTATGATTCACTGTTTTTTCATTTTCTTTTGCTTGATAATTATTCTTAAATGCTTCATTAGAACCTATTTACTGAGACAACAGTGCATTTTGCTTGAAACTTGTGAATTAGGTCAATCCCGATATGCTAACTTCCTTGTGTAAATTCATGATTGTGATTATATGCTGTGAATAAGGCTGGGAAACAGTATAAAAGATAAGCAATACTAGACATTCTTGCAAGAATGGATTATCATAAAGCAGCTCAAGAATGGCTTTGATAAGAAACTCCAACAATGATTGATCAGGGTAGATAGATATCAGAATCCTAGTGCCCTAGTGGGGTTAAGGACTTGATGCTGAGAAGATGAAATGGAAGAAAAATGAGCCATTGCCCAATGTTTGGTGTGGCTTTAGTTACTATAGCTGTAATAGTGCCCCATTTCTTAACAGTTACCTTGTATCCTTTGATCAAAGATCTTCACATGCATCTTTGCATTACCGATTCTCATTCTTTGTTACTCCATATTCTTCCTGACTCGTCTTCCGTTATACTACTATATTATCCAATTATCCACATGGAATTCGATGAATAAATTCCATTGTTAGCAAATTCTTGATTTTTGAAGTAGATATGGTTGGACTTTCGGATAAAAGGGAAGTATAAAGACTAAACAAATTTGTGCCGGGCAGTACCAGCAATGTCAGTGTAAATAAGCAGCTTCACGTCTTTAGGGAATAGTCAAAGACCTAAAGTCTAGGAAGGGAAGAATTATGATGATTGGGTATTTGGGTTTATAGCACTGCTGTTTATATCACACCATGAAAAATGCCTCAAAACAACCACTTCTTTTTTTTTCCTTTATGGCCTTTGGATAAACTTTTGTAGTTCTCTACTTTTGCTGGCTGATTGCTTGACTCTTGCATCTTCTTTCAGGGATGCCCCTAAATTTCTTAGGTCTTGGTGCAGGTAAATATTTACCGAAGCATTGATTATGCATACTCTAATCCTACTCATGAGTTATGACATTATATTGAGAATATACCAGTGTTGCAAAAATTGCCCCTAGGCGCCGATTAATCGGCAATCGGCGCCTAAGCGCTAGGCGCTCTAGGCGTCTGCTTAGGCGGTCCCAGGCGCCTAGCAATTTTTTCAACCTTGGAATATACTAATACATTCTTATGACATAGGTGGAGGTTGTGGCGTTGGAGTAGGCCTTGGATGGGGATTTGGAACCGCGTTTGGCAGCAAGTACCGGAACTCTAGTGTTACGTTTGAAGGCAGTGATTTTCATAGTAAAGATGGTAGCAAAGGTAGAGAATCAAAAGATTCAAGCAAAAGCACTAGGAAAACTCATGCTTCTCAATGACTTTTCTTTAGACATTTCTTACCGATCCTGTGATGCAACAAGTTTTATCGCATGAGTGTGACTTAGATTCAGTGTTCATTAGTGTAAGAATGATTGATTCCTCTTTATACATTATGAAAGCTAATGATCAGCAATCTACACTCTGTGTTAGCAAATCGCAGAAATGTACAAGTAAACGCATTTTTTGTTTTCGTTTCTTTAGTTAGTAAACGCAACCCAATCACCTATCGGTTGACATCATACTAAAGTGTAAGCATTATGTACAAGAAGAGACTAAAAAAATAAAAGAAGAAGCCAAGTGCAAGATCTATGTACAAGATTTAGCTGGTGACAGCCTGATTCTTTCATTCTGTGGGATGCAAGGACTGATAATGGCCACCTGCCATCCATAAGATTCTTCATATTATAATACAACAATTATGGAGAAAGAAACCCAGAAAAAATATATAAATCAAGAATAGTTAAGGTGTTTCTACAGCGCAATTATGGAGCAATCCCAGGCACTGGCAACAAAATTACACCATTCTCAGCACACTTGCTTCTTTAACCCTTTCTGATGCCTGTCAGATTCCACGGATCGACTCATCACTCCTCACATACGCATTGCCATAAAACCTGCAAAGAAAACAAAATGATATAAGTAACCATTACCGAACAGATAGAAGAAACTTGGGCACACGTGTTTGTTCTTTGTGACATGCACTTATGAGTGGCGTTGAGATTCGAACCCATGACTTTTAGTCTGATACCAAATTGAAGCATGTGCTCCATCTCAACTAAAAGCCTAAGCTGATAGTTGGATTGCACATTAATGGTTATATGCTCAACAGTCAAAAGTTTGAACCCCTACAAGGTGAAATCAACAGACTCACCGATCAAGCAGAGGAGAATGATGACGAAAACCACCCGAACAGGTCGACTATATAGCATATAATACTGAGACCTCTGAAACTGTCGCTGAATGACTCCATGCCAACCATACAGTTGTTTGTCATAGCATCTATCACATCCATTTAGGCAGCTCTTATTCCTCTCATAGCCTGTGTTGCTGCCCTATAATGCAATTATAACAAATGAGAAAATCGACAAATATATTTGAAACCATACATGAAATCGCAAATACTCACCCTAGCCGACTGCTGGGTTTGTGGTAACGAAGCATCACCTTCGTAGTGGCAATCCGAGTTCTTGAACTTGCGGTAACCATTCTTGGCAAACTTCAATTTTGCTGCAGATTCCTTGCTATCCTTGAATCCCGAAAAACTAGGATTCTTTCGCGGGGGCGCTTGAGGCTGCATGCTGGAGAGATCATCAGAAACTGCAATCTTCCAGGCACCAATATCAGCACTGGCACTAGCAGTTCTACGATGTCCCAACTTATCTTCATTAATCTCCGCTAAACACTTGTCTGCATAACTGGAAGAACTCCTCAAACCATCAAACATTGACTGTTTACCCTCCTCTCCCAACTTCTCCATTTCCATCAGCTCCTTATCATTATCGGCAGCCAATCCTGTAGGTCCTGTCAAGAACAATGCAAGCTCATCTCGCTCCCCTTTATCCAAGCGCACCCATGGGGACGGTGGCTTGCCTTGAGAAACATCCGATTCAGTCAAAGAACCCGCGACTTTCTTAATCTGACAATCAATTGCGAAAACAAATTCTTGGTGTCTATGTTCCGCATCATCAGCTGAACTACTAGTGTAGCTCGATTTAACTGCCCTGTCAAACTCCTCCAACTGCATTACATTATAGCCCAGATTCCACAATCATCAGCTCAAGCTACTTTTTTGCTCACCCAGAGCTCAACATTATAATTATTTAACAAAATTTAACCTTCAAACTAATCCAAACCGTAATATAGATATACAATCATTAAAAGCTTCACCTGCCATTGAGTAGTGCCCAGAGCAGTCTTTAGATCTCGGCGTAGCTCTTCGCAGTTCCAAATGTTAGATTTATCCTTCACCGCATGAACCCATGTTCTATAAATTGTTTCCATCCTTCATTTAGGGAAAACAAAACCATTATATTTCACCAATTTAAACAAAAACCCCAAAGTTCAACAAAAGCATCAATCTTTACATTTCTACGCACAATGAAAACAGATGGGTAAAAAACAAACCCCCAATAAAAAAAAATAGTAAACAACAAAAATACCAATTTACGGGAAAGGGTTACCTGTCTGCAGATTCCTGAATCTCTTCCGCTGCAGAAAAGAAAGGATCTTTCTCCCACCGATCATACTGCGTCGCCATGTATCGTCTAATCTTTGGACACTTTATTCCAAATTAAATTTGCAGATTGCAAAACTTTGATAAATTTATTGGAACAAATGCCCAGATTACAGAAATGGAAAAACAAATGCCCAGATTACAGAAATGGAAAAAGAAGAAGAAGAAGAAAAAACAAAAACAAAAAACAAAAAACAAAATTTACAGAAAGAATCTAACGATCTTTGGGAAAGCAGGATATTCTTCCGAAACGAAAATTACTAAATACAGGCGCCAAGGAAATCGGAAAAAGCAGATTTAGGGGTTCCCTTGGCAATGAGAAGATGGAGAAGACTCAAAAAAAAAGGGAATTTTTCCGATTTTGAAGTATTTATGGTAAGAAAAATGCGCAGAGATTTGCGTAAACAGGGATGAATATTTATGTTTTGGTGGCGCGTGGGGAGTTTATCTGAAGGAAACGTCGTCGTTCGCTAAGATGCCCGTGTAAAATTAGGTGTGCGGTCAAAACGAGTGTGGTCCGTGGTCGTCGTATGTAGCCAGTGAAGTTGACCATTCAGTCATTGACCGTGGAGTTTCTTCTGATAATTATTGTTTAATGATTAATAAAATTGGATAAATGTGGAACGTATTTAGCATTAAAAAAAAAAAATTGTAAAGAAAAAAATCAAACAGACCATCGAATTTTACTTCGAAAATTTTAAGTATTTAAATTTTTTAAAGTTACAATTAAACTCATAACATTTTTTTGGGTATACTTAACTCAAAAATCAATTAATAACATGTGATAACAAGTTACTAAAATTCCGACATCATTTCCAACCAAAGATCGACCACCGGCGACCGACACCAGTTGCCTTTTCTAGCGACCAAACTATTTTAGGTCGCCTCTCTTCAGGAAGACAACCAAATCTAGTCGTCTTCTCAAAAAAGGTGACCAAAACTAGTCACCTCTTCGAAGAAAACCAACTTGCTAACAGCTAATATAAGTATTTACCAAACACCCCATTTATGATTGCTTGACAATATATCAATTTTTTTAAGTGTATAACCATTCTATTAGAGCACTTAGCTGTTATCTATGCACAGGTTCAGCCCCAATATGATGCAAATAATTAATTACATGTGCAGGGTATTGCATAACAATAGTTCAGAAATAAATTATTAAAAAAAAAAAAAAAGGAAAAACTAATAGCTCGAATAATATTACTAATTATTAAACCCCTGAAATTCTTGAAGCACATCTTCAGACTTCAGATTGGATGATGGGAAATGGCCAAGTTGTTGGACAAACAAGCAGTTCATCATCAATTCCTATCAGATTTCAACCTGCAGGAAACAGTGTTCTACTGTGAGAAAGAATCATAAATGCAAGAATGTACATGAACTGGAAATGAAGTCAATTACTTATGAGTTCAGAAGAAGATGCAAATATTGAGCAATAAAATTAAGGAGGAGAAATATTAACAGAGGAAAAGAGTACTTTTCATTGGTACAATCAGATTGAATGTCGGGAGAGCTTCGTCTTTCCAATTGCTGAAGAACTATCTACACAACTTTCCTGGAAAATAACTGAAGGGTCATAGAGCAGTCCATTTTGCCAAATGGGAGTAACATTGAAAGAACAGTGACACTTACAGTGGAAGAGCATCTAATCCAGGCGGGAACAGTATCCGATAGAAGTTTAACGTACTGCTCCATAGCCGCCTCCGAACTCATGCTTCCCGTTCTTCGCCAAGCATTCCTTGCACAATGGAATTAGTATTCCCCATCATTTACACATAGCGGCTTTCACTCCTGTTATATACCTAGCAATCAAACTACACCCGGAAAGTAGGTCTAAGCTCGCCCCAGCAATGCAAATTGCATTGACTTCTCCAATTCTCTCAAATTTTTCTTACTATATCTAACATATTCAACAAGGCAGAAGTGTCAAATAGGCCCATCTACTATTGGCAAGTGCTCAATTCCCACCACGAACTAAAATATAGTCTAATCAGCCACACTTACTTCTTAAAAAAATTGTTCAATTAACTTTTTTTTGCAGGTTAGCACTTTGATTGTAATAGCAAATATAACTCTCTTGTGACAGATTTTGGGTGACTCAACTTCAACAAAAGATTCATTAAAATCATTCATTTATCATTTATCAAGATCCACAGAAAGCAAATTATGTTAGTATCTGCTTCAATCTACTTATTCTTCAAGCTGGATTAGCACAAGAAATCATCAGCTGAAATTGAATCATTTCGCATGGCATCATAAATCTTAAAGCAGTTCTAGGTGATTTGATGTTTTCTACTCTCATTACCTAAATAATAAAACTGGATTCACATAAGATTTGTAAACACTAAATATTCACACAATTTCAAACTTAGGAGCATCAAGTTGAAGTTAAATACCATTTGGCACGGGCAGAGACCTTGAATGCCATTGGCTGAGGCTCATAACAAGGCCCTTCCATTGCCGTTTTCTGAAGAGCATACAACTGCATCTTCAACTCGCTTCCCAGATTGGACAATGCATCATTGTTCCCACACTGGACGAAGTTGATAGCCTTGGCAAATAGAATCTCCAAGTCACTCCTCTCAATTCCTTCCCAATCATCATCACTAAGACCCTCATCCTCTTGTCTAAATCCTCCTTCAATATGACCACTTGCAGTGGGCAAATTTGTTCCCACAACATTCTTTTTCCTAACCTCTTCACTCTTGAATTCCTCTCCCACAACCTTAACATCCCCAAAAACATCTTTTCCCTCAACACCACACAAAGCATCAATCTTTGAGGCTCCCAACAGTTCCTCCCCAGCAACCTCAACACCACCACACAAAGCATCAATCTTTGAGGCTCCAACCTCCGACAATCCAAGATTCCTGGACTCTCCTCCTGTCCAACTGCCATCTCTCGCATCACCGCATTGTTCAACCATTTGAACCTTTTCAACAATCACTTCTCCTTCATCTTCATCAACCACCTTCACAATATCAAAACTCTCAGCGTCAATCTCTCGAACACCTTTAGTTCCAACCTGATCACCATCTCCCACCGCCACAACTCTTCTCTCTGCGCTCCCGTTTCCATCACTATCCACGGCGCTCGAAACCAGCTTCACAATGATGCAAGAAAACACGAGAGCCCACAAGGCTGTCTCGACGTATCCCTGCAAAAACTCTATCATTCTCTTGATTCCTAAACTATACCACCCGGGCTCACAGTAGTCAACAGCTCTGGGTTGCTTCACGGTGGTGCAGATGATAAGAAGATAAATACAGCGACAAAAGATTACGCAAAGAAGCAAAGAAATTTATGGGCGCACAATAAATTAACAAATGATGTACACTGGATTTTCTTTATCGGCACAAACATCGGACCCATAAAATCTATACACTCCGCGCATTATATGATACAGAGTAACCAATTACTGTTGAAGATTAATCTTTGTTGATGACTACGACTCTGAAACTGGTTTACTTTCAGTAGGATACCATCTCTTAATTACGTATTGTTTAATAATAAACCAGGCCCATTCAAAATTTCAAGGTATATTTGCCTGGCAGAGGAAAGCATATTCGCAACCTCTATGTCGGTCCATTATTCGCAACCTCTATGTCGGTCCATTATATGCAAATTTCAGGTCCAAGAATTTAAAAGTGGAGCCCCGAAAGCGATGATCGAATAAGTGCGACATAATTTTTGTAATTAAATTCATCACATAAAATTTTGTAAGCGAGGTTCACACTTTCAGACAATGATATATAAAAATTTTTTTTTTTAAAAAAAAGAATTCTATGTCACAATATTGAATATTTTGACTTTAAATATTCAATAACCTAACAATTTAGAGCCGTCGGTAACTCCATAATTGACCTCCTTGTTAATATCGCATACTTCGGTAGATATTTCAGAATTCTATCGTGGGATTATGATTATAATAGGGTTAATTAGGTCATAAAAAAGTAGTGGTTAATTAACATGCTATGCTATATTACTCAATAATTAAGTTACTTGATAAATCTTTTTCACAGGGTAGTCATTTTTGAAAAATGGCAAACTCTGTGAAAGCTTAAAATCCTCCAAAATGAAAAATATTTCCTTTGAGAGTCTTAAATATATCATCCCTATTACTAAAAACTTGCTTATAAAGAGGGTAGAGGTTGATCCTATTTGTGCCATGTGTGCAATCATGTATGAAGACACCATGCATTCTTTAGTGTTGTGTGAATTTGCAAGAGCCATTTGGAAAGAATCCCACCTTCCAATCCCTACCATTGTGACAAATATTTTTCATTCTTGGTTTGATGAAGTTTTGAGTATTCTAAACTTTAATGAGATATTTTTCACAACTGCTATTCTATATTTTATTTGGAAGGCAAGAAATAGTGCCGTATGGGATGCATGTCTTCCGGCCCCGAGAAAGGTCGTGGCGGCCGCCATAACCGCCTTGCATGCATGGCTTAGTGCCCAGCCAGTTGCCAACGCGCAGAGCCTGCCCATTGACGCCGCCACTGCCGCTCCTCAAGTTGCGCCAACAGTTCTTGCTGTCGCGCCTTCGCATGCTGCTTCCACGAGCCACACAACTAAGCCACATGCTGCTGCCACAACAACATCCTCTGGTTTGCCCTCGTGCCGCTTTGATGCTGGTTATCTGCCCACGTCCAGCAACGCCACAGTGGGGGCGGTCTTATTCGATGAAAATAGAGGCTATGTTGCGGCCTTCAATGCTACGTTACCTCCTTGTTTTTCCCTACTTATATGGCCGAGGCCTTTGCATGTAAGGAAGTGTTGTCATGGCTAAGAGATCGCGGGGAGCGGTCTATTGAACTACTTACGGATTGCTCGAGTCTTCAGCACTGTTTATCTTCTACTGGGGAGCCAGCTCGATCGTACGTCGGCTATGCCATTGATAGTTGCAGACATTCTATTTCACTGTTTGATTGTTGTTTAGTCAGTTTTATTCCTAGATTGCTGAATTTACTAGCTCATACTTTGGCCTCAACGGCTTTTAGTCAATCCTTTGCTATGTACTGGGAGACTAGTCCTCCCGACTCTATTTCTGCTTATCTCTCATATATGTCTTTGATGGTTGCTTTCAAAAAAAAAGTTAATTGATTAATAGGGAAAGTTTAATTTGAACATTTAAGTAATGGTTAGTTGATTGAGTGTGGGCATAAGTTAGACAAAGATTAAGAAAAGAATTTGGTACTAGACTATAAATTATAATTTATATGTTTTGATTTATCTAATAAGGTATTCATAAGAGTAGGTGACATGTCGTAAGTCTAGTTTAAAATTTAAAAAATACAATATTTATAAGTGTTTTGTCACATTTTGATTTTTTGAGGATGAGACGGTTGGTTTTATGACTACCAAAGTAGTCAATTGGCAGACCAACACTACCTGACAGTTGAATAAAATCGGAAAGAATATGTATTGCTTTTTGTGTGTAGGGAATGCTTAACCCTTTTCAAGGTCCCTTTCTCCTATTATACAAGGAACAATAAGCCTAGCTTAATTTTGGTAAGCATAATCAACCATAAAAATTTCTTTCTTTTTCGGGATGATGAAGAAGACCACTGGAAAGGACAAAAAAGTCCTTTTGTTTCACGGAGAGATAACATGAATTCTGACGATGGACTAAAATTGTCCACTGTCTAATAAGTTTGGATAAAATGTGATAAAATTATTTATGGTGTGTGAGCATATAGCCATTAACGTGCAATCCAACTATCAGTTTATGTTTTTAGTTGCAATGGAGCACATGCTTCAATTTGGTATCAGAGCCCTCCACTCATAAGATGGAGCACATGTTATATTCTATACTTTTTCAAACATTTTCTGTCCAAAGAACTTAAGCCCCACCACCGAAATTCAAATATATGACCATCCATTTAGAATGGTAACTGAAATGTTATCCCACTACATAGTAGTTGGCGGTCACATTGTAGATTAAATATACGGAGAAATTATTAAAATTCTTCATATTATCCCGTGGTTGAATGGAAGTTGCGTTTTACGGAAGAAACAAAAGAGCGCGCATTGCTGTATAACTCATTTTGCACGTAAATCATGTGCATTGTATTGAATTCGCCATACACGTATGCATCCAACCACTGCATACATACCCAAATTTATGGCTTCATTTCTTGGGTCATATTATAAGGAGAAAATTACAAGAAAAGTAAACGTAACGCAATATTAATCCATTTCCAGAATAACTGACTTCTCTATAAAAATAAATAAATGACGCAACACCTCCATTCTCGTCCATGCAGTTCCTGGATAGCTGAAAGATTATGAAAATACAAATTAAATCCTTAAAATTTTCATCTTGCCTAATCTTTTCATAACCGCTACTAACATGCTAGTTTGCATAATCACATCCATCGCTAAAATTTCATTGAGTCACCGTAATTTACTTATCCACAATCTTCTCGTATGAGAATATAAAATTTTTAATGCGAGGAATTTCGCTGTGTTGAACACAAAAACGTATTTTAAATCATATATAATAAGTGATGGAATCTTGACTTGCAATGGTCATTACTCATTATCCAATTCAACAATGTTGGCATTAATTAAATTGGGGAAGATTATTGTGTCTACGTCGACGAGCTTATCCAGTTGAAAGAATGGATGAGTTGGAAAATTGGATGTGAGGGGGGAAATAAAGGCAAAGTTTTTGTAATCATAATTGCAGCCACCTTCCAATCATGTGGCCGCTCACTTTTTCCGGCTGCCTTTTCCCCACCACTGAAAGCTACATATATAAAATATTTTGTACTCCGTATTAGCATGTATATATAACAACACTGCAAAACAATAGTTGGGTTCTGCTTTGATTTTTCTAGGGTAATTTATTTTTTATTATATGATTAGTTAATTATTACATAAGAAGCAGGTTAACATATCTTCCATATTCTCGTCAGATAATGATTGCGGGATTTTTCTCTTTAGTAAACTATTACATAAGAAGCTGGTTAACCTATCTTTCATATTCCCGTCAGGTAATGATTGCGGGATTTTTCTCAGGATAAAGAATTTTGGCACATTTGGGTGTGAGTGTGATAAGTGGTCATGTGGTTGACGAAGGGGTGATTTACCTTATGAACCTTTGTTGAATTTTTTGGAAATATATAAAAATTAGCAATTGTTATACTGTAGAACTGTGTCCATCTTGGAAGGTGGACACGATTCTATATTCATAATTATAAAACTATATATTCATAATTTTTGAACTTCATATTCATAATTTTTGAACTCTATATTCACAATTACAGAACTATATGTTCATAATTATAAAGCTGTATATTCATAATTTTTGAACTTCATATTCACAATTATTAAATTTCTATATTCATAATTACATGATTATACATTTATAATTATAAACAGTTTTAGAACCGTGTCCACATTACAAGGTGGACACACTTCCACAGTTCCACAATATAATTGGCCAAAAATTAGTTGGTAAGCTAATATGAGATTGAGCTACAATCTAATTTTTTGGGCTGTCCTTCATAGTTCCAACTAGGCCGGTTACCAAATCAGGAATGTGGGCCAAATATTGTAAAAGCCCAACTTATTATGGGCAAAACGAACGGCGAATATTGGGCTGAGTTAACTCACGTTTTAGAGGGACGTGAGAGATGAATTATTCAGTGGTTGAGGTTTCAGCTGAGTTGGGGTGGTCCACCAGGGCACAAATGACAAACCTAGAAGCTTCTTATGTCTCAAAATGGCTATGCCTGTGCTGATTTGCTTTCTTCCACTAAAGCCTAGTGATCTCCAGCTGTAGTTTATTTGTATATTTAAAAATGGGAATCGGTATTTATTCCGTATATCTCAAGTATATACTTTCATCATATAATTTGTATTAATTCATTAAAAAAATTGTATTAAAATTAATAATTAATAATAAATCTATAAATCACAAAATAATGAGTAAAATAGAATTGCATACAATACAATTCACTAAAACATGGTGTACTATAATAGTTCGTAAATTACATAAAAGATATAAATCACACTAAGAAAGTAATTATTATGGACTCGACTGAAATAGTGATTGGTAGAAAATATTTTAATAATATTGTAGTTTAATAATAAGATGATAAGATCAAAAAAAAAATTTGTAACATGGAGTTAGGTTAAGAAGTGATTTTAAACAATTTTAAATAGAATATCAAACCTACCAAAATCAATACTACTAGCAGTGACGTGGTATCTCCCGTGGAATGAGACTCATTTAGTGTTACCGATATGATAGTCAAAATCTTTTCCCAGTCCAAACCATCCCTCTTAGAAACAGCCTCACACTATATATATATACGAACACAACTATGACACTTCTGAGAGGCAAACCTAAAGCCTTTATCGATTCTTGATTTCTTGGAGAGAGAGAGAGAGAGAGAGAGAGAGAGGCATGGGGGGAGGGAACGGCCAGAAGTCGAAGACGGCTCGTGAAAGGAACATGGAAAAGATGAAAGCTGCTGCTAAGGGTAAGCATTCACATCTATATATATGTTATGTATCAGCTTTGAGATAGAATGAAATGGATATGATTTGAGCTGAGCTGATCTGATCAATGGTTTTGTGAATTGTGATATATGGTGTGTGTGTTGCGCAGGAAGTCAGCTTGAAACTAACAAGAAGGCGATGAACATCCAGGTAAGGTTTTATCAAATTTACCATTTTTTATCTGATGGGGATTCACCATTTCAGCTGAGCTCTAGAAACTTCTCTGCTGTTTTGACTGTAACTAAACTGTGGTAAAACTCATTTCACCACTATTTCTTTCTGGTAAGGGCAGCAGCCCTGAAAAGATTCTTGCAAAGGGCAACCCGCCTTATCACCTAGCCGTCAAAGGACCACAATGAGGTAAACCAACCCTGGCCCATAGCAGACCGCCTGACCGGCTCAAACTAAAAGGCCAATATAGGCCGTTCTCACTGAGAGTTACTAAGCCAACAACTGACTGACTTGGTTGGGGTTGCCCAGTTACAATTTTTATTTCATGTAATGAAGAGATCAGAGCCTAATGATTTTGGTGGTTGTGATGCATGCAGTGCAAGGTATGTATGCAGACATTCATGTGCACTACTTCAGAGGTGAAATGCAGAGAGCATGCTGAGGCAAAGCATCCCAAAGCTGATGTCTACACATGTTTCCCTCATCTCAAGAAATGAGTGAACAACATTATTGTCTTTCTCCTGCCTGTATTATGACATGTCACCATGATGTAGCTGATGTTTCTGGTTTTTCTGCTTAGATCATTGCTCAAAACTGTCAGATTGTTACCTGAAATCTCTTGTTAAATATGTTTATATTGGCCCTGTTTGCTAATATAGTTAGCCCATCAACCTATCAGTTAATTTTGATTTGTTTGATCACTTTAACTTTTTATAACAGTTTATTGCTCCAAAGCACTAAAATTCAAAAAGTTACTCAAAGTAGTTTTTTCGATCAGCTTTTTGAGAAAATATTTTGCATATAATCAGCTACTAGTTAACAACTAATTTACCAAACACCGCCATTTATCGCCATTTGATCTCTTTATCTCTATGTTGATATCTTTACTATATCCACTGGCAAGAAAATAATTTAGGGAATGAAAATCATTTGATTCCATATATTATTAACAATGGGAAAGATGCATAAACGTTTGTGTTGTTACCTTAACCTCTACAAACTCTGAGGGTACCAAAACTACTCAGTGGAAGCATCAAATCGAATTCTCTCATACAAACGATATACTAATGTAGATCTGGACATCTGTGGCTCCATTTCGAGGGCAGCAATTACATCTTTGATGGTGATGGTTCTAGCAATTTGGGACATGACAGCCTTGTTTTTTCCAAATTTTCTCATAGTGCCTGTAGAACATCAAAGATCTCGAATGTTTGGGTGTGACTTTGTAACAAAACTAAAGGACCAATCATGATACCAAAACCAAACATACCAGTTGGTGAAGTAGCACCTTTTTCAGATTCTTGAGGGTCACTTGTGTTTCTATTCAAGATTGACACAGGCCTCCATGCAACATCTTTTCTGGACTGTGAATCAGATGCTCCCTCAAGTCCACTGCCATCGCGTTTCTGCCTGGCCTGTTGGGCCATCAGTTGCCACTTTGACAACATGTCATCTCCTCCAATGGCAGCTCGAGCAGCAACATTTGCAGCCGTTGCTCGTGTCTTCTCATCCTCTCCCTTGTTTACCTGGAAATGCCCATTAGTCAGCCTTGCATACTAAATAGTGGGTTTGAAAAAGATGATGGTTGGTACCTTCCCTGATTTCACATGACCTTCATCCTTCTCCTTGTCACCATCCGCTGCAGTATCATCCTCTGACTGCAGTGTGGATAATAAATTGATCGAATGCACACTATAAACAGCAATGATCTGAACTACAGTATCAAATGAAGAAACGGCAGGGATGCTCACTTCATTGGTCTTCTGGAATTTTGCTATTTCAGCTTGCTTCTTCTCCCATTCTACCTTAGCTCTTTCATTTATTACCATGATTTGTTTCCTAACATCTGAGGTCGGAATTGTTCTGTGTCTCAACTTCTCAATGTCAACTCGCTACAGTATATATCACGGTCCAGTTAGCATACAAGTACTATGTTAATAATTATTGTCTGAGGAAAGAAAACAACATGAAAATTTACCTGTTTTGAGAATCTAATGAGAGTAGTCATGAGTGCACGCATCCTTTCCTCAACACACTGAAAAATCAACCACTTAGTAGGGCAAGAAAATCTGCAACTAAATTATGATTAAAACAAAATATGACCTCACCAATGATAAGCATCGCTCCACATCACTGCTTCTATTCTTAATACCACATTTTCTCACTACCACAAACCAAAAGAAATAAATAGATAAAAGAGGGTCAGAATTTTATCAATCTGGTTCATAAGTTGCTAAATCTTAAGTTTTGTATCAAAAGCATTCAGTTATATATAGAGATTTAACTTATTTCAGTCAATTTCTTCTGCAGTGGAAATTTCTGTAAAATCAGCCTTTCCTCTTCTTCTTGCACAACTCGTTTAGACGCTTCAGAAACTCGACCATCTTCATTGGCTCCAGAAAATAGCTGTTCCTCTTCTTCCTGTTTTACGCATTTGTTATAATACTGAATTCGTAACTTAGAGAACTTAACTCATAAAAACTATAGATTTGTTGTTCCAGGTAGTTGAGGAATTACCCTGAGATTAACTCCACTCACAGCTGCAACGTCATTCAGTTGTTCAATGCTTTGACCTAAAAGGTCCCCAGATACCTTTTGCTTCTTGCTGTATGTTGTTAAAGGATAAACAATTGTGAAGATTATGCTTTGGAGGTAAAATGATGAAATATTCAAAGTCTACTTGAAAAGCTACCACAAGAGCAGGAAAGTATGTTACCTTGGAGGAGGAGGCATAGAACCGAGTGTTTCCAGTGGCTTCTTCTGGCCAATTGATGGATTTTTCAGTGGAGTCTTCCCATTATTTCCAGGTTCATTGGGAGAGGTGACAGGAGGTTTACAGGAATTTAACTGATGAAATGAAAAAGGAGGAACAGAGAAGAAATAGCTATAAAGATGGAGATAAAAGGTTAAAACAAATTCCTAATATAGAAAGTCAGGTAAAATAGACAAACATTCTCGGTCAGACTGCAGAATGCAAAGAAATTACAAGTGTGCCAACAGGTCCATAGGAAACTCAGTTTGAAATCATATATTATCAACCTTTGCACATTAATAAAGCTATCGAAGACAAATCACCAGTTCTTGGTTTTAATTTGTTGATAATTGCTGCAACTTCAGACACAGACTTTCTTTTGCATTGCTGATGTAAGATGAACTATAACCATATGCACTAGTCTCAACCATTAAAAATTATGATGCTAATCGATCACCAGAACAAGCCTAAATTTACATAAACATAGTGTTCACACATATAGATTAAAGAATGAGAGCTCATACAGAGTTGAATTTGAACATGATTTAGGGGTGGATAAAGCAATATTACCAAGCTACTAGTGTCTACTTGAGCTGACATAGGAGTTGAACGAAAATTTGAAGGTCCATCACTTGCACTTGTAGAGAAACCCATTCTAGAGGATTGCAAATCCTTTGAAGTTCCCACAGTAGAACCTCCTTGCACAGAGATAGAGGGGGAAGATATCTGAGACTTATGCTGCAGCTCAGGAAAATGATCCACGGGAATATTTCTCTGTTCTTTGTTGGTTGATGATTGCCACTGAACTGAATTCTGTTGTGCCATTGAGTTACTTGGCGTGTGAGTAACTGCTCTCCTTGGTTCACCCAGAGAACCCTTCCTTTCTGTGTTAGGTGAATTTATCATATTCATCGAATAAGTTCCAGGTCTTAACTGAGTAGCACCTATACTCTGTTGAGCACAAATTGGCCTAATATGAAGATCCTGATGTTGAGGTTTGGCATATGCCGGTGTAGATGAACTGTTTGTCGCAGAGCATGTATTATTATTGTTCCCCTTATTTACATATGTGGAAAAAGATGCTCGGGGGAAATGCAAATGCTGTTGCTGTTGCTTACTAAGTCCCTGAATTGGAAATGGTAGATGCTCCTCTTGTTTTATTGCACTCAACCCAGAAGAAGACACTTGGTTTTCTGGGGTCCGTTGCAAATCTGCCTGGCATTCCCTGCTTTCCATTTTCAAGTTGTTCACATCTGTTGGTATTTGCACTGCAAATGCAAAACAGCATTTTACACCAATGCATGAGTTAGAAGTTAGAACCTTTCTATAAGTAATACAGTTATACAGGTGACCAAGATTAAAGAGCAGGGTAGCACCATTTGATAGTGTTTGCTGTTGTTGTTGTGCTGAAGCCTGCTTCTCTGTGTTCCTAGCAGTCTGATTTCAATTTAGATTTAGCTATTCTTGAAGGGATTTTAAGCTAATTTCAGAAAATATAAAAAAACATTGCTCCTTAATTACTCACCTGATATTGAAACTTTAATATGGCCATCTTGAGCATATGGTCACCTATAATACTTCTCATATGCCTAACGAAAACATCCTTAGAAATTTCATTTTTCTGTAAATGTGAATATGTTAGGATAATGAAAAAGAATAATTCTAGAAACAAGAGCATATAATGATTCCAGAAATAATCAGTTCCAGTGGCCCACCTTAAGCTTAAGGTACAAGGTCTCAAGCTGCATTCCTCTGTCCTTATCAACTTGGGTTTGTAAGTGTGGGACCAAAAGGGCAAATGGCAATTGCATTCCTTTTTTTGGTACATTGACCATAGGTTGACTACTTTTAGATTGTAACACCTCTTTTTGGCTAGTTACACCTGTTGTCGTGATCTGCTGACCACTCGTCCCATTCAATTTTGTCAATTGACCACTCGTCGCAATGGAGATGGACTGTTGGGTACTGAAACTCTGTATGTTCAGATGCTGAGATTCTGGATTTTGAGTACCATTTTGCTCCTGGATAGGAACAGGATCATTTCCAGAATTCTGCACCTCCATTGCTCGAAATGTTTCTTCAGCCCATGGCGGTTGATTTGCATCCAGGCAGGAATCCTTTTGATATTGATTTCCAGCATCTAGGCAATGCTGCTTTAGCATCAGTTCAGATGAATTCTGCTCTCTTTGTAGCATGTCCCTGGAATCTTGAAGACTCTGAGACATGGTATTTTGGCCAAGACTGGTCGTAGTTTGCCACTGCATAAACTGACTTGAGGTGCAAGCATTTCCTTGAGAAAGTATTGCATATTTTGTAATTGAGACAGGGAAATGCTTTCTAAACAGGAAACAACAACTCAATAACACAACAGCAAAACAAGAGACGAAAATGAGCAGTGGAAATCATTCATATGCAGATTCATGCGTTCAAACAGAATATATAAACTGCAAACGTTCCCAACAAAAGCAACATCCATTTGAGTTGCTAATCACAAGCAGTAACAGATAGCAAAGAAGTACCTAAATTTCATTTTTGCAGACTTATAAGTATCTGAGCTCTTTAATCACTTATTATGAATCTGAGATAACATATTTGCTTTTTTCCCTTGTGCTGGATTTGGCTAAGAGATCCTGGAGATGTCTAAATCAAGTAATGCTAGAAGAACAGGATAATGAACCCTATTGGATGCAGCTGAAAGTGACATTAATAAACCACTAGTAGACTGTGGAAATAACCACTTATTGATGGCAGCTTTCCAGCCCAATGCATATGATTACCTGTATACTCTACTCAATTCGTATGTAAAGGTACGAATCAAAGATTATTGCTACACTATTTAATCCTTAAGATCCAAACTTCTCAGTTCTCCTTTAATAAACGGGCACGGGGTTACATAAATTGAATAGGAAAGCGAGATAAATGAGGTGCAATATTACCGGCATCGGAAGCTGAAGGCAGAGGCGACGAAGATCCGATATCTCTATCGAGGGCGGCTGTAAACGCCTCCAAGTCCGCCATTGAATGCAGTGTTTCGTCCTGTGGAAACTTCAACGTTAAATTTTTATCCACTCTTCGAATTGCATACTTAATTTCAAGAAATTCAAGGAATCTATATATATGTATATATATTCTAGCACGTATTTCATGGTGGATTCCGATGGGATGAGAGAACACCTCGTCTTCCTCGAGGAGTTTCATGATCGAAGCGTCCATATTGAAACGGTGAATCTCTGTATTCTGTTTTTCTCCAGTGCTCTGGACTTCTGCGCCGCATAGAGAGACTCTTCCTCCAGTGATCGCCTCTATATATACATTTACACGTAGACCCCACCCCCCTCTCTCTCGCGCAAAAACCCCCCACTCCGCGGTTTTTTATTTTATTTTAATAATATCAAAACAAAAAGTTATTTAAGAAAAAAAAAATAGTTGTTATGTAAATAGCAAAAAAGAATACTTGGAATATTTTCAAGCTACTCTTTCTTTGGCCTAATTTTAATTAAAAGATTCAAATAAACTCAATGGGTCGAATGAAATAATGGGTAGTGTACTTAACTTAATTTAAAATATTTTTATTTAAATTTTTAAACCGACAAAAAATCACTCAATATTCAATAAATTATGTTGCTTTGATTAATATGTGAAATTGTTATACTCATTTTATTATTTTTTAAAATTTAAATACAGTCATAGCCTATAATTATAGTTTTAGTCCAATAATAATGATTAGTCAAGACAAAAGGTTCTCATGTATGATTCGGTAGTTATTATTATATAGAAACTGGTTTATCCGATACACACAGTATTAATTGCGGGTTTCATCATCACCTATACAAAAAATTAAGAAGGGTTTTATTACTGAAATTAATGAATGAAAACAAATTGGGATGTGAATAGGCAAATAGGCATGTAAAATACCATCTAGACTTTCCTCTCCTTCTATAAATGAAGATCTGATTCAATTTTCCCTTTGCATGAAATGCAGTATGAATATGGTGACACTTGTCTACCTTTCTTGTTCTCAACCTTATGGAGTTATGATTGTTCTTAACCTTATGGAGTTATGATCTAACCTCAACTTCTCATCTCAGTTATTTGAAGAGGAGGTGAGAGCGACACGGCATGGCAGCGCATTTACTCAGTGTCATATGTTCAATGAAACTGAGTTCTGTGAACTTTTTAATTTCTATGCCGAAAAGATAATTTCACTCTCTCTCTCTCTCTCTCTTTAGTGTATCGCTTTCTGCAAAAAATTCAATTACTGTACCAATTTCCTCCTCCCAACACCACCACTCTGTGCCCCACATGATTTTCTCTATATCCCACCCCTTCAAATTTGCTCTTCTGCGCCCTACTTTCTTAGCATTTCCATATTCCCTCTTTTCTTCTTCTTTTCTTTCCGCCTTTTTTCCAAATATATATATACAAAGGATACAATATGAAGGATTTTGGGTCCTTCTCAGTTTTGGCCATGGTGATAGGGATAGGTTTCGTATGCCTGGTCTATTCCACCAAAGATGGTGCCTTTTCAAGCTCAGGTATTTGGTACTATATTTCTTTTAGTTTTAGTTTGATTTGTTGCCCTTTTTGGTTAAATTGTTTGAATCCTTGATGAATTTCTCACATTTTTGGTTGGTATGGTTCTTTTCATTAGGGTAATGATACTCTCTCATTTGCAATTTCTCAGATATTTCTGAGATTTGCATGTCTGTGTGTTCTAGAAAGATTAAGACTTTTTAATCTGGGTAGATGAACTCAAGTGAGCAATAATGGCTGTCTTTTGTAGAATGATTTATGCTTAATTGTTGTGCTGTGAGGGGAGAAGAAGAAGAAATTATCTCATGAACACTGACTAGTTATAGTTAACCTTTGGTATCATATTCGAGCAAAGGATATATAATTCATGATTCCATTGCAGAAACTTATGGCTGTCCTTGCATTAAGGTTAAACAGAAGTTTAAAATTTAGTATACTCAAAAGATTTTAGCAGTTAATGTTTGGAACATAGGGTTATCAAGCATCTTACTATGTGCAGAAGAAAGCATTATTTGAATCGAGACTCGAAACTATTTGGTGGTGTTGGAGTAAAGTTAGCTGGCCCAACATACATAGCTTTACCTCCTATGTCTTTGTTTTTAGTGTAAGAATATTGCGGGTAATGAGTGAGATCAAGGAAAATATGTGCGTTATACTTCTAGGATCAAGATGTAGAGAGAGATAAGTGGTATTTCTCTTTGTGTGCAATGGGAATTCTTACAAGAAAGAGATTATGGTTTCTCTCGTGACTAAAAGTCCCCACCTGAAAGCCAATATTTGCTATATATATGTGTTTAGGTGGGGCTCTCTAAGTATGACCGGTGAAGAAAACTAAGCTTGTTTGTTGCGTTCTTGGCTGTTACATAGCTGACCGGCATGAGCCATACTTTAAGGAAACTGTCACCAACTTTGTTGTACAATTAGATCATCGCCATTCTCGGAGGGACCCACTTGCTCGAGCTAGCAACGCCTGGGCTACCCTTGCCCATGCCTTGCTCGATTACTGAGTGCCTAGACTACTGCCCCAACCGTTGGACCTTCCAGTGTACTCTGGCCTGCCATGGTGGACCGTCTGCCCACTTGGGCCTGCCTTTCCACTCCTTATATGAGGCCCAAAAGTCCTCACAGTTACACCCCCAATAGGTTAAAACTCGAACAAATTGAATATTAAACATGTACATAATTTGTTTCATTGCAAAGCCTAACCAAGGGCTTTCCACTTACAAAGAGGCTTTGTCCTTCTCACTGGGCTTTTTTTTTTTTTTTTTTTTTCGGCTCCAATTTTCAGAAGATTAAGCTGATAATTGTTTAGCTAGCCAAAATGGCAATGTGTGTACTAATGTACTATTTTCTCTCTGACAAATCATATCAGTCCATGAATTCACAAAGAAATATCATCTAAGACTTCATATGAGATTTATAGTTGGCTTTGTATTCATATTGTCAAACGTTTAATACACTAACCTTTCCCATTGGCAAATCTTAGGTACGACTTTGACATGGCAGGGGAATGACGTGACTGCCACAATTAAGAACAGGAAGCTGAAGGTACATGAATAGACTAGAACGATAAATATTTTCTCTCTTCCTTTTCATCTCAAAAGTTCATTCTCCATATCTGAGCTCAACAGTTAGGCTAGCTAGCTTAGAAGTCGATTTGATCAATAAAGAAAGTTGCTATCTTGCTATCTGTCCTTCCTAATATTCTGTTTTCTTTTAAACCAAGACTCTGCAATTACCTAATCGAGTTCTTATCCCCAGGATAATGGCGGACATGTTCCAAGCCTCGGTGAGAGTGGCGTGGGCAAGGTAAACTTGGAAGATTACCGACCTATCGATCCAGTACCAAATTCAAAAGCTTCCATAAAACCTGGACCTATCCAACATGGTACTCCCCTCATGCCTTACATTCCCGAGCCTCAGCCCTCGCCTGCGCCTCCTCCGAGTCCCTCGAAGCCCGAGGGATTCCCTTAGACCACACCCTCTGCATATCTATGCTACACCTTGCAAGTCTGAAGAATCTAGTAACTATGGTACTTAGTAAGTTAGTTTGCAGATAATTTCTGTCCAATATTCCTACCTTTGTTTTGACTATGTAAGCTTCTTAAGGACTACAATGTTTGATCAACTCATGCTATGATGGTAGACAAAGGAATAGATTCCACAAGACCATATCTCAGTATCTCACTGGATGAGACTAATCTAGTTGAATTTTAGTCGGTCCAATTCAGGAACAACTCTCTGGAGAGTATTTAATATCTTGCAAAACGAGACTAATCTAACTGACTTTTGATATCTCAATATTTCATAGGACAAGACTAATCTAGCATAATCTCAGTCAGTTCAATTCAAGAACAACTCTCTGAAGGGTGTTTAATATCTTGCAAAATGAAACTAGTTAGTTCAATTCAAGAACAACTCTCTGAAGGGTGTTTAATATTTTGCGAAATAAGACTAATCAGTTCAATTCAAGAACAACTCTCTGAAGGGTGTTTAATATCTTGCGAAATGAGACTAATCTAACTGAGTCTATTCCATGAGGGTGTTATAGGTTTGGCAAATCTAGACTTATTCTACTACTTCCAACTTAGTTGGCACCCATTCTAGATGTTGTGTGTCTAGGTGCCATGTTCGTGTTGAATGGAGTTAGGGTGGGCAGGAAAGAACGTTTCAACGGTAGGGCCTGCAAAACGTGTTTGATATACGACGGTCATAACTTGGGTGCTTAGCATCACACCATTAAAGCTATCTTTATTCTTTAAAGTATCTGCCTTCTAAAGCAATTTCACCTTAATTTCCTCACGGACAATAACCTAATACAACGTGTTCTTCAGGTCGGCAATGGCGTGTTCACATTCCTGTCCGGAAATTCCTACCTCCTTTTACGCGGTTTCGCCGGCGACGTGAAGAAGAACGTTGACATAATTAGCACATTTTTTTGGTGAACAAGAAAATCCACAACAATTAGTAAAAGCATGCATAAGGAAGTAAATCAGTCTAAATTATTCATAATTGATCACAATTTAAATCAAGAAAGTACTGTAATAAACAACTTTCATTGATATTCTAACTTGTAACATTATTTTTGGTACAGAATAATTACTAAGTTAATCGTCTGAACAATTTAATTAAAATTGTCTAATATTAACACATAATTTGTAACGAATTTAGAGAATTCTGCCAAATAAAACTAAATAAAACATTCATCTGGTAAGAACTAAAATTGGCCAAAATATATAAAAGATTGGAATTCAATCGAATATCTTGAAATATTTGTAGAAAAAAAAACAATGAATTGAATTGAATTAAGTAAAACTAATATCACTGTATTTACAGTACAAAGAATTTTCTGTCGTCTCAAAGATAAATATAAACTAACATTTTTCTTGAACTACTTTGAATCAAAATTGAGGGAGCAAATAGACATAAAAATCCAAGCGATTTGATATTAGAAGAGGTGGAGTTTTGTGGTTGGAATGGAAAGTCGTGCTTTCTTGGCCGGGTGAGGACTCTCAACTTCGTCTTCGGCGAAGCCGGGGGAGAATTCCGGCAAGGCGGGGAGGTTCAAGTCAAAGTCGCGGTGGGAGCTGTTGGTGGACCCCACGCAGTCCGACGAGGCGACCCCTACGCTGTTGCTTCTGGCGGCGGCGATCCTGACGTTGCCGCCTTCGTAGTGGCGCCGCTTGTGGCCCCCCAACGCCTGTCCGGTGGGGAAGCACTTGTGGCAAATTGAACACTCGTGGACCCGCCCGCTTCCGCCGCCGTTGGCTGAGCTGTTCCCGGTGGTGGTCGAGGTAGTTGACCTGTCATCTCCGCCGCCGCCGCCAGGCGCGGCGTGTTTCCGGTGGCTAGCCTTGTGCCCTCCCAAAGCCTGGAAAGACCCAAACGCCTTGTCGCACACAGAACACTTATACAAAAGCTTCTGCTCAGAAACCTGCCCCGCCGCCGCCGCCGTGGGCAAACGCTCCTCCACCGGAGCCCCGCCGCCGGCGCCGCCCCGAGCAAGCATAATAAGACACAGAGCCAAATACTCCTCCTCAGTAGGCTGATACTCCACTCCCCGCGCCCTCTTCGTCCTCTTCCCTTTCACCCAAGACTGATCAAGATACTGAATCGCCGGCGCCGAAGCCGCAGTGGGAGAGTTCAAAGCTTCAAGAGTGGCCATCTCAATAATTCCCAGAAAGATTGAACCTTTCAACTTCTTTAAATTAAACCGTGTGTGAGTTGGTAGCTAGCAGTGGTTATTAGAGCTGTAATGGTGGTTTTAGTTGAGTGTGAAGAAACTCAAGAAAGGGTTGTATATATATATAGGAAGTAAAAGGAAGTTGCGTGACAGGTATGAGGAAAGTAGGACGGTTAGTGAACGAATAAAATAGTGAGATTCTTGAAGATGAGAGATTGGTGCAGAGACAAGTGGAAGGTGGTGGCTATGAAAAGTCGGCTAAATGAGCGTGGGACCCATCTCAGAAGAAGCCACTCAGCAGCTCAACTCAACACTCAGTGGACTAAGCTTGGTCAAAGGTCAACCAGAAACAAAGAACAAGAACAATCTTAATAACAACTCCAGTCAAATTGGTCAGATGATTGACTTAATAATCACAAAGTTAATTTTTTAATTTTTAATCAGATTGATTCTCTATCTAAATGTGATAATTTGCTGACTAATATCACAATACAGAATTTATCCAGTATACATAAAGATCCAAATTTTTATTGTCATTAAAAAAAAAAATCATAGGTATATATTCTTATTCTAGTCGATCCATCCATGCACACCAATATAAGGTTCGTGTATGCAGACAAAAAACGTGATCTTTTGGAGTTTTAAATGGAGTTTAATTACAAAAAGTTACTGCTAATTTAAATTTTATATATATTTACAGAGCCGCCGTGGTGTGAGGAAGATGGCCAAATTAAGTTGCCAATTGAGACTTTGGTGGGGCTGATGAGAGGATCCGACGGTCGGACATTTAATTTGCGGTGCATACAGATTACGATTACAGATAGGTTTGAAATTAGATTTTTTTTGTTTTTTTTTTTTACTTGAGATAATGTAGTATTTGAATTCTGTGAATATAATTGTGAATGAATGGGAACAGTACAACGAAGTACAGGCAGGTGTACATTATGGAGCGTTCAACAACGTTTACCCACCCGGGGGAGGTTGAGTCAACCCTGAATTTTGCGAATTAGGTGTTGTTTTTGTAATTCACCACGTGCACCTTGTTTGGTTTCTAGAATTTTAGGTATATGCTATTCTAGACTCCCACCACGCACCGGGAATAGGAATAGCCACGTCCTCGAAACTTCCACACGCCACTGTTCCTTCCACGCGGCTACAGCCTACAGCCTCACACCACACAACTGACAACTACACAACCAACCACCAAATGCATCCAAAAATCCATTTTTTGCACTTCTATATTACTATATAAGTGAAAATTTTAATTTGTTCTTTTTTTTTTTAATTTTATAAATCATATATGATAACTTTAAGCACAATAAGTTATAGGAGACTGGCCAAATAGTTTGCTCAATTCAGATGAGTATAGATTATTTTAATTGTGCTTTCAAAAAAATAATAATAATACCAAACTAATAATTAATAAAATGAATATATAAGTATTGTGCAGCCATAGGCAAAGAATTGATAAAAGCCTAGATATTTTAGTATTGGGAGCTTAAGTCATTGCTTAGCTAACACGTGGTCCATGAATTTAATTTGTTGTCCTCTTCGCAAGTTAGAAACGTTGAACATATTTTTGAAGAACATATAATAGTCAACATATTTGTTAACTGTGCACGTAGTAATAGTAGTAAGTTAGGTAATCGTAATCCCAATTACTCTGATTTATTATAAAAAAAAATATAAAATTATAATTTAGAGTTGACCTTCCAAATAGTATTGGATAGTTAAAGACTTAAAGCCTTAAAGGTACAAGTTGGCCCATTGCTATTATTCATCATTCATAGCCCAATAGCCTGAGTAAAACTAATTGCTTGATGGACCAAACCGTGTAATAATTTGTTGAGAAAAGGGTCAAATAGCCCATAAACTTTACTTCAGATGTTAATTAGGTCCTTAAATAAAAAAAAAAAAAAGTTCAATTAAACTTTTAAACATGTCAAATTGGGTCAATGAAATTCAAAAATAAATAAATGACTTGTTATCACAGGTCATTTCAATTTCGGCGACAAAATTCGACCACGATCGTCAGATTCCAGTCATCTAGTCGTCTTCTCCACTGGAGAAGACGGCCGTCCGATCGTCTTTTCCAGTGAAAGACGACCGGAATCTGACGACGGTAGCCGGATTTTGTCGCCTTTCGACGGAATTGAAATGAACCTGTAATTTGACATGTTTGAGTATTTAATTGCACTTTTTTAAGTTTAGGGACCTAATTAACATTTGGGGTAAAGTTTAAGGACTTGTTTAACCCTTTTCTCTAATTTGTTAGATATCATATCATGATGTCTATTTTGTCACTATTTATTCTAAATACTGTCCACTAAATCATTGAGTTAAGCCCGTGCGAATTATTTTGTCACTAGTATACATATTACTAGTGAATATCAAGTGGGAATTTGTAATGTTTTTCACAAAAAGATTCTCAGCCTCATTTCATGCCATTTGGAAGGCATATAGAAGATGTGTTTCCCATTTGATTTTATTCAGCAGCAAACCGTACACCCACTCTAACTAATGTATGTGACGTACCACGATTGATTCCTTTCACTAATTTATATATGTATATATTTTTTAAGGTAAGTCAGCAACATATTCGAAAAAGTTATCACCAAATCTAATCCAATCTACCCTTTTTATCTAGCCCAATGGCTCTCCTCCTCTTTTATTTCTCAAAGTCAACAAAAGAGTAAATGGTTCATCCCACTTCTCCACATCCATCATTTTGAGACATGACACTTTCTATATTAACTTATTACGGAAGTCGTTTATTGACATCTTCGATTTGAACTGAATAATTATAAATAATTTAAATTGAGTTGTCTCATTGTGATTCCTTTGCTACTTTAAGTAACAATATGAGTTTTTATTCAAAACTCACATCTGCAGAGAAGTTACAAACTTTTTTTTTAAAATTAAAATATTCTTGGTATGTTGATCAAAATGTGTACACAAATTTATGCCATGTGTAGTGGACTTGGGTTGGACACTTGGGACCATTGATTCTCATGCTTCAATCAAGTTAATCATGTCAATTTTTGACATGAATGACTTATGTGAATTATTGGTTTAAATTTGTGAGAAATCTAATATTACTTTTTACATTTTAAGTTACACGGTGTAAATGTCGATTTGGTGTTTGAATGCATGAGATTTCAATATATAAAATTATACGAATCACACATAATAAGAGTAAACTAAAATCAGGAATCTAGTTTCAAGTGATGATTAAATTGTAACTCCAACCAAGTTAGTCAGGTTGTTGAATTATAATAATAATACGATTACAAGTTTGATTCGAAATTGAAGTCACCTATTGGTTATATTATTAAAAAAAAAAACGATAATTATTGAATCAAAATAAAGGATGTAAAAAATGTTATAGTTGCGTCCACTTATTTAGTCCACTTTATAACATCATGCCCCTTATTTCAATCGATGGAAGCAATCACCCACCAATTGGCTCTCAGACTCAGGGAGGGCAATTTTGGCCGAAAAAAGTTACCAAGATATTTTCAAGGTGGCAATTTAGTCCGAATAAAGTTACCTAACACAACTGCCTCCTTCTCCGCCGCCGCCACCACCACTCCAAAGCTAGCTCAGCCAATCCACGCGTCTGCCGGAGGCGATACCACACCCGTCTCATCGGACCCGGACACCTTGACGGAGATGGCTTCTCACGATCCGGCTATCAAAGACACTCGAATCGCCCAGATTTCATCCGCCATTCGCGTCATCCCCGACTTCCCCAAACCCGGTACCGATTCTCTTCTTCCAATTCTCTCTCCCCTCGTCTGTATATATGTGTGTATACATATTTCTTTTGGGTTTCCTTTAATGTGCCTTAAAGTTGCGACCTTTGAGTGGTCTGTCTGATTTTGGAGATCATTGGCAGGGATTATGTTTCAGGATATAACGACGTTGCTGCTTGATCCCAAGGCTTTCAAGGACACTATCGATTTGTTTGTGGAGAGATACCAGGACAAAAAGATCAATGTGGTTGCAGGTCATCTCTTTGCAAATTTCGTGTTTTTTTTTTCTTGTTGTCTTTCCACATATGAATTCGATCTTTAAAGTTATGAGCTGTGGGTTTTAAAACAGGTAAAGTTATGAATTCGTGTTTTGGCATCCATTAAAGTTTGTATAAGAAATTGAGAACTATTGTAGAAAGTTTGCTTGCCTTCTCTCTGAGAAAAACAAAAAAAAAATCAAAATTTTTGATCTGACTATGCCACCTGAAAATGAAATATGGAGGATAAGTAAGAAGCAATGTATTTTAGTTTGAAGTTCCAGGCAAATCACGGGAATCATTTGTTTGCAAGACATTTTACATCACAACTAGATTAAATAATACATATTTTTGCTGATGATCGTGAGTTTGTGAATTGAAATCTAATAGTGGCCTTTCATGCACACCATAAGCAGGATCATCGACTGTTTTGTCTTAAAGTACTATGTACTAAAACTATTTGGTTTTCGTTGTACCCACAGGCTTGTGGAAGACATAATCCTTTTATTTTTGCAGGTATTGAAGCAAGAGGCTTTATTTTTGGCCCTCCAATAGCATTGGCTATAGGGGCAAAATTTGTTCCTATGAGGAAACCCAAGAAGTTACCTGGTACATGGCTTTTAATCCCATCTTTTTGTTTCTTTACTTTCATTTCTATTGCTATAGATATTAATGTCCCCAAATGGGAGGTCACAAGTTCGAACCCCAGTGAGTGCATTGACTCTTTGTTCTTTAATAGGTTATGGACAGATACTACATTGTAGCAGAGTCAGTAGTACTAAAAAAAGATATTAATGTCCCTGGGATAGCATGAAGCATGCACTTGTGAGTGAGAGGAAATCAAGAATATACATATTTTTAATATGCGCATGTTTAATGAAGAGAGTGGTTGTAATAATTGAAATTCACAAGCTCATCATTTTGTCATATAAAACTATGAAGTCTTGGTTGAAAATAAAAATGCCTTAACAAAACTATCTGAATGTCCAAACAAAAACAAATTGCGATCCCTGCCATATGTATCAAGCAACATTGTTAAGAATTCAGTCAAATAATTTATGTCATAATACATAGTAACTTTATTATTTTATGCTTGACAGGTGAGGTTATCTCAGAAGAATACTCTTTGGAGTATGGAACAGATGTAATCGAGATGCATGTAGGTGCTGTCCAAGATGGGGAACGCGTCCTTATAATAGATGATCTTATTGCAACTGGGGGTACCTTGGGTGCTGCAATCAGGCTAATTGGTATCGTCTTGGTTTCTTGTTGGTTGCTGCATTTTCTTGTGATATAAAATAATAGAAGTTCACCTTTTCCGTTTTGTTGGTTTTCTTTTCAGAGCGTGTTGGCGGCACTGTGGTTGAGTGTGCATGTGTTATTGAATTGCCAGAACTGAAGGTATGCCACTGTCTTCCAATATCCATCAATATTCATAACATGTTACCGAATCACTTTGTAGCCTTATTTTTTGGGTCTCTATTTCAAGTTTCCTTTCCTAACTTGGATCCGCTTGTGGTGTGGATAACTTATGAGCACACTTTCATGTAGCTTCCATAAACGTAAAAGAACTATCTTGTGTAAAATAAACTGTGCAGAACGAACTAATATCATCTTACATTTAGCATCGTATGTCCACTAATTGAGACAATATGTCCTTAGCTGAGGAACTTGGAAATCAAAGCTGGAAGATCAAGTTATCTTACTTCCTTACCATGTTGCTCGAATTTGTTGTCTGGAATCTTGAAAAGTTATCTGTTAGTTGGTGTATGAACCTTTTGGCACAGGAATCTGAAAAATCCTTAACTATTTGAGTTAAAATCATTGGCCCTGTTTGGTAAAATAGTTAGCCTATCCGCTAATTTTGGCTTATTTGACCACTATTAGCTGTTTGACTTGGTTAAACAATTAATATGAGTGTTTGATTAGTTAGCTTTTTGTAACAACTTATTGCTCCAAAATGCTAAAATTCAAACAGCTGCTCAAAGTAGCTTTCTCGATTAGCTTTTTGTAAAAGTCATTTTGTATGTAATCAGCTAACAACTAACAGCTAATTTACCAAACACTTTTCTACAATCAGCTAATGCTATCAACTAGTCAAACCCACTAACCCAATCAGCTAACAACCATTTACCAAACACCCCCTGAGCGTGACTCAGACCCTTTCCACTCGAGCCTACGCCTTTTGGTCTATATGCTCGTTTTTGTTCTGTATGCATGATTGGGTCGTTTTGCTTAATGCCAGGGGCGGGCGCGGTTAGGAGACAAACCACTGTTTGTTCTTGTGAGCTCAACTTGATCATGAAACGTAGCATACGTGGAATGTGGAGTTACAGTTTGACATGTGAGCAGTGGGAAAGCAAGCATGCTCAAGTTGGTTGGTTCCCATTCAAGAGAGATCTTAACAATCTTATCTTCTTATAATAACAGCAGAAAATTGAATCCTGGCTTTGATCAGTTGATTGTAATAAGCTTTAAAGGTTGTTGTTTTAGTTGGATTGTTGCATAGTATAACACGAGACATCTTATTTATGTGTGATCATCAACTTTCCTATTTCACTACTTACAACTTGAATACTTCTCATCTTCTAATCGGATAAATTCTTATTTTTATTTTCTTTGAGAATTGAAGTGAACGAAGTCAAGCTCTCTTAGCTGTTATTTCTGATTCTTGATGTTAGGATTTTAGCGAAATTTTAAGGAAAAAGTTTGCCACTTCCTTAAAAATTTAAGGAGTAAATTTATACCTATACTATGGTTGCAGAAGTACAAATTAAGAATTTGTATGTATTTATTTGCATATTATGTAAAGATATATTGTAAATATTAGTTGTATTAATGTATTTTATGAGTGGCAAAATCTCACAACTATTACCGAATAGTGTGTACTAGGTATTAGCTTAGGTGGTTCGTGGTTGGTAGTTAACTGATTTGAACCTATAACTCATAAATTTTAGACTTGGTCGTACAAAGTCGGCCTAATCGACTCCATGAAAAAACAATTTCCAAAAGATGATTTCCCAGAATTGTTCAAACATCTTCCTAATTGCTTGCGTATGACCATCTCATTTAAAATTTACAATATTTTTTTAACTAAAATATAATTTTTTATATGAATCTATATACAAGTATTACGAAATACATCTTTGTTAAAAAAACATTACACATTTTACATATACCTCACACATTATTAACTACGGAGTATTTTATATATTTCTTTCTTTCTTTTTAGTCTTGGTTTTCTCGTTCTTGTTCAGGACAATACGTCGTGCAATGGGCGGTGCAATATATCCTAAACACCCAAACCCCATATTGAAATATAGATCCATAGAACTGAATCAGCTGACGTACGTACACAAGATTTCCTAGGAGATAAAATGATTAATTTCTTTATTCTTGGTGCTTAAAATTTATGAGCAGTGTGTAATTGTGACACGTAGGATTGAAACGCGGGGGATTCGCCAGAATCATAGGCAGATCAACGACTAAGTACAGGCAATTCGAATCTTAAGTACTGCTTTATACCCCTAGGGATAGTTCATTCAAGGCCACATATGTATATCAAATAATGAATGATTTGTTGATATCATCACAGCTAGGTTTTGGAAGTTGTGTCGTCATATGTTTCCTGCTTTCCAAGAAGACTTATGATTAGATATATATGTGGTTTATTACGGAGTAGTTTAGTAGATTACTTACCGATTTTCCCTAATTAACTATATATAGGTCTATCTGGATTATGGCCGGTTTTTGCACGTTTCAACTTTAATCTTCAATTACACCGTGTTAATAACCACAAATGAAGATGACTTTTGTTTTTTATTTTTAATCACTCCAAACCCAAATTTAACTTGCTAAATTAAAACAAACCCATGAAAATAAGGGACATAACGCTCATCCTATCATTCAAAAAAGACCTCGAAATAAATCATAACCTCTAACCAAACTATCAAATTGATATTTCAAAACCTACACGAACTTAGCTCACTGGTTCAGTAGGCAATATTTGAGAGAAGCGACCAATGTTCAAACCTTAACAATGATAGTGTGAAGATTATGCCTAAAGTGAGCAAATTCTTTGTGCGCATAAGTATTTGGCTATGTCTGCTCAGTCACTGTAATATACATTCTCCTAAATACTTTGTCAGAATCAGGGATTCAGCCTTTTTGGGAGAAGAAGAATTTGATATTTCAGAATCTTTTGAGGGCACATTTAATCCATGCAAGATGTAATCTTTAGGAGTATTTAATTTAAGAAATAAGGTTCAAATTGGCCACTGAACACTCTAAAAATGTGCAATTTCACCTGATAGCAGGTTACCTTCAATTTTAGCAGGTTATCTGCTTACGTGGCAGCTGAGTTGGCATTTTTAATAAATTTTAATAATAAATTTTTATTAAAAAAATTTTTAAAAATAAAAACGACTTTATTTTATTTTTTATTTAATTTTTTCCAATTTTTTATAAAATTTATTATTAAAATTAATTATTAAAAATTATTTAAAAATTATTAAAAATGTCAACTAAGCTGCCACGTAAGCAGGTAACCTGCTAAAATTGATGGTAACCTGCTATCCGGTAAAATTGTATATGTTTGGAGAGTTCAGTGGCCTAATTGCACATTTTTTGAGTGTTCAATAGCCTAATTGCATTTTTTTTTTTTTCGTTCAGTGGCCTAATTGCATTTTCAGGTTACGTTCAGTGGCCAATTTGAACCTTATTCCTTAATTTAATAAGCACAAATGATTACTTGGGGATGGGCTTTAGAATATGTAATTGGGTAGCTAGGTAATATTTAATAAAACATATATCCATCACCTTGCACATCCTCCTCCCTCCAGTTATACAGTTCATATAACCCTTTAGAAGTTAATAACAGTGGTCTGAGTTTTGGCCATTGGATATATGAAAAGACAAAGAACGAGGTTTACGGTTACCATGTCGGATATTGGAAGACAACCAATCATACATACTCATCATCTCTACATACAGCAATCGCTGGCCGCCCTTTTGCTCTTTTTTTTTTTTTTTTTTTTTTTTGGATATTTAATTTAGTAATTATAAAATTTCAAGTTACGATCTATTATCTTCTTGATTTGAATCATTCAGCTATAAACATTAAACAACTTAGGTTAGTTTAACTTTTTCGTCAACTAAAATAATTATAAGATGGATTATTTTTTATTTAAAAAAACATTGAAAAAATTTTACAGTCTTTAAGAACGTTTAAAGAAGTTAGTTTGCGAGTTTGTTAAGCTGTATATATATGTTATTAGTGGGTAGTCATGGGAGTCATAACGACCCTAATGATTGATTCAGACAGTTAACCTGTTTAAAACACCAGTCTTGAATCTTAACGCATATTAAGGTAAGCTGACTAATTAATATAATGGGCGCAATTAAGGTTGGGACTTGGGAGGCACTATATATCTTAATGCATAATTGCATGAACTTGGTCCCTCCTCTGAGCTGTCATTTGCCTGCAGGTTGTTGGCCCCACCTCCAAATCATTTTTTACAAAAATATCAGTTGGAATCATAGAATCAGTATACAAACATATAAAAATGTTAATTGGGCAAACCGGTGAAGTTAATTGCTCAAATTGTTGACTTAGTAACTATAATATTATATAAGAATATAGACTATCTATTGACTTTCTTAATTTGAGCCGGTTAGTTATGAGTTATCTAGGCTGGTGAATCTTTTACCGACTAAGAATCACTAATTAAAAAAAAAGTTAAAAAATTCTAACTTTAACATTTTAAGGTATAAATATGTCCAAATCTTTATAGTTTTTCCTCATTCCTACCTCATAAGTTAGAACCTTGTTGTTGTCACCCTTGAGAATACTTCTGTACAACAAAAGTACAGTTCTTGATTAGTATCTGTACACAAAGAACAATTATATTCTTGATCTGTCATCAATGGAGACAGTGGGGGCTGCTGCTTTCTTTGATGAGGAATGGGAATCGTCATTGAGCAAACTGTTTGCTGTTGAGAATCCTGATTTCATGTTCCAGCTCCAAGGTGATGACAATGGCGGCGCTGGCTTTGAAGCCCCATCCACTTTCTGGCAAGCTGTTGAGGCTGCAGAAGCTAGTAACAATGGCGGTGGAAGTCTTGACAACCATTTGAACCACCTTGTTCAATCTGATGATGAGTCCATGAAGTTTTTCGTGGTATCCCAGAATGAGTTTGATACTTCAGTTCCTGTTTTCGATCCTGACGAGGTTATCAGAGACATCTCGGACGAGGTTGAAGTTTCAGAAGAACAGACAACCAGAAATGGAAATCCCAAGAAGAGAACACGATCAGTTTCGCGGGATGTGAGTTCACACTACTGTATATATCTATCAGATCATCATATCTTGTGAAATTTACATTTAATTGGTTTCTGATCTGAAGGGTTTATGTGTTAATCAATCATTATATTGAATTCATGCAGGGCCAGAAGAATAAAAGGAATAATGCAAACTCAAAGACAAAGAAGAATCCTAAGAACATGACTGAAAATTCCAATGGAGAAGAGTATGACAGTAATACTATAATGTCTGCAAATAATGCAGTGCAGAGCTCAAGCTGTTACAGCAGCGAGGATGATTCTATTGCATCTCAGGATTTGATCAATCCTGGATCGACCACCTCGAATGGGAAAACAAGGGCAAGCAGAGGGGCTGCAACTGATCCCCAAAGCCTATATGCAAGGGTAGGTAACACATACATAATCCTAAAATGTTGTGTTCATTGCCACAAGGTTACGAGGACCCGTCTATTGGCCGGCCTTTTTGATTTGAGTCTGTCAATTATGAACAACCTAGACTGGTTTAACATTTTTTAATTTGCCGGCTAGGGTCACAAGACAAGTTTATCTGTACACACTTTTGAGTAGTGACTGCAGGTTTTTCGGGTCTTGTGTTCATTAAGGTTATAATGTATGGTGTTGTGTGATAATTATCTTTAACTACTTGCAGAGAAGAAGGGAAAAGATAAATGAGAGGCTGAGAATCTTGCAGAGCCTAGTTCCCAATGGAACAAAGGTTGACATTAGTACTATGCTTGAAGAGGCTGTCCACTATGTAAAGTTCATGCAGCTTCAAATCAAGGTATATATATGATCACAATTTCATGTCATTTTCTTTAATTTTTTTTTTTTTTTCATATGAACTTGCTAAAGAAGAAAGCCATTGATTGAATCTTTTGATATTGTCATGCAGCTCCTAAGCTCAGATGACCTGTGGATGTATGCTCCAATTGCTTACAATGGAATGGACATTGGCCTTTACGAAAAGATGCTATTACCAAGCTCCTGATCCGATCTTTAAAACGTTACTTTATTATTATAAAACTATAGATTCTTTTAATATACTGATTAGTCATTGATTTTAAGAGTTGACTCACTTTTTCTCTCTTTTTATCTCATCTTTTCACCCAATCAATACAGATCACGTGACGAAAGTAATACTGTCAAAAATCTACTTAGCATTTCCCTACATCTTGCAGTTGTGTTCTCAATTATTTGCTCATTGATGATGGCAATTAACCCAAAAGTGGGATCATCAGACAATGTAATAAACAAATACATACAATAAACCATGAAGAGTAATTCTCATGTTCAGTTTTATACTATGTACTATGTAGTATGTAATAATATCTCTTTCACAATAAAATGGACCGCAATGGCCTGGCCCAATATATAACCTGTTTGATATTAATAATACCTGAAAATCTGAAATGAATCGTTCAAATATTTCATTTTTATAAACTACTCAATAAATAAATTAATAAACAATAGAATAAGTATATTTTCGATTTTTTGGAATGTTATTATATTTCAAATCTAATACGCGAACAAAATTTGTTACCAGAATTGTATTACATGTACTGTTATTTTACTTTTTACTTATTGATTAATCATTATCTCTATGGACGTAAGAATATATAATCATGAGGAGGGAAAATGAGAGTACTTAGGTTAAGAATCAATTATTATTTTTTAAATATGATCACAAATATTTTCATAATTAATGTTACTCCATTTAATTTGAGCTAAAAGAGATTCGCAGTTTCGCACTATATAATTTGGTGAGTTGTGTTTCCGTACTTTCATCCAGTAGCAGTGACGTAGTTATTTGACAAAGTTAACCTTCCAAAATGAGGACTAACGTTTATGAATTTATTACCAAATGAGTATAGTCTGTACACTAAACTGAAAAAGTAAAACAATAATGAACAAAAGGGCATGAATGTAAAATCGCAATGAAAACGCACACACATACACACAGTAAGAGAAGAGAGAGAGGACTTAGTTCGCAATACCCCGAAAGGCGAAAGCCCCAAAAACAGAATTCCCAACTTCTCTCTTTCTTTTCTTTCTTTCTTTCTTTCAGCGCCATGGCTGGGGCGGAGCAGCCATTAAAGAAACGGAAGCTATACGAACAGCTCAAAGAACCCTCACCTCCGGCGCTGTCTTCACCGCCGCTGCTGCCTCCGGCTGCTCAGCCACCTCAACCGGCGCCTCCGCCAACGCCGCCGCAGATATCACAGGATGAAGTTGTCCTGCGGAGGAGGAACCAGGAAGAGATCCGGAATGTTTATGAATGCTACAATCGAATTAAATTCTGCATCGCACAGAAAGATACGCGCCTCACGTCTGACCTCGAACGAGCCTACGCCTCCCTCGTCACTGCCTCCAGTGGTACAATTTTTATTTATTTATTTATTTATTTATTTTATGTATTTCAGTTCTGCCCCTATTTCACTGCTCTTACTGTTTTCTCTATAAATCCTCTTTCTCCCTGTTAATTTTTAACTCCAATTATTATTTTAGGTGAGTGATTTTCTTTTTCAAAGCTGATGAGGTAAAGTTTAAATGGAGTTTTATTTGATGTTTTTCATCTTTTCTCTCCTTTAGCTTTTGTGCATTTGGTTCACATACTAAGCACATTATATACTTGACTTACTCAAAGCTGGCACTGAAGAATAAAATGCTTAGTTATTAGAAAGTAAGAGTCTTTTGGATGTTTCCTAGGGTTTTATCCTTGGTAACAGAACTGTATAGAACCAAGGATTGGGTTAACTACTTTTTCTCGAAACAAAAGTGGGATAAAAATATATGCAAAATTTTGGCTTTAGGCTAGCAATAAGGACTGTGAAGTAGATATTTTGAGGTAGCCTGTCATATGTACACATTTGATATGCTATGTGCTCTATGCTTGTGCTATACTGTTATTTGAAGCTGGTTTATATCACATGAGATAAGATTGCATGACATGATGTATTTGAGTTGTCCTTGTTCAAGCGGTGCTGGTGTAAGTGCAAAGATAAATACTGCATAATACCTAGCTAGGCTGCTAGGGTAACAATATAATTAAGATGAAATGTAGTATCTAGAATTTTTCCCACCTGCATCCCCTGATGCACTTAATTGTTTTTAGCAGAGTGGATTTGCAGTAAATATCTTGACTCGTCAATGAAGTTCTAAAATCAGTTTTTTTTTTTTTTTTTTTTTTTTTTTTTTTTTTTTTTTTTTTTTTTTTGGCTTCAAAGGTTGCAGTAGCGTACAGCGTCTCACAGCTGAGTTTATTCCCAAATATGCATCATATTGCCCATCTGCTCTTGGATCTGCTGCCAAGGTTTTAATCAATATGCATAATTGGAGTTTGGCAGTGATCAGTAGAGGTGAAGATGCAGATGGTGTTGCACTTGACACTGCTAAAGCCTGCATTTTTGGCCTAGCTGATATCTGTGTAAGTGCTGCAGCTGCTGCACCAATGTCATCAGTTATTCAGGGCATCTGCACCACAGTGTTTCGTGATGCAGTGACCTTCTTCATATCCTCCTTTGAAGGGAAGAATATCTTCCAGATTGTTGATAAAGAAATCCTAAAAACTGATGATGTTTTGGATTCGTTTTCCCAGTACCAGCAAAAAATTTTAGCTTTGGATGATTCCGTCTTGCTCAAATTATCAAAATTCCGTGCTCTAAGTCTTCTTAGAATTTTCTTTACATGCTCTAAAAATTCAATTGCAACATGCTTTGAGCTCTTTGACTCTACTGCAGCAGAGGAGACCCACAAAGAAGGATATTACTTTCTAAGGCAGTTAACAGACAGATTTGATGAAACTTTATCCTGCTCTTCGAAGGTTGAATGCAATGGATCAATACCATCTACGTCTTCCATGAACACAAGCTGCAGTGGCAATGATTCCAATGATGATGGTTCTGCAAGAGGGGGTAAAAATACCTTAAAACATGCAAAAGCAGTTCCCAGAAACTGCTTACTGGGCCTGGTAATACTCAATTTCTACCTTCATTAGAACCATCTTATGGGCATTTGCTCCTTTGCTCTCCAGCACTTGCAGACAGAAAATTATCAGCCTATAAGACTTGTGTGTTAGATTAAAGATGATTCTTGCATTCTGACACATCTATCTTATCATTTCTTACCTTTGTTACAACCATCTTATGGGCATTTTGTTCCTTTGCCATCCAACACTTGCTGACAGAAAATGAATCGGACTAGTGGCTGCAGTTAGAGATTAAATATTGATTCTTGCATTCTCACACATCTATCTTATCATTTCTCACCTTTGTTACAACCATCTTACGGGGTGTTTTGCTCATTTGCTGACAGAAAATGCATTGAACAAATGACTGTGTGATAGACTTTTTCTTTCAGCTTTATGTGTATTTTGCAGTTATATGGTTGGCTGTACACACACACACACACACACACACACACACACACGTACATGTGTGTGTGTGTATTAAATTTTTCGTGTTTTAGAGTAGATCTCAACAATCCCAACTTTCAAGTTCCTCTACAACTTCATTAACAAGTACTATAACATTAGCAAAAGTGTACACACCACAAATCATCTTGAACGTACTTATATCTGCCAATAGGTATCTAGAAGAAATGCTACTTCTATTTTTTGTGTGAAAGTGTTTCTACATCTCTTTTATCAGTAAAAAATCAATGTCACCCTTGAGCACTCTTTGGATTTTTTGATCTGAGAATTTTGAATTTAAGTATTGTAATATGTTGACTTCTTTTGGTTGCTATTGAACTTTGTGTATACTGAAATAGTGAAATTACACTAGATTGGTTTTAATGGCCTCTGCTGACAAGGTGTCATCTTTGGCTATGTTTATACAGGTTCTAAACAACGATCAATCATTAAAAAATTGGGTCATTTCTAGGTATAAGAAGTTAAGTAAGTCAGGATTTTCTGAAGTTGTCTCAGTAATTACATCTATCCTGGATGAAGTTTTTGACTCTTTTTTGGATCAAGTTAAGGCAGAGGATGTTAAGGAAGAAAGTGAGGATGATTTGTGTTCAAGAGAGTATGCTGATCAGTTTTCTCTTCCCAGAGTCTGTAGTCAAGGGCAGACTTCTGAGGTTTCTAGAAGTGTAACAGGTTCTCAATTAGCAGATTGTCGTTCAAATATTAATAATTTTGGGTCTAGGTCCATGGTTGTTGATTCCAATGAGCAAGGGGATTTAGCATATAATAGGCCTTCCAGATCAGGGGAATTGTTAAATCAACAAATTCCTTCACCCAGAACGAGACCAATGTACCTGAGAAGTTGCAGTTTCGATAGTGGAAGCTGTAGTTCTCCAACAGAGAAAAATCTTATTCCAAACATGGATCATCCACTACCTGCATTGAGAACTTCCAGTGGAGTTGCGGTTGGCTCTACTCCATCCCCTAGACAGAATTTGCCACTACACCAACCTTCAACAAATCAGGTGACTTGGTTCTGTGACGGTGACCCAGCAGCTTTGGATATATATCCTGCTTCAAAACATCTCTGGCTGGGTTCTTTGGATCCTGGTGTATCTGAAGGACTTCTTAGACATCAGTTTGAGAAGTTTGGTCCATTGAACAATTTTTCATACTTTCCCCTAAAAGGGTTTGCCTTGGTTGAGTTTAGGAACATTAGGGATGCTGTTAAAGCCAGGGAACTCATGCGAAGAAGTTCTCCTTGGGGCACTGCCCTTAGCATTAAATTCTTGGATGCGGGATATGGAACTAGGGGTGCTATAAATGGTGTTGCAGTTGGTTCTAGTTGTCATGTTTACATTGGAAATGTTCAAAACCAATGGGTAAAGGATGAGATCATCCATGAACTAAGGAAAGTAATTTATAAGGGCCCTGTCATGGTTACTGATCTCAGCAGCGAAGTTGCATTGCTAATGGAATTTGAAACACCTGAGGAGGCTGCCATGGCAATGAATCATCTTAGGCAATGCCGTAATTCAAAGAATAGCTCTCCTCGACCACAAAATGTAGGTCCAGTGAACGTCACTATGCGTGTAGATGGTTCAAGGCTGGTTTCCACCTCCTCTGTCAATAATATGATTGTGCCATCCCATGCTCAGACTATGGTTGAGCAACAGCCCAATGCCCGCACAAGGTTGTAAAATCTTTCTGTGCTTTGGTAATACTGTTTGGAAAGAATATCATTATAAACAAAGGTTATTTGATTGAGAACTAATGTCTTTATCAACATTCCAATCTCCAAATGGTAAACTATCATTTTTCCTAGATATTATTTAGCTATTTTTGATCTTGCAATCAAACAGGAAGGTTCTATTCCCTGGCTGATAGCTTTTCCAACACACCCATTTTAATTTTGTTAGCCATCTTTGGTTTTGCAGTCAAGTCAACATGTTCTATACTGACTGATAGGAGGATATATGTCAATGGGCACTTCTTTGTTATTTGAACCAGATGCATAATCTCTGCAAATAATCTTCCAAAGAATCTTAGTACCTATGCTTATCCTGTTTTATGTGATCACAAATGTTATTGCTATTGACACTTGTGTCAAGAAATGTTTTCTTAAACAAACACATCCCAAACCCCCATCAAAAGTTAAGCTATGTATAATCAAGGAGTCTAATAGCTATGTTCTTTCTGCTTTTTGAGCAGTCAACCTGGGTTGCATCATGTTCCTGTTTCTGCAAAGCCTGATAATGGTTTTCTGGAGCATACCTCTCCTAGAATGAAGCCAGAGCATGGGGCTATGACAGCCAGTGGACATCATGGGTTTCAGTCAAACTGGAGACCTATTGTGTGCCAAGGAATGCCTGAAGTTGGAGCCGGTGAATCTGACAAAATGGCTGTTGATCCTTCCCATCGAGGTACTATTTCATTTCATTATTCAACTCATGGTTTTCCATCGATATAAGGTACTTACAATGTCTAGGTCATCGGTATTAATTTCAGGTGGTAGCATTTCTGACAGTGGTGATCCGATGTGGGTATATGGGAAATCTGAAAGAGAGCTCCAATCTGGAGCAGGAGCCATTTCATGCATACCTCCACCAACTCAAGGACCTGCTATGGGACCATCAATGTCCATTCAGGGACCTCCTGCTGCACCACAACCTGTTCAAACACCTCCAGTAGCACCACCACAGCCAGGTCAAGCACTTCCATTTGCGCCCCCACAAGTGGCTCTAGGGCCTCCAGTTGGTCCACCACAGCCAATTCATACACATCTAGTACCACCACCACCACAGCCAATTCATCCACCTACTGTTGGACCATCACAGCCAATTCAAACACCTCCTTTCATACGACCTGTTTACTTTACTCCAACTGGTTGGGATGCACATGCTTTGAACCATAGCATGCCTCCAAATCCTACTTCATCCAGTGTAATGCCTAGTAGTATTCATCACAATGCAATTGCACCGCCATATCTGCCTGCTTCTGTGACTCCCATTGCTCAGATACAAGCAAGCTCAATGCCACCATTCAGTCATACGTTCTACATGAACAATCGCCCTCCTTTGACATCTTTCCCTGCCCCACAGCCTGAACTGACGCCTCCATTTACTACACAGCCTATGTTGCAGCCTCCATTACCTTCATCCCCACCTCATCCACCTTATCCAGCGCCACCTATTGCTCCTCCTCCACCTAGTTCCCCACCTCCTCCCCCTCCACCATCAGAATCTTCCAATTCAGAGAATTTGAGGCAATGTCCACAGCATCAATGGCAGGGAACCTTGAATAAAAGTGGGGTTCATTACTGCAAAATATATGCACAGAGGGTGGATTCTGGTATCTGCAAGTATTCAAGTGCTGTTGCTGAACCAACTGAGTAAGGAATTGGGATCTTTTGATATTGCAACTGATTCACAAAGGGATTGTGTTCTTACCATATTTTATTTGCCTTTTGTTTCCAATATATGCAGATGGCCTGCAAAGTTAGATATGACAAAACGCACAGATTTTCAGCATGTCATGTCTACATTTTCTAATACTCCGATTAACAAAGTGAGTTAATAATACTGGAAACCAATTCTTATTCTGTTTCACATCTCTTATTTCTTTTCTTGTTGTTAGAAGGACAAAGTAATGCTTTTAGATTTAGGAATTTAGCACTCTAGCATTTCATTTCTAGATTAGTTCATTTTCTAGCTAACTTGTAATTCATTTTTCTAGTTTTAGTGTCTTAGACTAGTTAGATTTTTTAATTGGATTAGGAATTTTTCATGCCATTGACAACAGGGTGTGTATTGAAATACAAAAATGCAGAATTAGTTTATTGATAAGCAAATTGCTTTTCTTTATCTTTGCCTTTTTTTGGGGGGGGGGGGGGGGGGGGTGGTGGGGGTTGGTCAAGAATTGGGTCCTAGTGCTTTTGTGAATTTCTTTTCCTTGGAAGGATCACATCTTCATTTCGCCTGCACCAGATCTACAGATTCACTGGGAGAGAATAATGGTAATATAGGTGCTTAGATAGTTTTAAAATTAACCTCTCATACTATTGAAGGAACCTTTTTGTTATGCTTCAAGTCTTCTTGCCATGATGAGATACAGTTCAGTAGCTTAGATGTGGCACTAGGGACTAGGGTTGAACTTTTAAATAATCTATTTGATTAATGCTTTTCAGAAAGCATTTGAAGAGGGATGTGGACATATGTTAAAGGGAAAAATGAAACGATTGGTTGAAAGAACTAAGAGCCATGAAATTTTATGATCATCCTGTAATAGTCATGCCAGTTGTTTTTCACAAATAAGCCTTACTATCTTAGCAAAATTGGATTATTTCAAGAAGTGGAGCATTAATAGAACTTGATTATGGGGTGTTTGGTTTGCTTGAAATTTTTTTCCAAGGAACTAGAATTCCTAAAAGTGGAGGAAAATTTAATTATGCTTTGTTTGGTTCATAGGAATTTTTGTCCAAAAGAACTTGAATCCCTCAAACATTGTTGTTAAGGCGTTGTCTAGGCGTCCGGTCGGTGGAGACCGGTCGCCTAACGAGCTCGCCTCGCCTTAAACAAAAAAAATCCCCACTAATACATAGTTGACTCTCCCCCTCCCAGCCTCGCCTTAGTGGTTGTTTACTTTGTTTTATGATAGGTTATGGCTTAAAATGAAAATAACCCCAATTATGATCCATCAACGGATCCTAAAAGGAAGGCTAAATCTAAGACCCATGTTGAAAATGCTAAATTATTGCATAATTTAGTACTTATTGTTGAGATTTGAGAATATGTTTATATGCTAAAATGTTAATTTATGAATTAACAGTTTAACACACACACACACGGATATATATATATATATATATATATATATATATATATATATATATATATATATATATATATATATATATATATATATATATATATCCTCATTGCCTAGGCGACTAGGCAGTCGGTGGCACCTTGCCTTGAAATTCCGCCTTAACAACAATACCCTCAAATATGTGGAAAATATTTTCTTTAGTCATCTTATATATATATATATATATATATATATATATATATATATATATATATATATATATATATATATATATATATATATATATATATATATATATATATATATATATATATATATATATATATATATATATATATATTTTTTTTTTTTTTTTTTCTCATGGCATTTGGGAACAAAGTTCAACCTATCATCACCAAACTACCCTCATATGACTTGATTGTATTGAGCATAATTTGGAGATGAAAGTTATTAAATAATGCTATAATATATATTATATTATTATAATTTATAATAAAATATATAATTATAATATTTTAATTTATAAATTATTAGTATTACTTTTATTATCATTATTATTGTGTAGGGGCTAACTGTTCTTTATAGTTTATACTTATTACTCCTTACAACTCTAAACCCAAATGGAATCAATATTCCTAGTAATTTCTTTTCCACGAACCAAACAATGGAATCAAATTTTCCAGTAAGTTTTTTACCATGGAATTTAAATTCCTTTCCTCAATTATTTTCCACAAACCAAACAGGGTGGTCACTGAGGCACTGACTGTTTCACTTTTTCCAATTGCTAAGAGACATGCACAAGAAGGAAAGTCCTGCTTTGCTTAGTGAAATATGCTGAGCTGGTGGGGATTACTTGATAATATTTATGTCTGCAGTTTATGGTTAATATAGTCGAAGGGGAAGCCGCTAGTTACTGATTACGTTGTGCTTGTATCGTATCTTTTGTGTTTTGAATGAGCTTTAAGAACTGGTTTTACTTGCGAATATGTCCCCCATTTATCTGACTTACTGATTCTGAATACAATACAGAGAGAGATATGCTGGTTGCTTCCTACTTGTCAAGAGGACCATAAGGGGGTAAGTTAATCTCTGCTCTTATATTTTTGGTTTTCCTTTTGTAGTTATGCGTAACTGTCACTGGCATATATAATAACCTTTTTTTTTTTTTGAAAGGGAGGCATATATAATAACTTAATATAAGCCTTGTGTTCCAAAATAATTGTTGTTGTTTACCAAGCATTAAAGCCAGGCATTTAAGCATTCTTTTAAAATATTATGAGTTTTCAGCACTCTTCCCTCTATAGTTTTGGTTTTGCCTCTTTTGCACATTATCATCTATAGTTCAAATACCCATCCATACCTTGTCATTTTTGAAACATTGCAATTTAAACTTGTTTTGGCCAAATTTTCTAATAACTTTTCACCCTTAATTTTCTTGAGCTTTTATATTTTTTTGAATTAATTTTCTTATAACAATTATTAGTTCAACCATTTTACACATCTCCACCTAAGAAAATAACTAAAAGTAATTTCTCTAAGCCACTAAGCACACATTTTATGTTAAGTGCTTAATATTATGTTATATGGTGCCTAATTCCACATTGATGATGAATTTAATCAGCTTTGAATTGTATAATGTATAAATGTATATATATATATATATTTAAATCATTTTTAAAAAGAAGGCTGAGTGATACTGAGCATTGTCCTTATTCTATAATTTTTGGATTCATCAAGTTCTAGGCATTAAAAGACATTTTTTGCTAAAATGTACAAAATAGTTTTCCACTAAAATTAACTAAGATCAAATTAATTCAAAAATATGATCATGGGAATTATTTGTTTAGTAGTTGCAACTGTTTAAGCTTATTAGTAGATTTCTTTGAAATTTAATAAACTAAGAGGTGGATTATCAGTGGTAGGTGAAGACTGTTGGAGAGAAGTAAATATTTGTTTGGTATATGGTATCAATAACAATTAAAAAGTGTATGGAAACTTTTAAGGTGAAATTTAGTTGAAAACTAGCTGAAACTATAGATGGTAAAATGCCAAACCCCTATATATTCTAATACATGGTCTCAGGAAATTGGCAATAAAGTATGGATTATGGAATGACCTGTAAAGTGCATTTCTTTTTCTCCATGGATCAATAGCATGAGTTATGTTCTAGTACAGAACTTAGGCTTTAACATTTTGTCTAAATGTCAATCTCGATACATTTCTGTTATATATGGAGAGGTGTAAGTGATAAGATATTGTTACTTGTCCAGTTTCAGGATTTTGTTTCATACTTGCAACAAAGGGAATGTGCCGGTGTCATTAAAATGCCAGCCGTAAAATCTATGTGGGCGAGACTTCTTTTCATTCTTCCGCAGTCTTCAGAGACCTGCTCCATGCTTTCTCTCGAGCCCAACCCATTCCCTTGCCTCATCGGTTTGGTCTTGCCTAAAGAAATGAACTTTGAATGGGTGTGATATGATTGGTGCATCTCAGAATTTACCATGGGAAGAGAGTTTAGGTACACCACCTATATCAGCAAACCTTTCATTTCATCTAACACTTAAACTGACAATCGATTGAAATGGAATTGCTAACGAGGTTAAAACTCGCAACTCTGCTCTGCAAGTAGTAGTTGGCGGTGCCATTCAAGGTGCAAGGCGAGGTAAATAGCATTCCGACTTTAGAGATCCTGACATAGTTAGAACGACTGACCAATTTTGTTTGTAAATATATGCCTGCCGTGATCCACTTTGGTTAGGAAACTATCTTCCTGTAATGTGGGTTGTATCTAGGATTTATTTCGTCATGAAGAAATGTTAGACTATAGAACTATAAACAATTTTGAGAGTTAACGCTGTCTTCTTTATTTGCTCTGCTTTTCTAGAACTGTACAAGGTACTCAATATAACGGACATCAGTTTTGGGGATTGTCTGAAAACTCTGAATCTGTACAAATTCACAGCAGACATTAGACGTTAAAAATGTAAGTTTCAATTATCATATGCCACTTTTGTTCTGTAAATTTTTTCTTTTCCCTTTCTCCCAGGCCCCCCAGACTCCTGCAACTTCTGTGTAGTCACCATAATTTTTTGTCCTGCAAAGACAGCAGATGATAACACTAAAACAATGACAACCTTGTACTAAGTGAATGAGTAATGACTATATATCTTGCAATTATGACATACTTTACCTTCTAGTCTAGTGAAATAAAGACAGTTCAAGGTGACCCAGTAGATCGAAAGATGACTTTTATAGGGTTCCATCATGTTAAAGATCTCTGCAAGCTAAATAAAAAGAGTTCAAGGTAACCCAATAGATCGAAAGAATTCTTGTAGGGTTATATCATGTTAAAGAGCTCTGCAAGTAAAATAAAAATAGTTCAAGGTAACCTAGTAAGTTGAAAGATCGATTCTTATGGGGCGTCATGTTGAGAGTTCTACAAGCGTGATCTGGACCGAATGAAAAAAAAAAAAAAAGTTCAAGGTAGAGAGGGGACATAGGAGTAATCTACCTTTTCAGTTCCCAGGATAGATGTTCATCAATGGATGCCTATTTTTGTGAAGAAGACAGAGACCTGGTGAGTCTGCTGTTAATCCACTACAAGAAGTTGTACTTGTAATGCTTTTTTTTTTTTTTTTTTTTTTTTTTTTTAAACAAACGATTTATGTGTAAAATATTACAGTACTATGTACATGGTAGATGTAGTGGGAAATATATATTCGATATTTGCATGATCTGCCTTGGGGCATTTTTGGTAAATATATTTTTATTTTCCATTTCAATATATTTCTGTTAGTTAATTTTCTTTTTTTGAAAGGTGGCCAATAAGGCATATATTAAAGGTACTCAGAAATAGAGTCTGGAGGGACATCGTCCGAATACATAATCGTAGAAGAATTAAATGCAGTAGCCGCTAGACTATGTGCTAAATAGTTCTCTGATCTAGGAATAAAATTAACTGAACAATAATCAAAAGAAATAATGCATGCTCTACAAGCATCAATGGCATAGCCAACGTAAGTCCGAACAGTGATAGCTTGATTTGTCAAATACTGTTGCAGGGTCAAACAATCCGTGAGTATGTGTACTGAGCGCTCTCCACGATTCCATAACCAAGACAAGGCTTCCTTACATGCTATTGCTTCAGCCATAAGCGGGGACAGACAATCTGACAAGGGTGCACTGAATGCCGATACATATCCCCCTTCCTCGTCGAACAAAACCGCGCCAACCGTAGCCCTTCCTGTAGCTGGCATGAATCCAGCATCGACATAGCATCTCCGTCTCGGCTCGGCAGGCTCGTTCCGTGCGCCCTCTTGGGCGATCCCCATAGCAGTCACGGCATTTGCCGTGTTGTAGTGCTGCTGCTGCCGTGTCACGGCAGTGGCAGTAGCACTGCTTTGTGCGGCAGCCCCTTGGTCCGTTTGTGGGTGGGTGTGGTGGACTCTTTGCCATGCAAGTGCGGTTGCTTCGGCCAAGGCTAACACTTTTCGTGGTCGCGGTAGACACGCATCCCATACCGCTCCGTTCCTGGCTCTCCAAATATGATATAATATTGCAGCTGCGTGAACAATTTGGTTAGTGTCTAAAATATTTAATAGCTCACTAAACCAAGTATGAAAAACATTTGTTGCTATCATGGGGATTGGAAGGTGAGATTGAGCCCAAATGGAACTTGCATAACCACATGTTACTAAAGCATGCATTGTGTCTTCATCTATTATTCCACACATAGCACATGTTGGTTGGATTTCCACCCTCTTTATAATCAAATTCGTTGTAGTAGGGAGGATACCACTCAAAGCCTTCCACAAGAATGTCTTCCATTTGGGGGGAACTTTTAATTTCCATAGGCGTAACCAATTATGCGTGCCTGTATTATCATTGAGATCTCCCACAACTACTTTGTAGCCACTCTTAACAGTATAATTACCTCCCTGATCACCATGCCAATACCACATATCCTCATAGTCCGGTGATACTGGAATCCTTTTTATCCTAGCCACATCCGTAGGAATAAAAATATCTGCCAAAATATCCGGATCCCAGGTTTGTGTCTCATGATCAATTAATCCCAACACTGCTGCATTATTTAAATATGGGGGCTTATCAGTATGAACCATTGGGTCGTGTTCATCTTGTAACCATGGGTGGTCCCAGATTAGAGTTGTCTTTCCATTTCCAATTCTGCGCCTCGTTCCGCTACAAATCAGGCTCTGAGCTGCCATTATACTACGCCAACAGAAACTGGGGTTATTTCCTACTTTGGCATCATAAAAGGTCCCTTTTGGGTAATATCTCGCTCTGTAAACTCGTGAGACCAGAGAGTCAGGTTTTGTTAACAAGCGCCATGCCTGTTTGCCCAGCATTGCTATATTAAATGCGTGCAATTCTTTAAAACCCAGGCCACCATACTTTTTTGGTATACACAATTTGTCCCATGCCTTCCAATGGATTCCTCGTTCATTCCCAGATCCCCACCAATACCGGTTCATTGTTCGCTCAATAGCTGTGCAAATCCCCATAGGTAATAAAAAGACACTCATTGAAAAGGTGGGCATTGCCTGAGCCACACTTTTCAACAAGACTTCCTTACCAGCTTGCGATAACAATTTCTTATTCCAAGATAGGATTCTTTGCCTTATCTTATCCTCAATATATGAAAAGGCTGCTTTTTTATTTCTCCCTACAAATGAGGGTAGTCCCAAATATTTTCCAAAGTTTGGTGCCTGAGTAACCCCCAGTATCTGCGCCACTTCCTCCCTACTATCATCCTGTGTGTTCTTGCTATAACATATGCTGGACTTATGATAATTTACCACTTGGCCAGATAAATTTTCATACCGTGTCAAACACTGCTTTATCGCACTTGCTTCCTGCACATTTGCTTTAAAAAATAGTAGGCTGTCATCAGCAAAGAATAGATGTGAAATAGAAGGTGCACCCCTTGCAACTCTACACCCATGAATTGCTCCCTGAATCTGTGCCTGTTGTAGCAATAAAGATAGTCCCTCTGAACAGATAATAAATAGATACGGGAATAATGGGTCTCCCTGCCTGAGTCCGCGAGATGGGATGATTGGCAAACCTCGGGTTCCATTCAGTTTGATATTATATGACACAGTAGTCACACATAACATGATTAACTCCACCCATATATTACTAAAGCCCAAAGCTGTTAACATGTTTCGTAGGAAAGGCCATTCCATACGATCATACGCTTTCGCCATATCCAGCTTTAAAGCACCCCATCCCACCTTTCCACATTGTTTTCTGTTCAGAAAGTGGCCAACCTCTGCCGCTATCAAAATATTATCTGTAATCAATCTGTCAGGTATAAATGCACTCTGTGTATCAGAAATAATATCATCCATGAGTGGCTTCATCCTGGCTGAAATCATTTTAGCCATAATTCTATAAATCACATTGCTTAGCGCTATAGGCCTGAGGTCCGTGACCCGTTCTGGATTTTTCTTCTTCGGTATTAAAACCACATCAGTATCATTCAAGTTGGCTGGGAAGGTCCGTGTATTCAAACAGTCCACAATAAAATCCGACACATCTCCTCCCACCACATCCCAGAACTGCTGATAAAAACCCGGATTCATTCCATCCGGGCCGGGTGCCTTATCCGGGAACATAGCAAACAAGGCTGTTTTCACCTCATCCTTTTCAAAGGGGCGCAATAACTCTTCATTCTGCGTGTGTGTCACCCGGGGCAAGATATTGGCATAAAAACTTTCATCCATCTGGGACTGGTTTGACGTGAAAATATCTCGATAATAATCAAAAATAGTTGTTTTCATGGCTTTTCCCTCCACCCAATCCCCATTATCATTCATAATTTTTGAAATTGTGTTTTTCTTTTTACGGTGAGAGGCATACCTGTGATAGAACTTTGTATTCGCGTCTGCCCCCTTCAGCCAGTGTTGTTTCGCCCTCTGTTTCCAAAAGGCATCCTCCTGAGCTTCTAATTGGGCCAGGCGTTCCTCCAACTGCTGATACTCAGCCAATGAATTTTGATCTGTGCGTCCCCGTAACCGCAATTGTTCCTTGCGTAGGCACCGCAATTTCTCATCAAACCTATGATATTTATCACCTCCCCATCGCAATAACTTATTACCACATAATTCGATACAGGCTTGTAAACCTCTATCTCTTCCTTCAATCCATGTCGTCTCAACCACACCCCTACAACCCTCATCATGAAGCCAGGCCATCTCAAACCGGAACCCTTTTCTCCCACCACCCGTCCTTTCCCGAAGATTCAGAATCCCAAGGAAAAGAGCAGAATGATCTGAGCGTCGGGTTAGAATGTTCAAGACACTTGCCTCTCTCACCACATCTCGCCATTCCTGCGTGACCAGCACTTTATCCAATCTTTCTTCAATCCAGTCTACTGTCCCCTCTCCTCTTTCCCAGGTAAACGGGTACCCCTGCATAGGTAATTGAGCTAGCCCACACTCATCAATAGTCTCTCCGAAGCCACGTAATAGTGCCTCTGGATGGGGATTACCCCATCGCTTCTCATACTGATATAAGAGATCATTAAAATCCCCTATAATAACCCATGGCAACTCAGAGCGATGTGATAAGGACTTGATGAATTCCCAAGAATCATTCCGTCTTTCTCTTTGCGCATAACCATAATACCCTGTCATCCTCCACTTGTCAAACCCCGGCATTGTTACCTCAATATCCACATGATTTTTAGAGTAACTCAACAGGCTTGCCGTTCCATTCGTTCTCCACAGTAAAGCTAATCCTCCCTTTGTCCCCACACTATCAACTTTAAACACACCATCGAAGCCAAGTTTCACTCGGAGCCGCTCCGCATGATCCTGGGCAACCATGGTCTCCATCAGAAATACAAAATCGGGCTTCTTACTGGACACCATGTCCACAATCTCTCGAACTGTTCGTGGATTACCCAAGCCACGACAGTTCCAACTCAACGTACTCATAATGTTGGGCGGGTCTGGGAACCAGCACCCGCCATGAACAAGTTTTTTGACACATCTGCCATGGTAATGTCCTCACCGTTACCCCGCCCTCCTCCCCCATACCCCCCTTCCCTTCTTCTCTTCGAAACCGCCTCAACCGCCTCCTCGGCCCCACCATCCACAACCGGCCCTACCCGCAGCACACCCTCCCCCACCGCACCGCCCTTTCGGCCTCCCTCCTCCCGCACCCCCTCGGCTACCCGTGGCAGTCCCCCCACTGGGACCAGCCAGCTCTCCCCCACCTCCCTCGGTCCACGGCCTCCCCCAACTCTCATCTCCGCACTATACGGATAAAGCTGAACCGGTATTGTAGAGACCCGGGCTTTGACACAGAATTTGTATGTATGTCCCAAAAGCCCACAAAAGAAGCAGAAATAATGCAACCGTTCATACCTGAAATTAATCCAACAAGTGGTCTTGTCCCGTTTCAACAACTTCATACGTCTTCGTAAAGGTTTGTCCACCGGGATCGATACCCGGATCCGATAGAACGCTAGCCAAGGCGCCCCCATAAATCTCTCATCATGTTTAACAAACGTTCCAATAAAGTTCCCCATCTGCTCAAGCATTGGAAGGGACGTATAACCCATAGGGACATCATGAAGCTGTACCCACATATCAACCGAGTTCAACTCAACATCAATCGGTAACATTCCATCCTCCACCAACCGGCAAACCAATGTATTGTTCTCGAATGCCCACGGACCACCATTCAAAACATACTCAACATCCGTTTTGTGGAAGAAAACGAATAAAAACAATCCCTTATATATCTCCGTTACCGTAACCCCCATCACCGGTTGCCATACGGACGCCAATACTTGCCTCATGTATTCCAATTTGATCATACGTGCTGTTAGGAATCTACCAACTACACTCCACGTCTGTACCGGCTGCTCGGCACCCTCAGTCCCGCCCTCCTCCTCCACCGGTGCGAAACAAACATCTTCATCGTCAATCACAATTTCGACCGTACGCTGCGTTAATTCTGCCACATGGTGCTCCTGTTCGGTGTCCGCCATATCGCCTTGCTGATTAGCGAATTAGCGCTGCCTTGCTATTAATCGGAAACCAGTAAACACGCCGGAGAAAGCTGATGGAATAGCGAAAAACCTAGCCAAAACCCTAGGAGAGAAAGCAAAACCCTAGAATTCTAGAGAGAAAATTTTTTAGTCCGTGTCCAGCAAGCATCTGTTAGTTAATTTTCTAATTCTGCACTTACCCACGATATTTTATCAAGACTCCTAAGATTATCACTTTTGATTTTATCATTATTCATTATTGCTTTGGAAAAACTCGCCAAGAAATCTGAGCTTTTATTGCAATATTTCATCAAAGTATGGTAACAACAAAGCATTTAAGTGACTAAAAAAACCGAACACCTTGTGCTTAGATGACACATCTGTGACTATCCTTGAGGGAAGGTCACAGGACCGAACTCTAGTGGTAGGGTATTGACTCTTTGGGCTGCAATAGTTAGAGAAAGTATGGAACAAATATTACCTTATAATATAGTCAATAGTATTAAAAAGAAAAAAAAAAAAAAAAAAAAAAAAACTCGAGTGAAAAAGGTTTATCCCACCCGACCAAGACTCTACAAGTCTAGCTGTTAAGATTCAAAATTCACATTGACCTTGTTTGGTAACATAGTAAGTTTATCAGTCAATTTTGGAGTGAGCAGCTTTTTTGATCAAGTCATTTTGCATGTAATCAGATATTAGCTAACAGTCATTTTGCATGTAATCAGGTATCAGCTAATAGTCAATTTTCTAAACACTTTTCTACAATCTGTTATCAACTAGTCAAACTCACTAACCCAATCAGTCAACAATTATTTACCATTTACCAAACACCCTCATTATATCCCTCGATGAAAAGTGTTGACTCAAGTGAAAATGGTTTATTGCACCTGATCGGAGGCTCTGTATGTTGAGTTGGCAAAACTCAGAAATTTCCCATTATGCCCCCAGATGATCCTTCCCAACAACTGGAACTCTTGCCGTACACTGTAGTACATAAGTTTCCCACTGTTCACTTATAAAAAATGTATGCTACTATTGATTGCAGCCATGTATAAGTTTGAATTCCGACCCCATATGCTTATACACTAATATTTATAACAAGGTTAAATGCAGACATTTTTAATCATGTATCATACAGCTACTAACAAAGTAAAATTTATAAATTTATTTTAAATTAGTTAACCAATTAAGACAATTGCAACTATGTATGTATACATTAATATATAACTAAAATTCTCCGATTGTACTAAATCTGAGAAGACAAGAACCTACACTAATATTTATAACAAGGTTAAATGCAGACATTTTTAATCATGTATCATACAGCTACTAACAAAGTAAAATTTATAAATTTATTTTAAATTAGTTAACCAATTAAGACAATTGCAACTATGTATGTATACATTAATATATAACTAAAATTCTCCGATTGTACTAAATCTGAGAAGACAAGAACCTACTTGCATGCCAGTTAAGTAGTGCACATGACCAATAATACATTTTGCAGCACTTAAAAAGTGGGGGAAAAAAAAGAGTAATAATATAGCATACCATAAGAAGTGTGTTTATTATTTGCATTTGAGCTCTTCTATGTAGCCATAACCTTAGTCATGCATCTGTGATTTGTCATTAACCTCTTGTCGTTTCATGTTATTCATTATATACACATGATATCTTTAATCTCTACATTAACTTTTTTTTTTTTTTTTTGAAAGGGCTCAACATTAACTTAAATGAATATAAACGAGTCTATTCGTTACCGTAACCAATATTACAGTAACGAGTCATGCTTTCTCTAGTGCTTCTCTGTCCAGTTGGACAAAAAAGCACATGATAGGGGAATATATTAGTACGATCAGGTATATCTTTACCGTGCCGATCATATCCGACCATTATTATTGATAGCTAGCTAGCTACCTTACCCCCCGACCTAACTTCTCGAACTCAACCAAGGTTGAGTTATCCCCTTGTACATCTGTTTCGCTCCGGCTATTTTCGATCGGACTTCACCGGGAAGGCCCATTAGGCCAACCGATCGAACAAGTCTCATTTACCGTAACTATCCCAAAGGCACTTTTCAAGTAAAACAATTAGTCATATCACGTCCCGTCACTTCCCATCAACCTAGCTTGCAGCCTTCATTAGACATTTGGCACAACCATCTTAAGTGTCCAACCGACATCCAATACGTGTAAGACATGTGGATAACTCGGCATGTATTGTCATGTCAACACTTGCATCAAATTAACAAATTAATGTGTTTAATTATAACATTTTAAGATTGAAAAGAGTTAAAACACTTTATATTTCACAATGTTAGTTGTGAAATGGATAGAGAGGGAGAGATGTAAGGGAAGGAAATGAAATGAAGTGAAGTGAGTGGGGTATGAATGGGGGAAGTAGGCATGTGAGCACACTGCCCAGAGAGTGTTGGGGTTTGAAAGAAGGAAGAGAAGAGTGAAGACTGAAGAGTTGAGTCAAAGTATTGGGAATCCCACCTGACCTCACCTGACCAAACCCCCACTCCCATCTTCTTCAATTCCTTCATTCACTTAACTACAAAGCTTTTAATAATGCCACCAGATTGGCACCTTCTTTTTGGTGAAACATATGCATTGCATACAATACTTGCATCGGACTTTGTGTCTAATTATATTATATGTCAGAATATGGTAACTTAACTTTTTTGAGGATAAAATTTCGGAATTTATTAGAGGAAGAAAAGAAAAGAAAAAAAAATTGTGAATCCATCTCTCTTTAAAAAAGAAAAATAAAAACATTACATAATTTTTTTTAAAATTTTTTTTAAAGAAACAAAAAACAAAAAGTGAGAGTTTATATAAAATAACTCTGATATGTGGTTCTTAGACTCTCCACTTTATTATTATGTTAACAACTCTGATATTTGGTGGCCTTGTTCTGGTAAATAAATGTGACCCTACCAAAAATCGCAATTTTTAAAATCAATACATGCAAGTTTTGAACCTTTGACCTCAAAGTTAAAATACAATAAGCACACATTCTTACCATCTCTTCATGGAACTTTTTAAATTCAATTGAAGAATTTTAATTTTTATTTCGAAAGTAGCTAGATAAAAATTAAATATTGGACCTCTAAAATTTGGGGCCCCTCTAAAATTGGGGGCCCTGTGCGGTAGCCTAGCTTGCACAGCCTAAAATCCGGCCCTGTTATACAGTATAGGAGTTCGAATGAGAACAAGGTCTTCCAATAAAAGATTAAGACTCATCACATTAGTCGATCAAGATTCATTAATAGTTGATAGTTTTAGTAAAAATATTAATTTTATAATTATTATAAACTTTAAAATTTATAATATTTATAAAATTAACCCCTCTTATTTTTTTCCTTATTTTATCAACAACCCTTAATTGTTAATATACTCAAATGGATAGATCAATATATATATATATATATATATATATATATATATATATATATATATATATATATATATATATATATATATATATATGGGATTAAATGTGAATATGCATTCATGTGTAGATGTTTTGACAAATCTGATTTGTCCATCTAAACATGATCAACATGTGAAAATCAATGAAAAAGAGGAAAAATATTGTGGTATTTTGTAATTTTCTTTAATTACAATTGTGCATTTGAAAATACTTGACGATGCATTTAGAAATTCTTGTCCATACACACGAGGAAGGTGATGAGAATTAGGTAGTGCCTTCTGTGCTTTGGAAATGCATTGTCAAGAATTTCTAAATGCACTATCTAATATTTGGAAATGCACAATTGTGGTTGCACATGAGATGAAGGTGATATCAATCAAGTAGTGCCTTCCATGCACCGTCAAACATTTCTAAATGCACAATCGTCATGACACGGGGGAGGAAGATGATGAGAACTAAGTAGTGTCTTCCATGCACCATCAAACATTTTTAAATGCACTTTCAAGCATTTCTAAATGCAATATCGTAATGATACAATGTAGGAAGGTGATTGGAAAAATTATAAAAATGTCACTGCGTTTTCCCCCCTTTTCATTAATTTTCAACTTTTGATAATGTCTATCTGCACCTGAATTTGACTTTATACATATACACACACTTTTGATGACCTACCCGTGCTAACGAGAAGAACTATTAGGGAAGATTGCATTTGCATCCCGCACTTGATAAGAATCCTCACTAGAGAAAATTAAGGTGCCGAGGTTCCCCTCCCCTCCTGATCGAGAAAAAAAATCACTTGCAAATGAAATAATATAAAATTATTTATAAATAGAATTTGCTATATTAAGGTTATAATAATAAAGTAAAAAAGATTCTTCCTCCTAAGTTATAATGCTATTAATACATTAATACACTTATAGCTTGGTTGTGCTAGTTGGACTATCTTTGGTTATTAATTTGTCCATTATTAAGGTGCACACTCCTCACTCTTTTGTCATGATTATTATAGTCATCAACGAGGCGTTGTCCTTTGATGAACATCCTCAAACCTAGCTTCACTCTCAGTCAAAAGGGTCAAATCTTGAAGATATAATTTAACATTGTTGTTTTTGTTGCTTTTGTTGTAGGCATAACCTTTTGCACTGAAATACAGGCAATAACGAATAATTGCAGACTTTTGGGTTAACTAACAATAGTGCATGTTTTTTTAATACAAAAAGGGGCTTTCTTATTACCAAAGTATATCTACATTTTCATGTACCAATTTATTCCCTTTTATAGTTAGTAAAAAAAATAAAGTTTACGTCCGTGAAGCCCACTCACTTCACAAACTACACATATTACACTACAAGCATACTTATTAAATTGTATACTTTGATTTACTAGAAATTTTGTCACCGCTATTTGAAAATTGAATCTGCGTTTTGGGTGAAATATATCTTGTGCCCTAGTCGACAAAAGAATATAAGGGAGCTGACCCCAACTCAAATCAAGAAAATCAATAGATAGCTCATATGGGAAGCCCAATAGCTTTATTAAATTATATATTATAGTTATATATGTGGTCTATATTGATTGGCGATAGTATTAAAAAAAATTAATCTTTTATAACGAATGATCGGTCATTAGAATTGTTGGGGAAGGGAACAGACTATTAATACAATTATAACGTCTAATGATGCATCATAATTATAAATATCAAATAATATATATCATGTTAAAGAGATATGAACCGAGAACCGAACTTCCTCACATGTGACAAGAATTTTAGTCCGACCAAAAACTTACTATTTTCCCACAAAATTTCATAAAAAAAAAAAAAAAAAGTTGCTTTCAATTAAGAAAACAAGTACGGAGTGGTACCCAGCGGAGAATCCGCAGAACACCCTACTACACTGCTGCCACCATTTCATGCTCAGTCAAACCCATGCTTTTACTCATTCTACTACTACACTTCCGCCACCACTACCGCCACCGCCACCCCGCCGCCGCCGCCATTTCCTCTCCCACATCTCTACTTTCACGCCACATTTTCTGTTTTCTTAATTATCCAACATTTTCTTGATTTATACCCTCCCAGCAATTAAATTCCAAGAAAGTTTGGCGGCCCCAGAATTCTACTCCAACCCCATCTCTTCATCTCCCCATACGATCATACATAACATTAATGTGAAAAGATTATTACATTCTTGAGATGGAAAATCCTACGTTTACTGCGTCCAGTCTGCTTTGTACAGAAAGTGAATCCAGCTTGAATGATGAACTTAAAGAAGGAGATGATTTCACATTGATGACAGCAGAGGATGAAGATGATGATGGGTATATACAAATATTGCTTGATAGGGAAACCGCCATGAATGGTGGACTCCAAAAGCTTGATCTTTCACAGGTTATCAATGAGAATTGGGTCCAAAAAGCTCGATCGGATGCAATACAATACATTCTTGAAGTCAGTTTCTATCCTTCCCATTTCATTCTCTTTTATTTTTTTGTTAATTACTCTGATGGGAAATGGTGATTCTTTATCTATTTGTTGTTTTTGCAGACTGGAGGGTTGTTTGGATTCAGAATGCAAACAACATTCCTTTCAATCACTTATCTTGACAGATTTCTTTCAAGAAAATCCATAGATGTGAGCCCATTGGATTCTTTATGGATGTTTATTATGGTTCTTGATTAATGTAGTAATTGTGTTTTTTTATTTACATAGGGAGAGAAGTATTGGGCAATAAAGCTATTGTCAATTGCATGCCTTTCCTTGGCTGCAAAAATGGAAGAATGCAGAGTTCCAGCACTGTCACAGTACCCCATGGAAGACTTAACTTTTAAGAGCAGTTTGATCCAAAGAATGGAGCTTTTGGTGCTGAATACATTGGATTGGAAACTGGGATTCATCACTCCTTTTGCTTTCACCCATTATTTTTTATCAAAGTTTAGCACTGTCTCAGAAAGAAAGAGTGCTGCAGTATCAAGAACTATGGAGATCATCTTGAGTGTGATTAGAGGTAATTTGATATGTTCTAATCCCAATCTGTCATCAAATCAATAATGTCTTCCACAAGGCAACCCTGTTGAGCATATAACCATTAATGTGCAATCCAACTATAGTTGAGATGGAGCACATGCTTCAATTCCAGCCAAGTTGCCAGGTTGTTGACCAGATAATCACATGATTACAAGATCAACTCCAGTGTTTTATTGACCTTCTTGGTTTGAGCTGGTCAGTTATAGACTTATAGGTCTTCTTGTGGTCTTTCACAAGGCGTGACACTATCTGGTAGTGGTTGCGAATTTCTCTGGTCACCCAAATAATGGCCTTTACATGTGGGGTCCATGCATTGAGTATAGATTGTCATAGAGTGAAGTGCTTTCATTGCCCTTTTTTGTTGTGTCTGCAGTTGCAAATTTAATGAGTCATAGGCCATCTGTAATGGCTGCAGCAGCAACATTACTGGCATTGGATGGGGGACTAATCAAAGAGAGTATGGAGCTTAAGATTAATGCCTTACCTTCAGGTGGATGTCTTAAGCTTGTGAGTCAAATCTTATTAATTTCTTCACTCTTTTTAAGCAATTAATATTTTGCTTTAATCTCCAAAAAATTGTCACTTCTTTACAATGTTTCATCATTCTTCTTTCTATTCTGGTCTGGTGCAGGATGATGTATTATCCTGCTATAATCAAATGAGGGAAATGGAAAAAAATGAGTTCCCAAAGCCCTGTACAGTTTCTTCCTATCTTGGGTCCAAGAGGAAGAGGACGGATGATGATGTTCTTGGATTGTGACCAAATCTCAGCAACACCAACATGCATGAAAAGCACATTTCACAGTCCAGTGTTAATAAAAGAAAAAGTGTTTAAAGATATTGCTTCAAAGCTTACTAGTCATTCTTCATTTAGGTTAATCTTTGAATTGGTTGGTTGCTTTTAATTTGTTCTTTTTAGTAAATTTGTTTGGGACTTTTTGGTTTGGTGTTTATATGTAATCTCTTGCAGGCTTGCAGCCCTAACTTTTAAAGGGTGTGCTTGGGGATGTTTTGCTGCAAGTATGGTTTGGTTTAGTTTTGATCTTTTATCTGTTATAAAAGGGGTGTCAATTGAATTGAACAATGTTCTTGAAATAAACCTTTTCTAGGGTTTGTTGTTGGGATCAATCAAACATTCTTTTTTTTTTTTTTTTTTAATTGTTGAATCATGAATGTGAGTTTGATTTGATTGGATTGGATTTGTTTGAATGTTTGGGACAATGTGTTTGGATGTGGGTCATTTGTTTGACATCTCTTGTCCTGGTAAAGCTGTTGCCTTGTGTTGAAAGGTTATGGATTATCAGTAATCCATCTGATGTTTGGGTTTCTTTCGAAACATCCCATCAAAAACATTGAATTATACAAGGATATTTTTGTAAATTTCTCAGAATTTGTCGTTCCCCTCGTTCCGAATGGGAAAACTCGATCTTTAAAGACTTTTTGACTTACTTCATCAGAACACTAAGGTCTCGTTTGGTTCGTCGAAAATATTTTAAGGAAAGTGAAATTGAAATTTCATAGAAAAACAATTATTAAGAAGACGAATTTCATTGTTTGATTGGTGGAAAAAGAATTACTAGAAATATTAATTCTATTGTTTGGTTAGATTTGAGTATAAAAACCTATATGCCCCTATAAATTAACAAGAGTACCAAAACCAACTTCAAATCACTGAAAAATGGAGCACGTTATTTGATCTTACATCTTCATATGCCTAAAGCATTAATTATTCAAACATCTGAAAATTAAACCTTATTAAATACATATAAAAACCCTATTACAAAGGAATTGAGCACAAAAAGAGATTTGCACTGAAAAGTTGACATTTATATTTTCAAGATTACAAAGTAAACACAAATCAATAACTTACAAAAACTAAAAAAATTTAACATAAAATTTGTTTCGAAACATCCTTTTCTTTTCTAAAATCCTATTCCTTTCTTATGCCCTGCCTTTTAGTTAAATAAACCAATATTAGAGGTCTTGAAAGGCCTATTGCCCAAGGCTTGATGATTCTCCCATCTTTGGCATAGCAGTGGATTATGGGTATTGGCAACAAATGGATGATTGAGTAGCTTATCAGCCGTCCATCTAAGGTTTGGGTTTCTTTCGAAACACTTCATCAAAAAATCCTTGGCATGATCAGATATGCCGGTTGGGATTTGGGGTTGCTTGAAGGCCATGTCTTGAACTAACTTATTGTCGTCGTTACCGTTACAAAACCTCCAAGGTGATTCCCCGGCCATCATCTCCACCATCATACACCCTATGGCCCATATATCCTTAGGCGCCTCATGCATGCCGCAAAATAGAGATTCCGGGGAGGTGTAGAGTAAAGCTCCTCGGTGACCTCCCTCTCCGGCGACCTTAGATAGCCGAAAATCGCCTATCTTGAGCTGATTGAAGCCGCAGCCGCACCTGCATGGGAAGATAAGAATGTTGTTGGGCTTCAAGTCGCAATGGACAAACCCGAGACGATGCACCTCTAAGATTCCCTTCAAAAGTTGATAAGCATATAGTGAAGCCTCGTCCTCTGGGATGAATCCTTCCCTGGAATTCATCAATCTCTTGAGTGTTCCACCGGGAGCGTACTCCAGCAGAAGATTGTATATAGTGTTTCCATGCTCTATGCTCATATCTTCTCCTAAATACTGAATTATATAGGGACATCTTTGCAACTTTCTCAAGATTTGCGCTTCTTCCCAAAGTAAACCTGAAGACTCGACCTTCGAAGACTTTACGGCTAACTTCATTGGAACACTGAAAGTAGGTGGATTATAATATTGAGAGAGAAACACAATGCCATGGGCTCCCCCACCAAGGAGTTCCAACTTTTCGCAAGACATACTATGAGTACTAAGGTTCCTATATAGTAAGGTTGATGATGATGAATTGGAATGGATGATCCACCAAGTGTTGGGTAACAAAGTATTATATAGGACTTGAGTACTAAGGTTCCTATATAGTAAGGTTGATGATGATGAATTGGAATTAATGATCCACCAAGTGTTGGGTAACAAAGTATTATATAGGACTTGGGATAATCTCAGTCCAATTAAGTTTAGTATTGGGATAATCTCTCAATCCAATTATGTATAGTATTAGGAAACTTTTTTTTTAATAGAAAATTATATAGTAATCCACCAAGTAATCCCAGTTCAATCCAGAATATAATTAAGAAACCGATTGGAACTCAAGTAATTAGGAAAGTTAAGAACATTTTAGACTATAAAATTAGAAAATAATTTAATTAACTAATAGTGGAAAATTAACCAAGACAGTTCAGGGGAAAGGATGGGAAATTGGGAATTGTCATTTTCTATGATGATTGTTGATTACATTTGATTGATGGAACAATTCTATGTGTACTATGATTCTCTCTCCACCCCAAATCTTTTTGGTTAGTGTGATTTTTAAATTACAAGGTTATAAATTTTAAGAATAAGGGTCAAATAGGCCATTGAACTATAATGTAATTAGGTCATTGAATTAAAAAAAAATTACAATTAATTCCCTAAAGTAACATATTTCAAACAATTTGTCTAATTTACAGGTTTTTTCCACTTAATTTAAAAAAATAATTAATTAAAATAAACTAAAATAAATATATTTAAAAAAAAAAAAAAAAAACATAGCCTCCGCCGGAGTAGCCACTAGAGACCGGAGCTGGCAGCGAGCAGGTCGCCGTCGGAGACTTGGAGTTTGCAATCGGCAGTTCCGCACTTCCGCTTCGACTTCGCAGAGAGACCGGGAGAACTTGAGAAGACCAAACCGCACTGGCAGGTGTCCGGTCGCTGGTCGGAGACTCGGAGTTCGCAGTCCGCAGTTCCAGCGTTCCGCACTTCCGTCTTCCGCTTCACACAGTTTGCAGTTCGCAGAGAGGAGAGACAGAGGTCCAACAAATCCTGGAGATTGATGCAGCAGATTCTGGCAATGAATTGGTTGTGCTTGACTACGTTGAAGATATCTACGAATTCTACAAGCTCTCAGAGGTCCAACAATGGCTTCACCACCTTTCACTTTCCCAATTTTATATAAAATAATGTATATTTGACCGATCTCGAATCAAGCTTTTTATCGAGCAGCTTGACTGGCCTGAAAAGCTTACTTACATGGTTTCTGCTGTGTGATTTAGGAAGAAGGTCGAGTGGTAGATTACATGGCGGCGCAGCCAGAGAACAACGCGAAGATGAGAGCTATTCTTGTGGATTGGATGGTGGAAGTTCACCGGAAGTTTGAGTTCCTGCCGGAAACTTTCTACCTTACGGTTAACCTGATTGATCGATTTCTTTCGATGAAGACGGTTTCCAGGAAGGAGCTTCGTCTGGTAGGGATAAGCGCGATGCTGATTGCCTGCAAGTATGAGGAAATCTGGCGCCGGACGTGAACGATTTCATCATGATTTCCGACAACGCTATCTTAGGAGTCAGGTTTTGGCCATGGAGAAGACGATTCTCGGGAAGCTGGAATGGTACTTGATGGTTCCGACGCCGTACGTTTTTCTGGTGCGGTACATCAAGGCCGCCGCAGGCGGCGGCGCGGATGATGGAAAGGAGATGGAGAACATCAGCACCTTCGCAGAGAGAAGGCGTGTGAATTTTTTAATTTTTTTTTTTAATTTTAGTTAATTTTAATTAATTATTTAAAAAATATATTTAGTAGGGTGACTTGTTAGAAAGGGTGAAAACCTATAAATTGGACAAATTGTTTGAAATGGGTTAATTTAGGGATTTAATTGTAGTTTTTTTGAATTTAGTGACCTAATTGTATTATCCTGTGCAGTTGGATGGCCTATTTGACCATTATTCTTAAATTTTAAAAATTTCTAACATGAGATACATTAACCTTATTAGTTTAAATGATCAATTAAGACTTATGAGTAACCTATGTTAATTTATCTCATTGTGATTGATTTATTTTATTGTGGTCCTTAGTGGACTAAGGACACAAACTGAAATTTATCTAGTGCACACTCACAAATAATGATTGTAGTCGTCTAACAAAAAAAAAAAAAATTTACAACATCCAAGAGCTCCTGCTGAAATCCATAAACCAAACCATGTTATATTGTTATTGAGTATTTCTAGCAAAAGGCTCAAGGACGGATACAATGATTGGTTAGTTTAACTAGGGTACCCGACCTACTATGGCACTTGTAGAAGTTAGTTATGCAGAAGTTTGAATCGTGTGTTTTATATATTATATGCTCAACACTAGGTGGTAGGACTAAAGCATGATAAAAGAATTATATGGTATACAAAGGACAAACAAAATCGCTAATTAAAGAGTTTTGCAGAGAATCAGATCATGATTTCTGCAGAATTTTGCCCATCACAAAATTCAATGACAAGAATGCTGCAAAACAATCTTAATACCTTGAATTTCAAGGTATTCAACAATGAATTCCCACTGTTCTGATAGCTTCAAAAGCCCGATTCCATGTTCTTTAGGATTAACTGCCAAAACAGACCACCTTTTCCAGCAACTGTATCAGGGGATGTTCAACCTTAATACTATCTTACAGTCTCGGGTCGCTGCAACTAGTTCCACCAAAACCTGAACTTGACATATCAAAGGTCTTTTTCATGGTTCTATTTCAAGTCATTATATCTTCACCAGGAATTCAGAGGGATCCTACAGGGATCATCTTAATTGCAGCAGCAACAGGCATGCCTAGGAATCCGATGGCAACAGTTGCAAACCATTGTTGCCAGGTAAGAGGAGTGGTGTTTGCGAAAGTGCCCAGGAATTCAACGATGATGATTTGGAATAGGACCGTGCAACTAATAACGGCAACAAATACATAGTTGTTTAGTATGCCATGGAACACGTTGATCTTCTCCATATCCCTCGAGCTGATCTCATTGAAAACCTGCAAGAGACGAGAAAGATGCACATTGTCATAGAATTCTATGATAATTGATGATTTGCAAGCCACTTGGAAGTTAGACCACACAAAACACAGCCAATTGAGTAATAAAACTTTATAACTACCTGGCAGAAGACAAATACATTGAAAATGAGCGTGTTGAGAACCAAATCAGAATCGGGGCCATCAAGATGAAAGGCTGCTTTTCCCGAACCTTGAAGATACCATATGATAACAAACTGATATAATGATTGTCCGAAAATATTCCTCCACATTACATTGCTGATGAAGTTCCCTTTTCTTCCAACAGGTGGGCACTTCATCAAGTCATCAGTAGGAGGTTCAGTAGCCAGAGCGAGTGCACCGAGTGTATCCATGATCATGTTGACCCATAGAAGCTGAACAGCAGTGAGGGGAGCAACACCTGAAAATGCACACAAATTCAACAGAAACAATATCAGCAACAATATACTAAACAAATAAATTAACCTGAATATAAATCAATTTATTCTACCCGTCAAACAGGCTGAAGAAAAGTTGACAATTAGGGCAACCACATTAACTGTCAGCTGAAACTGGACAAATTTTTGGATATTCACATATACAGAGCGTCCCCACTTGGCCACAGTAACAATTGTTGAGAAGTTATCATCTAGAATTATGACATCAGCACTCTCTTTAGCCACCTGAAAATAAGTGGTCAGTAAATATTCATAACAAACAAATGTAACATTAAGAATTTTCCAAATATACGTAGAATCATTTGACTGTCTTACAGTCTACAGATTATGCTAGTGTGAGAGGGGTAAAGTAGTAAACCATCAAGATTTTAAGTGATGGCTTGAAGGGCAAAATACAATATACAAGGCTTAAGGAGATATGGACATGTATGAATCACCAGACAAAAACTTCAAGCCTGAATAATACCAAGAAATGTAATGCTGTTGTTAAAACATTACCTGTAGCTTCAGAAGTTTCTAAGAAGAAGTAACCAAAGGGATACTAGACTGTCTAATTTGTAAGGATTGCTGTGATGGAATGAACATTAAATCTAATACTTCATAGCCGTATATAAAGAGCTAAAATAAGTGAACTTCAAGAATCACAGTGCATAAAAAAAATTAAAAAAAAATAAAAATAAAAATAAAAGGGAGAGAGAGAGAGAGAGAGAGAGAAGGATGTTGAGTTTGGGAAAATATCTTTACCATTAGTCTTGTTTTCCCTAAATGTCACCTTGAATTTATTATTAAATTCGACTTTGCAAATTGATACTTGGCATAACTAGCCAGATAATAGAAAATGTTGAATTTCAAAACCCAACTTTATCTGTATTTTATGAGATGTTTCATACTACAGCAGAATTTAAATGTCACCTCAGTTCCAGCAATGCCCATAGCGAGTCCAATATCTGCTTCATGGAGTGCAGGAGCGTCATTTGTACCATCTCCAGTCACTGCAACCACATCTTGAAATGTAGTACGCAAATGTTTTGCTAGTGTGTGCTTATCCATTGGTGAAGAACGAGCCATGACCTGCAGAAGCAGATCTATTAGGTTTCACTGAGCAAAATTATTTCTCCTTATACAGCTGCAGGAAAAAATCTCTGAGTGATCCATCAAAAGAAAATACAAAAAACAGATGAATATCAATGATGCAGAAATCAACATTAGATGAATATTGGTTTGGGATGGAGGGTAGGAAACAAAGAAGAAAATTACAAAAATAAACAGATTTATACATGACTACCACTCAAGTGGACCATTTAGAATTGGGAAGTTTCTATATATGTACTAGTAAGGAGCAAAATCAAATCAAAGATAAAAGCTGGTTGAAATCACCTGCAGTCTTGGAATAATTTCAGCCAATTCCTCCTCACTCTTTGCTCGGAATTCTGGGCCTTCAATTGCAATTCCACTATCAGTCAAGATGCCACATTCTCTAGCAATCGCTTTGGCAGTGTTTATATTGTCTCCTGTGACCATCCTCACAGTAATCCCAGCCGACCTACAAATTGCAACAGACTCCTTGACACCAGGACGCACAGGATCTTTAATACCTACGATTCCTATACAAGTATATCCCTCAAAGGGAATAGCGTTATCAACAGAGAAGTCACTTCCTACGTCCTTATAAGCAAGGCAAATAGTTCGAAGAGCTTCACATGCAAATTTTTCAATTGAGCATTTCAGATGGTCAACTGATGCTGCATCTAAAGGAATAACCTCACCGTTAGGGCCTAAGGTGCTGTCACATGCTGCCAAAATTATTTCAGATGCACCTTTACAATGTGCACGCAAGCCTCCATTAGGATGTCTTACAACTACACCCATTCGTTTCTTGATAGAATTAAATGGTTCAACTTTTATGATTTCTGATGCTCGGCGCACTGCCTGGAAATCTCCTCCAAGCAAAAGCCCAAATTCCAATAGAGCAGTTTCGGTGGGTGTTCCCAAGATTTCAATTTTTTCATCTTTACTTTTAACTATTTCACCTCCAGTGTTGTTAAATATGGACTCCAATAGTATGTTCATTGCAGAATCGGGAACCTCAGAGCCAAATGTACGAACGTCCACTGAACTATCTTTAATCTTCCCACACATGCAAGCTTTTACAACGGTCATGTGATTAGTAGTTAGTGTCCCTGTCTTGTCACTACATATAGTAGTGGCAGATCCCATTGTCTCACACGCTGCCAAATGGCGGACAAGTGCTTTATCATTCATCATCTTCTTCATAGCAAATGCAAGACTCAAAGTCACAGCCAAAGGAAGCCCTTCAGGAACAGCCACTACAACAATTGTAACTGCAATAGCAAAATATTCCAGCATTTCCAGAGCATCATCTCCAGACCAGCTCCAGTGGGAGCCTTCTCTCAACTTGCGGATATATAAACCTTGCACCAAAACAGCAAATGTAATAACAGCAAAGAAGAGACCAATCTTGCCAATAATAGTTGCAACTCCATTCAGTTTAACCTGCAATGGGGTCTCATCGTCTCCTCCTTCACTAAGAGTAGCCATCAATTTACCCCATTGGGTTCTCATCCCGACAGTAGTAACAAGCATTTTGCAAGATCCATCCCTGACTTTGGTTCCGGAAAGGAGAAAAGGATTTTCAGTTGTCACATTAACTGGTTCACTCTCTCCAGTTAAGCTTGATTCATCTATCAACAAGGAAAACCCTGAAACAAAGAGTCCATCAGCTGGGACTTGATCCCCAATGGCAAGATGAACAATATCACCAGGAAGTAAATCATAAATTGAAATTTTTTGCCTCAAGCCATTTCTAGTAACTTGAACTGTGATCTTCTTTTTCTCTTTATCTAAATCCTTAAACTGTAAAGACTGTTTATAATCACTCGTAGCAGTGACAAATACCACAAGCAGGATACTAGCAACAATCCCAAGTCCATCATGAGCACCCTTTGGCCATCCTTCAGTCAATATACCAACCACTAAAGACACAAAAGCACATACAGCAAGTATCATCAGTGTCGTATCTTGAAGGGCTTCCCATACGAATATCCAAAATCCCCTGGCTGGGCTCTCAGTAAACCTATTAATTCCATATATATCTTTTCTTCTGCTAAGAGAATCCTCAGAAGTAGAAATCCCATTTGCAACTGATGTCGAGAGCTTGTCCGCAAGGCCGTCAACCCCACCATGAACTTTCAGCTTCTTCAAATTATGACCCTCAACAATAGAACCTAACTCATCACCACATATCTGAAAGCCGGCAGCCTTGACGTCCTCAGGGACAGAGTAACTTGCACCTGGAAGTAGTTTGTTGAATATTAACCTAATGAAACTACAGTACTGATTCTACTGAAAACTTCAGTTCCAAAATGAAGCATACCTTGAATAAAGCTAAGTGCAGCTTGTGAAACCAGAACAGCAATTCTTAGTTTCTCCTATAATAAGAGATAGTCAATTAGGTATATGTTTGATAGATTCATACACAAAACGTCGATCATAACCTAGACATCAACAACTTAGGTAACTATGATGTCTAATTAATCTACAGACTCTTATGGATCCACTTCATTCCAAACAGATCTTTAACTTCCCATTATGTAGCAATGAAATTAAAGAACAAAGTACGTAATATACTCCCCTGCATTTATACAAAACCGGACAAAACAATAATAACAAGAAGGGAAAAGTCAACAGAAAAGAGATTCTAGTAAGTGCAACGCATTTTACTAGGTGAGAGTGAGAGAAACCTGATTGGAGCGCTGAATAGCACGAGCTTCGAAGCGCTTGGACAGATTAGCGGTGAATCGAAACCTCCGCTTGCGATTCTTGACGAGCCAGCAGAGCTTCCTCCATCGCTCCAAAGCTTCCTCCGATGAGTTCTTCGCCTTCACTTCCCCGTAATTCTCCTTAATATACTCCTCCATACAGATCAACTACGCAACACTACTGCTTCTTCTTCTGCTGAGAATTTAAGAAACCTTGCACGCACTGCTGCAGCTGGAGCTCTGCTCCGCCGCCTGTTATACCTAAACCACTAAAACTGCCTGCTATCTCCCAAAAGCAGTTGACGAATATGGAGATTTACTTTACTTTACTTCAATCTTCGCAGTGAAGTCGAAGATAAAAAGTGTATTCTATTCTATTCTTTATGTTCGTGAATCGTGACTGACACTTCCACAAAGTTGATGTTCGTTTCAATCAAATCATATAATTATAAACAATTACTCCTATAAAAAAGGTATTTTAATTTGTTTTAAATGAAAAATTGATAATTATAGAACTGTAATTTTCTGCCATTTCTGTATTGTACAGAGACCCTTAAGTTTCGGCGTCATTTGCAGCAATTCCGATCATGTTGGTGCACTGTAAGAGGTCAGAGATGGACCGTTGAGATTCGAGAGAAAAATTATTAACAATTTACTAAAAATAACTATAAGCTCCCCACATCTCTCCCGTGTTATAAATGGTTTGATGAATATTCTATTTTTAGTCTTTTTTTTTTTTTCAAAATATCCCATTAATTATAAACATTAGTGTGGTATGACTACTTTTTGTACAATGTCAATAAATATGTTTAAATGATGTTATTAATCATCAAAATCATCATTTTTCTTATTCTTCCAAAAGATTGAACCTCAACCCTAAGGCCTAAGGGCATCATTTTTCTTATTGGTAATATAACTACAAAGTCTTATGAATTTTTATGGGGTAGACTTATGCACTAAACTTAGAGTTTGCCATGAAGTTGACTTGTTGTTTTATTAATTGCACTTTTGTAGATTTTGTAGTACACTTATGTATTGATAACAAATTTAATACCATATTACAAAGTCGTACATAGCCAAACATCAATATTGATAATCATTTCAATTTTCACATACTATCGAATATGTAAAATGTTTTTACCAAAACTCGTTACAATTACCAAGTATTTAATTCCCATTCTAATTTCGAATCCCTTGTGCGAACCAAACACACCCGACAAATAGACTGATACCTATAAATCTAGAACCAGAAATGAAATTAACTCATTGAAAATGGATTCACAAGAATAAAACTCATTATTTTTAAGTATAATAATCATAATCATATTTAGGGCGCTTTCCAATTGTTACTAACTAAGAGTATGCACTGAGTAAAAATATTAAAGTAAATCACTTTAAAAAACTGTGTCATAAGCTCAAAAAAAAAAAAATATTAATAAAAGAGTAAATATCTAAAATGGTCCCTCGACTATAGCTAAATTTACAAATTGGTCATCGACTTTCAATTTCAACCAATTAAGTCCTTAACTTTGCAATTTTAACACGATTTGATCCTCCGTCTATTTGACCGTTTGTTGACTGTGATTTTTGAGGATATATATGTAATTTCATGGTCCATCGTCGGTTTTTTAAGGTTCCGGTTGCATTTTCAGACCGCACTCTAGTTGAGTTCGTACCAGAGCGAAGAAGACGACGTGTTTCCGAAACGGTGCAACGTCATCCTGGAGGCCTCCATGCGCTCCAACGAGAGCTGCAGGTTTTATGGAGACGTCGATGACGGCGCAGCCGCCGACGATAATGCAAAATCGTGGCGAATGATGCAGAATTGTGAAATTACATATATATCCTCAAAGATCACGGTCAACAAACTGTCAAATAGACGGAGGACCAAATTCTGTTAAAATTGCAAAGTTAAGGACTTAATTGGTTGAAATTGAAAGTCAATGACTAATTTGTGAATTTAGTTATAGTCGAGGGACCATTTTAGGTATTTACTCTTAATAAAAATTAGACTTGTAAGTTGTGACTTTTAAATAGATGAATCATACTCCACCTACTCTATTATTCTTTCCTTTTGAGGACTTTTTTTAAGTGATGTTTTTTGTTTGTTTGTTTGTTTTCCTTAAAACATGGATCCATTTGGAAGGCGTGGAGGGTGGGGTGTAGGATTCCACGCGAGGCACGTGTAGGACAGCTTGGACGGCATCTTGCAGTGGCCCACCACTCCCCGTTCACAAGAATAACCTTTTTCAACCATAAAATTCAACTTTACTTTGCGTATTCATTAGTTTTTTCAACAGCTTAGTTGCTATTTGCTAATAACTGTCATTTGGGATGTGTTCAACGAATAGTTATGCTGTGCATATGTATGCACCATGCATGGTGCATACAGATGCAAAAACGACGTCGTTTTATTAAAAACGCGTGTCTCCCCTTTAAAAAAAAAAATTCAAGTTCGATTCTTAGTAACAACATTTTTTTGTTCATTCATTATGGAATTTTAGTTCATGGATTATGGAATTATAGTTCATTCATTCTGAAAATTTTAGTTCATAGATTAGATTATGGAATTATAGTTCATCAATTATGGAATTATAGTTCATCGATTATGGAATTATAGTTCATCGATTATGGAATTAGAGTTTCGAACCTAATTTTTTTTTTTAAGGGGAGGCGCGCGTTTTATAAAAACGACGTCGTTTTTGCATCCAGGGAGGCGCGCGTTTTATAAAAACGACGTCGTTTTTGCATCCGTATGCACCATGCTTGGTGCATACGGATGCACAGCATAATTTGCCGTGTTCAACGATTTGTTTGGAGCATCAAATGGGCCGATCACCAAAGTCTGATTTGCATGAAACTATATGTGATCATTTGGGCTTCGCAGTAGTTGGGCCTATTCAAATGCTCGTTTCGAATTTTTCATCAATTATGGCTAATATAGTTTAAAATCTTGTAATTGAAAGGCCAAAATCAAATTTCATAGGTGATATGAAATTGTAAAACGAAATTATTGTGTGTGGAAGATGAATGCAATATACATTTTTAATATCCATTTTTTCTTAAAACATGGATCAATTTATGACTAGAGTCCATTTTACAAAGTGGACCTGGTCCATGGTATAACAACTGGCAGCCGGTTTGCCAAAGAAAATTGTATAATTAAAGTTGACAGTGGAACATTTGGATGGGGTAGTGGCAATTTATATCCTACACCACGGCGCGCGTTGCACTATGCGCCCAGATGCAAAACGACGTCGTTTTAATTTTTATTTTATTTTTTTGAAATTTCCCGCCCCAGTGAATGGCAGTAGTTTTTTCTTAAAAAAAAAAAACCCGCTGTTCAAGAATGTACATAATGTTATACTAGAATACACATAACTGTATACATGAATGTACATAATTATATAACAAAATATACATACTCTTTTTAAAAGATAATACACATAATCTAACATAATACATAATAAACATAAACTTTTAACATAATACACATCAACTATTAACATAATACACACAAATTTTCTGATTCGGATGTACATAATTGTATAAAAAGAATGTACATAATTGTATAAAAATATACATAACTGTATGAACCAATACACATAACTGTATGAACAAATACACATAATCCCAGCAACTTCCTACCGCGCCTCCCAAAACGACGTCGTTTTGGGAGGCGCGTGGCGCACAGTGCTATGTGCGCCGTGGTGTAGGGTATAACGATTGTGGGGTTGTGAACTGGGCTTTTGACTAGAATTATGGTTGATTGTTGCTGGGCTAACTAGTCTTCAATTGTTTAGGTTAGATGTCTATTTTTGTCGCTACGAGACATCCTATATTTGTTCTGGGAGCTATTAATATTAATATTTATAATATCATAACATGCAAGTGTATTTTTTTTTTTGACAAAAAAATGACACAGAACTACGATGTCTATTGTATGAATATTGAATTTAATGTTTTTTTAAATTAATTATATAGAGTAGTTAAAAATAAAAAAGTAAAAATTGTTTGATTTGAATGTTTCTTGGAGTTGTCAAGTTGAATAATTTGCCTTGCCAGCTTTTGCAACTACTATTACTCGGTCTCACAAGAATTTAAGACCTTGGCACAAATGGCAACTCTTCCCATAATTAGTTCGTTAATTGTTAATTATATTAGAAAGGTACTAAAATGATAAAATATATTTTACCATCTAGCCAACTTGTTAAAAAAAAAAAAAAAAAAAAAAAAAAAAAAAAAACACAACTAGCCAACTTGTTCTCAACATAAATGACAATATTAGCCCCAATATTAGTGGTCGATGGGTGAATCATGATTCTTGTACTTAAAGGTCACAAGTTCAATTAATGTCAATACCCTTTCGGTCAAGCACATCTCACAAGGTCTTTCTAATTTTTTTTGTATGATTTGCGAGTTATTACATAGGAATGAGGTTTATCTAGTGTACGCATTGAAATTGTGACTGCCCGTTTTCATTGTTGCCAAAAAATGGCAATATGACATCATTTGCAAGTGAGTCTAAGTTGTTTAGTTTATGGTAGCTAATGTGCCAAATATAGTAATATAGTGTTGATGAAGTCTTGAAAGCCAGCTAGAAGATAGAAGTAAAAATTTCATGCTTCCGCATGGTTCATTTCAGAGGCAAGTTGTGCATAGTTATATATAAAATATGAATATACAATTTAATTATTAGTTTAAATTTTAGTTGATACGGACTAATATTTTTTAAATTTTATATTAGACTCATATACATGCTAATGATCATATCCATCAAAAAAGTAATTGGTCCACACGTGTGAGGGAGCATATTGAACACATAATATATATGCAGAACTATTAACTTAAACTTTTAATTGAGATTGAACACATCCATAAATTTAAAGAAATGATAAAATATTATTTTGCATTTGATAAGGAATATCCCCGGCACGGTAAAAGTGTGACCTTTAAGATTATTGGCCAAGTTATGGCATCCTCTCTGCTCGGTCCTACCCTTAGTGCTCGGGTCGGGTCCTCCTATCGGATTACCTTTTGTGCTAGAGGATAAAATACCTCTGCTAATCGATCAGCCGATCGTGTCGTAAATGGGCTTGTCAGGAATCAATGTCCACACGTACCTATTAGAAGAGCCGCCGACCACACCAGTGCATGTGAGACGCGTTGCAAGCTAAGCATGCTTGATCCCCGACATGTGCTCCTTCTTCACCTCTATAAATAGGGCATTAAATTTCTGGTGGAGGAGATTTTGGGAACAACAATTTAATCTCGTACCAGCTCGAGAGTGTCTAACCTACTACCATAATTACCCGAGCTCATATACTACAAGACATACGTATTTGTAAATCGCGGTGTATTTACTACCATTTGCATTTTTGTAGTAGGATTACAAGTGTTTTTGGATGTGACCCCCTTTAGTACTACCTCCGAATATATATTTATTTATTCTCTCTTGAATACATTTTTTTTGTCAGACCACGAGATATTTTGAGCAGGTTCTAACGTTAGGAGGCACCTTTAAGTCCGTACCATACTCAGACTAATCCCCGTTCGCAACGAGCGTGCTGGTCAGATTGGTTTTTCTATACGAAAAGGGGGTTCAAATTCCTGACCTCATAGTACATGATCACTCACGTTAACCAAGCTGGTTGCATATTGAATACATTAATTACTATCATTGGGCAATTAATTACTACTCCTCAATCCTCATTCATAACAGACTAACAGTTAAGCTATCTCACTTAATATAATAAGACTAATAATAGTAGTCTTCGTAGCACTCAGTAGGTGGGGTGTGGGGACATGAACTGAGGGGAATCCAACCTATCACTGCTTCCTAATAACACATGATACATGGGGGGATGGACTATGGACTAATGGAGGGTATAATGAAATTAAAAGAAACACAATGATACAACGTGCGGACGTGCCTGCACCATACAAGATCGAGGCTGCTGTCGTTGTGAGTGAATTATGAATCTTGTTTTGGGTACAGTATATATGAATATATATTAACTGTAGATGGATAGATAGAATCTACTCCTACCCATTTTCGTGTATAAGTCTTTCACTCTTTGTTTTTGGTGGGTCCTTCCCATGCAATTTATTGGGAGATAAGAAAGGAAACTTCTCCACTACCCATTTATCAAGTGGGTTATTGATACCTTTGACAATTCAAGATAACCCCAGCCCACTGCTTGGTGTAATCGTGAAGGGACAAGGAAAAAGGTACATGAAAATATCATCAATAAAATAATCACACTCATAATCAACCAACAACTGATCGTATGCCAAAGATATAATTAAATCCTCAACTTCAAACATTTTAAATTTCCAGAAAAACCAAATTAAAAAAAAAAAAAAAAACCCTTAAAATACATCATATCACTAGAACAATTTACATGTATTTTTTTTTTTTTTTTGGTTACCCCATATTTTTCCTACTTAATCTTTTCTCAACTATTTAAACACTAGTACGCTACAATTACAGGAGAATTCTATTCTCGTCAAATCATTAATCAAAATCATCCAAAAAAAAAAAAATAAAATTGTTCGATTTAATACTTGGTGGAGAGGCTGCGGGGTACCTTAAACAGACACATCAGACGTTCTGGGCACAGTAGCAGTGGCGGATCTGGGCTGCCGTAGAAGATCGGTCAAAATCTCAGCCTATATACAAATTCAGGGCCATCAATAAAAAGAGAATATAATCACACGAGAGTTGTGACGTACTGTCACATAAAAACTTATAATGCCAACTTTGTGCACTATTAATATAACCACGCATTAATGCCATTCGTTAATACCTTTAAATGCTGATGCCACTTCAGCAACCAACCAATCAACAATCACCTTTTTTGGGTTTGTTCCTTTCCTTTACCTTCGTCTACATTATTTTATTTCGTTCATATATTATATTTTAAGCTTAGACATCTGCTCGTCCTAGCACGTATTATTGTTTATTGCAGCTACAAATTTGGTAACTTCCTATTTGTCCATGTCTTTATTTTACTATAACAATCAACATCAATATTATTAAGATTATGTTTTAGCACGACTCTTCGACCAAGCATATGCTATGTTAAATTAAAAGATCATAAAAATATGTATTATTCTAATCTAAATATTAAGTATATAATATATAAATAACAAAAGTGTAGTCTAATCGTCAATTTACTAACTTAAGTAGATTTAAACCTTACCTATTGTATGTGCAGTGCTCCGTCAAAAATATGTTAGCATTTAGTATATAAATAATAAATATGCAATCTAAGTGTCTAATAATCAATTTAAGTTTTTAGTTGAGATATATAATATTATATTACATTATTCAATTAGTGTATATGGAATTAATGTTTCATTGTATGTTATAAATAAGTTGTGATAATTTTAAAATTATTAATAATATTAATGTTGTAATATATTAGTAAATGAATCACTACTTTTCTTTGTGGGAAAAATTTAAATGTGTAAAAAGGCATTGCAACTGGAAAGATCTAAAAAGATTTTTTTTTTTTAAAGGAAAAAAGAAAAAAAGAAGAAGATATTTACCTTTTGTTTGGCGCGGCTTGTACCGGACTGCGACAAAGCCACCAAGGGGGGAATGGCTCCTTCTCGGGCCACCAAGGTACGGTGTGTGACGCTATCCTCACATAGCTGCAACAGTATGGCCACCGCAATCTCCTTCTGTCGTTGCGTTCCGGCCTCCACAATCTCCACCAGCACCGGAATTCCGCCTTCTTCCACCAGAGCCGCCCTCGCCTCCTTCACGGATGCCAATACGTTAACCACGAACGCGGATTTTTCCACCATGTTCGAGCTGAAATCGGCCATTAGTTCCACCAGAGGCTTCATTACTCCGGCCTGGACGGCTCTGACCTTGTTCTCTTTCTCTGAGCACAGCGAGTACAGAGCCGTGCAGGCGTCCTTTTTGCCGCGGAAATTCCCGTTTTCTAGAAGGTCCACTAGGGGCGGGATCGCGCCGGAGCGTCCAATTACGATTTTGTTTCGCTCGATTTGTGATAGGCGGAGCAGAGCGCAAGCGGCGTTCTCTTTAGCCGTAGATGTGCCGACTTTCAGAGCTCTAACGAGAGGCCTGATTGCACCGGACGCCGTGATGAGCTCCTTGTTCTCGTCACAGAGCGAGAGGTTGAGAATTGCGGTGACGCCATATTCCTGAAGCTGAGGATCGGTGGAGAAAATCAACGTTATGAGCGGCTTGACCGCGCCGGCTCGGGCAATTTTGATTCGATTCTCAGGCTTGTTCTTCGCGAGGAGCCGGATTTCCATTGCGGCTTGCTTCTGTTCATCGATTGATGTCGACTGAAGATCGCACACCAGTTGCTGGAGCAATTCGTCGGAGTTATCCGTCGCGCAAGCCACGAGTAGCCGCCGGCTCTGAGAAGAAGCCGTCGGGAACTCGCCAGATCTATCACTGTTGCAATCGCTGAAAGCCGATGAATCATCGTTTATGCTGAGACCGCTGAAGCTTCGTCCCATATAAGTGTAATCCGATTGAACTTCCTTCTCCATCGCCGCTAAAACTCCCAATCCCACGGTTTCACTTCATCAAAAACCGGCACCCGGTCACCGGAATTCAGTGTCGCCCAGATAGTACTAGCTGTAGTAGAGAAAAAATATGAAATTTCAAAGCTAAAAACGACCCCGTTTCGATGGCTTTACGTTTTGCAACTTCCGTTGAGAGAAAAGAAATTATAAAACGAAAGAAACGACCGGTTGGGGTTAGAGACAAATGGGCTAATAAGAGCAGGAGAGGAAGGGAAGCCACGCGCACGACAGTAACGAATCCCAGTCGGGACAGCACGTGCAAAGAGTCCCTCAGAACGCGTGCGTCAAAGGTTCGCCATTCGATAGAGCTTTTTCACTTTTACGTTTGGAATAATGATAAAATCGTAACATGCAAGAGAATAGTAGGAAACCATTCTTCGTATCATATTTCATATTGTATTTTAGTTTTTAGAATTTAAAATTGAATCAAGATTACGTAATTGAACCGGGCCAAATCAATAATAAACGGTTTAATTTTACCTTTTAGTTAGTTCTACACAGATAATTATTGTTGGCTCAAAATCGTGTAGTGTAAAAACATTATCTCAAATCTATCATAATATAGAGAAGATCAATCAAAGAAAGAAACAAAGAATAAATCTCCGACAAGGTAAGATTCATATTCCAATACAGACTAGATAAAGGATCTCTTGAAATACTATATAAAGATCTCACGCTAGCAACTAGCAAGGAACGGTTTGCATTCAATTCTCTATCTTCTTTACTGAGAGCAGAGAAATATTGAGAAGAAGGAATTCCACATAGGAGTAATACTAGAGTCAGGTTTCAATAGAAATATATAGTGAGATCTATATTCTATTATGTAAAAGTGTTCCAAACTCTGTACTTTTAAATTGTGCTCATAGTGAATTTGGATTTTTTCTCAATACGAGAAGTGCATCACAGATTAGAGATTTCTCGAACTGTGTTAAAAATCTTTTTTTTGTCATAATTAGTGTTCCAAATCATCACGCAATCTTCACAAATTTTCAATTATAAACCATATGTTTTCAATGTAAGAGTTATCAACTTTGATCTAAGTACATTTTGACCTGATTATGTGACTACAATCCAATATTAAATTCTAAAATGGTAATACATCACAGAGTGTTTGGAAATGTACCATTTGGTGAGGTGCATTTGTACGTGCATTTCACTCTGGTGCATTTTCGAACACTCTGTGGTGCATTTATGCATCTCTAATGGTGTAATTTACACTGGTCGCATGGGAAGCCTTGTTTGCATTTGATCCGGTATATATATATATATATATATATATATATATATATAAAGTTGATTAGTTATAAACTTGTGGGTCACTGGTCACGTTATGGGTTATCATGGTGAGAATCCATGGTGTTAGTTGGAAGCACTCCTCCCACATGCACCAGTTGCTTCAAGGTGCTGTCCTGTGAAAAAATAATGGTGGTTATTCATGAGCATTGAAGTTGCATGTAGTTGGCTCCATTGTTTTGCTTAGCTTTATGGAAGCAGAAGCTTTCATTGTCATCATTGCGAGACGAATAATAAGTTTTAGTTAAAATGTACTCTGCAATACTTTTTCTATGAATTTACAAAAAAGTATTACGGAGTACATTTTATCTACCTACCACACACTAAAACTAATCTTGTTTGTGCGACATGATAAAATTTTAAAGAGTGACAAATCCACATAGTTGTATTATCGGGAGACCTAGCTAGCTAGACTATTATTAGAGATTAATATATAGTAGGTGAAATTTCATATTCGTCCATTAGGAGCTATGGACTTATCAAGTGGATGTAGGAATAATAAAAGGGGAGAAGATGTCCGCATACTGACAACTTAAAAAAGTAGTTATACAACTAACTGACATAACCATAATAAAAGAGATGCATGGGTCGACATAATGGTATTCTTAGTCAGCTTTTGATCCTCCCAGTCCCCATTATATTAGGCCATTGAACATCATCTGCATACTACGGGTGAGTACTAGGTGTATTGTGTTGGTTTAATTTTATGACCATATCATCATTCTGAGGCAGAAAGTCATAGCAACGATGATTAGGTGAGGACTGAAAAGGAAGCAGGCCATGTGGTTTCACAACTTGTTTTCCGTTAGTTGAATTGTATTGGTGCCAAAAAAACTGTGATCATTATTTAATGGTGTACATTTAATAAATTCTTTTCTTATGTATACATACAAAATAAGTCTCACTCCTCTTATGTAATAGTCTAATATTGGGAAAGAAGATATTGAAATTTTCTTCATAGAAAAGGGAGAATGTATCAGTCAATTTTCATATTTCCACAAGTTTTATCTTGGTATGTTGGGCTCTTGATGTAACTTGGCAAATTATGCTATGGATCCGGGTACATATGGCAAGGTGGGCTCCGATTATATTTATAATTTTTGGACTCTATATTTACAATTTTTGAACTGAATATTCACAATTTTAGATCTCAATATACAAAATTTCAGAACTCAATATTCACAATTTTTGAACTCTATATTCACAATTTTATAACTGAATATTCACAATTTTAGATCTCAATATACAAAATTGCAGAACTCAATTTTCACAATTTCAGAACTTTATATTCACAAATTTTAAACTCTATATTCACAATTACAGAACTGAATATTCACGTTGTTTTCAATAATTTTTTTTAAAAATTAATGACTGTGAAAACGGTGCCACTAACGACATCATTATTTTCACATGCAAACTGCGTCATTTTGGACCTGGGTCCTGACATAACTATTGATGTAATTTGTACACGGCTGATTTGGAGTGGGCCCTTGGATTTTATTACTGCTTTAACATTATTGATTGGGTCGATAGTCCATTTTCTACTTAAGGGAATTTACTTCTTGAATTGGGCTGAGGCCATTTTTAAGATTAAAGAATGGGCCGTATCAGTGCCAGATTTGGACTCCCTCTTCATTGGGCGTCTTTGTGTTACATCAATCGTTATGCTGTGCATCCGTATGCACTATGCATGGTGCATACAGATGCCAAAACGACGTCGTTTTATTAAAAAACGCGCGTCTCCCCTTTAAAAAAAATTCAGGTTCGACTCTCAGCAACAACATTATATTGTTCATTCATTCTGAAATTTTAGTTCATAAATTATGGAATTATAGTTCATTGATTATGGAATTATAGTTCATCGATTATGGAATTGTAGTTCATCAATTCTGAAATTTTAGTTTATAGATTATGGAATTTTAGTTCATTCATTCTGAAAATTTTAATTCATAGATTAAATTATGGAATTATAGTTCATCGATTATGAAATTTTAGTTCATATGTTGTTGCTGGGAATCGAACCTGATTTTTTTTTTAAGGGGAGACCCGCGTTTTATTAAAACGACGTCGTTTTTGCATCCGTAAGCATAATTTGCCGTGTTCCAACATTCACTTTTGTTTTCAAAAAAAAAAAAAAAAAAAAAAAAAAAAAAAGAGGTAACGTCACTTTTTGTATCTATCCTAGGGTATGCCCGAGCCGACAGCGGAAAGCACCACCGCTCGCAACCATCGCCCGAGAACCAGCATCGCCATCCCTCCGCCTTGCCGTCGCCGACGCCATCCACTGTCGTCGTTTCTCCGCCTCCCAGCGACGGTCGCCGGAAGTTCGAGAAGTAACGACAATCTGTCACCGTCGTCGCCTGAAGGAGAAGATGAGCAGTGACGTCGCCGGGAAACCCAGCCTCGCCTCCGCCGTCGTCCTCTGATTTCTTCGCTAGCTTCGCCACCGAATGGAGACGGTAACCGGCGAAACAAATTCGGCGAATCCAAGTAGTAAGGCAGTAGGTTATGAAAAAAATTTATTTTATTTCGAAATTAATTCATTTATATTTTTCCAAAATTATTTCGGAAAAATTTATATATACATTTATGAAATCCAAATATATGTGTACATACTGAAAAATAGCTAAGCACAAATATATGTATGCACTTTAGAGAGATACCAAGTGTAAGAATATTAATATATAGGATCTAAGTATCTAACCTCCAGGTATACTTCATGTTATAGTTGATGTTTGATTAATTGATTCCATTCTGGAGAACTGTCACTTTCCCTAGATGTTTGATTCCATTATGGAAAACTGTCATTTTCTATTCCATAGTTAATGTTTGATTCCATTTTGGAAAACTTTCATTTTCCATTCCATAGTTAACGTTTGATTCCATTTTGGAAAACTGTCATTTTCCATAGTTAATGTTAGATTCCATTTTGAAAAACTGTCATTTTCTGAAAAATGACTAGAATTGTATAATTAAACATTTTAATTGTTTTATTTAGAATATAAAATACAAAAATATTTATAATTTATAATAATAAAATAACAATTTAAATGTAATAAAAAATAATTTATAATATTATCTTTCTGGCTGTGCATTTTCATCCCCACAGTTGGAAACCATCTCCGGTGGCTGATGTTCGTCAAATCGACCGCTGGAGATTTAAAAAAAATTCAAAGCTAAAAAAAAAGGAGAAATACTTTGCTGGTGGATGGAAGAAGGGGTTTGAGAGAAAGAAGAAAATGAAGAAGGGATTTGGGAGAAGAAAGTGAAGAAAAGTTGAGAGAAAGAAGGTTGTGGTGTAGCTGTGGAATTTGCCAAAACATCCTTATTTTCCCTTTGACCGGAAAATGATTTATGTTGGCTTCAATTTTTCAGACTCTTCCAAACACTCGAACTCCTGGTTTCCAAACACACCCAAAACTTGAATCATTTATATAATTCATTTTACATTTATCAGTTCTTGAATTTATTCAGTTCCTTTTAGTTTGTATCACTGATTAATTATAAACTCTTATAATCTCATGAATCTGGGGAGTATAATGATTTTGTTAAGTTTGAATCGGCTGTTGTAGTTCTCCAATTTAATGATGGTTTTACATATATCAAACACACAGGACTAGAAAGTATGGCGAAGAGGTATCTAGAAATAAATGCAGGGAGCAAGAGATCTCCATTCATTTATTTCCGTTCCCATTTTTACTGAAATACTTTCAAATTTTGTTAATTCGTTAAAATATGGTTGATACTTTGCAGCTCCAAATTGTGGACTAAGTGCATAATGTTCGTTAGAAAGTCGATCTTTTGCTATCAGCATTTCTGAATTACAACTTTTTTTAAAAAAAAAAAAATATGTAAACCTTTTTATTTTTGCTGCTGCAGTCTGCAGAACTGTGATTGGAGATGCATTATATTCGGGTCTACTGTCCCTCAAGAATATTATATTCTTGAAAGTCAACTATCCCTTGTAGAATAATATATTCTTGATAGATGAAGTGTCCTTTGGAGAATGAGTTAGGTGTGAGTTAATTAGGTCCTACACCTATATAAAGGGCCCTAACCCTTAAATTATGAGATCATCATTCATAGCCAATTAAGGCCTAGCTTCTCTCATCAGATTCCATTTCATACGGTTGTTGATTGTCTCGTAGTCAATAAAACCAGGAATAAAAGGATCAAAAACATGGCAAAGATGGTGGTGTTGGGTGTGTTTGTTCTGCAGCTTATATGCTGCTGCAGCTTGTATGGGCATGCAGATGCTGGTTCACTGGTCAAGTTTCTGCCGGGGTTCCAGGGCCCCTTGCCCTTCCACCTCGAGACCGGGTCTCTACATACTTTAATTTTCTACTTTCATATATATCTATATATAAAATTCTGATAGTGCATGCAGATTCATGTAGTTTAGGCTATCCCTAGGCAAAGATGATGCATGCATGCATGTGTATTGTTAAGTATACTTCTAATTTGGGTCGAGTCCTTGGTGAGGTTGTTGATTAGTAACTACGTACCAAGTTACAACAGAAATAGCGTAGCCCAGTGATCTTTTTTGTTTGAGCTTATCAGCTATAGGCAACTTAAGCTGGTTTAGTCTTACTATACGGATTTCTCTAAATCAAAAATATATTTCTGATTTGATTTGGATGCATTAATTATATTGATCAGGTATATAGGAGTTGGAGATGTGCAATATTTCTACTACTTCACCAAGTCTGAGTCTAATCCAAAGTCAGACCCTCTCATGATATGGTTATCTGGAGGCCCTGGCTGCTCTTCTTTTAGTGGGCTAGTTTATGAGATTGGTAATTCATGGAATTCACCTAACAAGCTTAGTTCAAATGGGAGCTTTTGCTAATAAGTATTTTAATTTGAGGGTGCATGTTTGCAGGTCCCATAACTTTTGTCCCAGTGGAATATAATGGAAGCATGCCTGAATTGATACTAAACCCCTACTCCTGGACAAAAGTACAGCATTTTTAAGTTACTGTAATTTTGATCGATGAATTGACTGATATTGTGGTGACACATTTATCCTATTCTTTTTTCAGGCGGCAAGCATTATTTTCTTAGATTTACCTGTAGGAACTGGATTTTCTTATGCAACAATTCCTCCTGCTAAACAATCAAACACTCTCCAAACTACCCATCAGGCATACGAGTTTGTTCAAAAGGTTTCACTTAGCTTAACCTCAGTGTTGTGCCACAAATTGATGATAGCTTTATAACTCAATTTATTCAAATTAACGACGAACTATATTTAATTTGTACAATGGTTACTTGAACATCAAGAATTCATGTCAAATCCATTGTATATCGGGGGTGACTCATTTGCAGGCCAATTCGTTCCTGTCATTAGTCAAGTCATATCTAATGGTAAGACCTCACTACATTATATCTCTTTATATATTCATTATTTATAACTTATAGTGTGATTTAATATTATTATTATTTTTTATCTCCACAACTATGCTCTCATCACTTCATCTTTTGGTGAATGCAGGGAATGAGAAAGGGAATAACCCCCAAATTAATCTTAAGGTTTGCAACCTGCAAGCTGTAGATATGTGTGTGTGAGGTTTTAATTTGCTAAAGTAAAATTTGGAATGGTGCAGGGGTATGTTCTTGGCAATCCAGTAACTTTTCTAGGTGAAAACAGCTATCAATTCTCTTTTGCCCATGGAATGGCTCTCATTCCTGATGAACTTTATGAGGCAAAGTCTTTTTTTTTTTTCCTTTTTTTTTTTAAAAAAAAAATAATTTGTAAAGTATGTTTCACACTTAAATCTAATTACAATGACAATATAGTTGATTATTTTATAATAATACAGTCCTTGGAAGAAAATTGTAAAGGAGAAAAGTATCAATAGAGAGAGCCGGGTGGTAACATAAATCCAGAAAATGTTAAATGTGTGAGGGACGTTCAAATTTTTGAGGAGGTATTTTGGTCACATGTATTTATCTATTTTCTTTTTCTGTTTTTTAATTTCTTCAACCCTGGTGTAACTTGATAGATTTCTTGTTTTCGTTTTTTGATTTAATAGTTGACTAGCGACCTTCAAGTTGGTATGATATTAGATCCCAGTTGCAGTGAACTTCAAACATCACAGAAATTGTTCACCAACAGGAGATCTCTTGACGAGAAGCATATAAATCTTGTTAATCTTAATTCACAATTTTCAAACCAATGTCGTGTAAGTCATAAAATACCCAATGCTCAACCTATTATATTATGACTTTCAAAGTTATGAAACCTTCATATTAAATTATTTATATCAAAATTTAGGAATATTTTTATGCTCTGTCGGACTTTTGGGCGAATGATAAGAGTGTTCGAGAGGCACTCCACATAGCACAGGTAACCCTAGCCTTAGAAAAGAAAGATGAAAATTGGAAACTAAGAGCTGTATATTTCAATTTTTCATTTTTAAAAATGTTTTTAGCTTAAAAAAACGCACGTTTTTATCAATAAACATTTTTCAAATTTTAATTATTTGGGACTATAATAATGTTATAGAAACAATACAAATTCGAACTTTTGATTTTGAGAAATTTTTAAGTAAAGTTATATGTGTTTATATATTTGAAAATTTTAGAAAATAATTTTTAAAATAAAAATGTATAACTAAATATATTTTATGTTTTTCACATTTAATTTTTAAAAATTAAAAATTTTTCGGATAAGAGTCAAATAAATTATTCAATTTTTATAAAAAATACAATTAAGCCATCAAAATCTAAAAAATTTCAAATAAATCATTAAACTTGAAAAAATGATGCAATTAAAGTTGAATGACTTATTTTACCGTTATCCCAAATTTTTTAAGTTAAATTAGTAAATAATCGTGTAATATTTTGTTTTCCTTCTCATTTATATAAATTATTATTATTATTATTATTATTATTATTATTATTATGAGCGCAGGGTAGTATTGGGAAATGGGACAGATGCAGCAATCATTTGGAATATGAATATGACCTAGACAGTGTAGTTCCATATCATGCAAATCTCAGTGCTAAAGGTTATAGATCGCTTATTTATAGGTAACAATAATTTATTTATTTTATATTTTAATTTTTTTTTGTTAACTTTTTATGTTACATAAAAATGATTATTATCATTTTAATATTTTCCGTACAATGGAGACCATGATATGATTGTACCATTCCTATCAACGCAAGCATGGATACGGTCTCTAAATTACTCTATTATTGATGAATGGCGACAATGGGATGTCGAAGACCAAGTTGCTGGGTTAGATGATATAATTTGCTTTTATATATATATATATATATATATATATATATATATATATATATATATATATACACACACACAAACTAAATTAATTTTAATTTTTAAAAATTTTATCAATCATGTATATAGGTACACAAGGACTTACTCCAATAATATGACATTTGCAACGGTGAAGGGTGGAGGCCATAACGCTCCTGAGTTTAAACCTTCTCAATGCCAAGTTATGGTAGGAAGATGGCTTTCTTCCAATCCACTGTGATCAATCTACTGATTAATGTTCTATCTTCAATAATTAAATTAGGCATGATTGCTTAATTTGTAACCATTATTTCTATCATTATTAAGAGTACGTTATTTGTATTATTAATCACATTGAGTTGAGTTCATTGTTATTGTTCCCAATAAGTTGAATTCGTAATTCAATGCAAATGAATTCGAAACTTATTTGAAATTTGAAAAACTAGTAAAGATCTTGAACTCTTGATGAATGCAGTGGATAAATGGAATATATATATATTTCATTGATTTGTGGAAAGGCCTACATTTACTATCTGAAGATTTTTTTATTTTTTTTTAATTTTAATATTGTCAAGATCAAATGCTTACTACAATGTAAAAAATTATAACTAAATGTGAAAGCATAACTGTATTTTCTTATACTACTGTAATAATCGATGCTACATTTTTTATAACAAAATATTAGATTTGATCCTCAACTTCCGCGCAACCTACATTATTAAATGTTTGCAGACAGTATTTATGACTTCCAATACTATTTCAAGAATTTTCCAGCTACCAACGTACATTATTAAAAGTCTGCAAGCAGTATTTATGACTTCCAATACTATTTCAAGAATTTTCCAGCTACCACAAATTTGATAGATCCCAATTCACTCACCTAATAAACACTTGCTTAACGTCTTCACTGTTTGATAGATCCCAAATTCAACTCACCTAACAAATTCACACCGTGTGAGTTAGTTCCTACACCTATATAAATTATAAAGAGCCCTAACCTTTATATTATACATCTTGAAGAAAGAATTACAGGATAAAAAACATGGGAAAGACAGTGGTGTTGGGTGTGTTTATTCTGCAGCTTATATGCTGCTGCAGCTTGTACGGACATGCAGATGCTGGTTCACCGGTCAAGTTTCTGCCAGGGTTCCAGGGCCCCTTGCCCTTCCACCTCGAAACCGGGTCTCTAAACAATTTAAGCTGGTTTAATCCTACTATACGGATTTCTCTCGTTAACCAAAAATATATTTCTGATTTGATTTGAATGCATTAATTATATTGATCAGGTATATAGGAGTTGGAGATGTGCAATTCTTCTACTACTTCATTAAGTCTGAGTCTAATCCAAAGTCAGACCCTCTCATGATATGGTTCTCTGGAGGCCCTGGCTGCTCTTCTTTTAATGGGCTAATCTATGAGATTGGTAATTCATGGAATTCTCCTAACAAGCTTAGTTCAAATGGGTGTATTTTAATTTGAGGGTGCATTTATGCAGGTCCCATCACTTTTGTTCCAGTGGATTATAATGGAAGCTTGCCTCAATTGATAATAAACCCCTACCCCTGGACAAAAGTATTGTATTTTTAATTTACTGCAATTTTGATCGATATTAACTAATTAATACTATGGTGACACATTTATCCTATTCTTTTTCAGGTGGCAAGCATTATTTTCTTAGATTTTCCTGTGGGAACTGGATTTTCTTATGCAACAATTCCTCCTGCTAAACAATCAAACACTCTCCAAGCTACCCATCAGGCATACGAGTTTGCTTTAAAGGTTTCACTTACCTTAACCTCAGTGTTGTGCTATAAATTGATAGCTTTATAACTCAATTTATTCAAATTAACGACGAACTATATTTAATTTGTACAGTGGTTACTTGAACATCAAGAATTCATGTCAAATCCATTGTATATCGGGGGTGACTCATTTGCAGGCCAATACGTTCCTGTCATTACTCAAGTCATATCAGATGGAAAGACCTCACTATATTATATCGTCTCGAAATATTAATTTAAAACATATACTATGGTTTAATAATTATTTTTTTTAATCTCCACAACTATGCTCTCATCACTTCATCTTTTTGTGAATGCAGGGAATGAGAAAGGGAATAACCCCCAAATCAATCTTAAGGTTTGCAACCTGCAAGCTGTAGATATGTATGTGTTTGTTTGTATGTGTGTAAGGTTTTAATTTGCTAAGGTAAAATTTTGAATGGTGCAGGGGTATGTTATGGGCAATCCAGTAACTTTTCTAGGTGAAAACAGCTATCAATTCCCTTTTGCCCATGGAATGGCTCTCATTTCTGATGAATTCTATGAGGCAAAGTCTATATATATATATATATATATATATTTTTTAAAAATTTGTAAAGTGTGTTTCAATTCACACTTTAATTTAATTACAATGACAATATAATTAATTAATTTTATAATAATACAGTCCTTGAAAGAAAATTGTAAAGGAGAAAAGTATCAAATGAGGGAGCCGGGTGGCAACATAAATCCAGAAAATCTCAAATGTGTGAGAGATATTCAAATTCTTGAGGAGGTATTTTGGTCACAAGAATTTATATTTTATATATATATATATATATATATATATATATATATATATATATATATATAACCTTGGTGTAACTTGATAGGTTTCTTATTTTTGTTTTTCAATTTAATAGTTGACAAGCGATATTCAAGTTGGTATGATATTAGATCCCAGTTGCAATAGTGGACTTCAAACATCACAGAAATTGTTCACTAACAGGAGGTTTCTTGACGAGAAGCATATAAATCTTGTTAACCTTAATTCACAATCTTCAAACCAATGTCGTGTAAGTCATAAAATACCCACTGCTCTGCTTATTATATTATGAATTTCAAAGTTATGAAAAATCAACTTTAACACAAGCTATACTTGTGGCAACATGCAATTACTTTATTATGAAATTTACCTATATTTCATCACATATATTGATTACTTCTCAAGCATTCATATTAAATTATTTATAACAAAATTTAGGAGTATCTTTATGATTTGTCGGACTATTGGATGAATGATAAGAGTGTTCAAGAAGCACTCCACATAGCACAGGTATAACCCTATCCTTAGAAAAGAAAGATGAAAATTGGAAACTAAGAGCTGTATATTTCAATTTTTTATTTTTAAAAATATTTTTAGCTTAAGAAAACACACGTTTATCAATAATCATTTTTCAAATTTTAATTATTTGGGACTATAACATTATAAAAATAATACAAATTCAAACTTTTGACTTCTGAGTAATTTTTTAGTAAAGTTTTATGTGATTTTATATTTGAAAATTTTAGAAAATAATTTTTAAAAAGTAAGTGTTTTCAAAATTTTTAAAATAAAATTGTATAAGTATAAATATTTTATGCTTTTCATGTTTAATTTTTAAAAATTAAAAATTTTTGGGATAAGGATCAAATAAGTCATTCAATTTTTATGAAATTGCAATTAAACCATTGAACTTGACAAAATGATACAATTAGACCTTTCTTTTTTACCTCCTAAAAGTTTAATAACTTATTTGATCCTAACCTAATTTATTTTTTGTTAAATTAGTAAATGATCGTAATATTTTGTTTTTCTTCCCATTTATATAAAAAATTATTATTATTATTCTTATTATTAAATATAAATTATGGGCGCAGGGTAGTATTGGGAACTGGGAAAGATGCAGCAATGATTTGGATTATATATATAAGCTTGATAGTGTAGTTCCATATCATGCAAATCTCAATGCTAAAGGTTATAGATCACTTGTTTATAGGTAATAATAATTTATTCATTTCATATTTTAATAAGATTTTTTTTATATTTTTATGTTACATAAAATGATTATTATCATTTTAATATTTTACGTACAGTGGAGACCATGATATGATAGTACCATTCCAGTCAACGCAAGCATGGATACGGTCTCTAAATTACTCTATTATTGATGAATGGCGACAATGGAATGTTGAAGGCCAAGTTGCTGGGTTGGATGAAAATTTACTTTTTTATATATACACACACACACAAACTAAATTAATTTTAATTTTTAAAATATTTTTTTTATCAATCATGTATATAGGTATACAAGGACTTACTCCAATAATATGACATTTGCAACGGTGAAGGGTGCAGGTCATATCGCTCCTGAGTTTAAACCTTCTCAATGCCAAGTTATGGTAGAAAGATGGTTTTCTTCCAGTCCACTGTGATCAATCATATCTATTGATTAATGTTCTATCTTCAATAATTAAATTAGGTATGATTGCTTAATTTGTAACCATTATTACTATCATTATTATAATATTATGAGTACACTATTTGTATTATTATTCACAATAAGTTGAATTCATGCATTATTGAGACACTTTGGTAGTATAGATAATTCTTAATTTTTTTTTACTCATTAAGACACATCTCACAATTTACCTTATTTACAAAATTGAACATGTACAATAATAGACGTGACATTATATTAAGTTCAATCATTTTTTTCCAAAGAATCTTTTAATGGGGAAGAACAATTTAAATTATACGCCTATTGCTTGAATTTGTTGCGGAATTGGCACTTGATAGATAGCTCTCCAACACACTTGAAAACATGGATTGATGTGTCTATAACGGAGCTATCCTAGACCCATGTGCTCATATAATATATATGAACACATGGAACACATGCGTGGCTCTAATATATCCTTTTCCAAGAGTTATTCTAGAACCATGTGCTATAATATTATATTATTATTAACATTCTAGAGCCATGTGATATATATATATATATATATATATATATAGTCGCGTTCAGGTACGAACGGCGCGCCTAGGAACGAACTGCAAACTATCTAGAGCGCGCCACGTATTCAGATCTATGTGCACCTATAGTTATAAGTAGGTGCACCTGATGAATGAATGTTAACAAGGCAAAGTTACATACACTTATAGGTGAAAATATGTGCACTTGTAAGTGATTTTATCCTACACTATTACTTGCACAGGTGCACTCGATGAATGAATTTTAACAAAGACAAAATTACATGGACTTTAAGATTGGCTGCCTGAGTCTTGAGTTTCAATATCAGATAGGATCCATTAAATGTAGTGGTAAGCAAACTAATCAAACCATTGATATCAATCAGATCAGACAGTTGACGCAGGATAATATTCTGCATGCTTATTTTTAAATGTAAACCTTTTTATTTTTGCCGCTGCAGAGCAGAGATTGAAGATGCATTATGATTGGGTCAATTGTCCCTTAAGAATATAATTAATTTATTATATTCTTGATAGATCAAAGTATCACTTGGAGAATGAGTTAGAAATATTTTTTCCAAATTGTCCCTTATATATATATATATATATATATATATATTGGGCCCATAGCTAGAAAAAAATTTGGGTTATTTTATAAATTTTGGTCAAAAGTCAAAAAAATTATTTTGACCATTCATGGCAAATTATGTTGTGCATCCGTATGCACCATGCATGGTGCATACGGATGCAAAAACGACGTCGTTTGATTAAAAATGCACGTCTCCCCTTAAAAAAAAAAATTCAGGTTTCCCAGCATAAACTCTCGAGAACATTTCATATACAAAATTGACCCTCTAAAAAATTTTGAAAAATAATTTTAAAAACTCTAGAGAACTTTTCTAAATATAGAAATTAATTTCATATACAAAATTGACCGTCTAAAAAATTTTGAAAAATAATTTTATAAACTCTCGAGAACCTTTCTAAATATAAAAATTAATTTCATATACAAAATTGACAATCTAAAAGATTTTGAAAAATAATTTTAAAAACTCTAGAGAACCTTTCTAAATATAGAAATTAATTTCATATACAAAATTGACAATCTAAAAGATTTTGAAAAATAATTTTAAAAACTCTAGAGAACCTTTCTAAATATAGAAATTAACTTCATATACAAAATTGTCCCTCAAAAAAATTTTGAAAAATAATTTTAAAAACTCTGGAGAACATTTCTAAATGTAGAAATTAATTTTAGAAAAAATATTGAGCCTCTGAAAAATTTTGAAAAATAAATTTTATAAACTCTCGAGAACATTTCTAATATAGAATTAATTTCATATACAAAATTGATCCTCTAAAAATTTTGAAAAATAATTTTAAAAACTCTGGAGAACCTTTCTAATTTTAGAAATTAATTTCATATACAAAATTGACTATCTGAAAAGTTTTGAAACTAATTTTATAAAGTCTAGAGAATCTTTCTAAATATTGAAAATAATTTTAGAAAAAATATTGACCCTCTGATAATTTTATAAACTCTAGACAAAGTTTTTAAATATGGAAAATATTTTCATATACAAAATTGTCCCTCAAAAAATTTTGAAAAATAATTTTAAAAACTCTGGAGAACCTTTCTAAATGTAGAAATTAATTTGAGAAAAAAAATTGACCATCTGAAAAATTTTGAAAAATAATTTTATAAACTCTAGACAAAGTTTTTAAATATGGAAAATAATTTCATATACAAAATTGATCATCTGAAAAATTTTAAAAATAATTTTATAAACTCTAGAAAACCTTTCTAAATAGATAAAATAATTTTAGAAAAAATATTTACCCTCTGAAAAATTTTGAAAAATAAATTTTATAAACTCTCGAGAACCTTATAGATATGTAAATATGTGAACGTATCTATGCGTATACTTGCGTGATCCTCTATGATCCTACGTTTGCTGATATGTTTAAATGTCAAAACTATTTATTTTTCAAACCTATATCTACTTTACAGGTTTGAGTAGTTTATACTTAGCATTTTATGCTAATCGGGTTTTTTTCCTTGTTTTCTTGATAACCCTTTTTAGGTTTGGTTTGATGCATGATGAGAGCACGAAAGAGGCTTTATCTTGATAGTTTTCTTCTTTAGTTTGACCTTAGCTAGTAATCTTTTGAAGTTGACATTATGTTGGTAATGATGTGACTTTTAAGTCTTATGTTTATAGACTTGAATATATATTAATGAAGTTAAACTTTTAGATTGCTTTGTGTAGTAGAATGGCTATGGAATTCTAAGTTAACATATTGTTGAGTTGGGGGTGTTACACGGATGGCTGACAATCCAGATCTCTCTTTACACGCAATTACAGGTTCTAATCCCGGTCAAACCATGCAGGTGCTTTCATTGAGAGTATGAACTTGGAAGGCAAAAAATAAAAATCTCGAAGGACTTTGAAATCTTTTGGTCTAGACCATGAAGGCTTACAATAATACACTGTGTATCATCACCTTGAGGACAATGTAATTTTGATTAGCGGAAAAATGATACAATCACAGTGTTGCTGCAATTATTATTATTATTATTATTATTATTATTATTAGTGGAATTCATAGGCGGTAGTTTTATTAGTGGGATTCATGGGTAATTATAACACAATAATGGGATAGTAAGCAAGTTTATTATCCTGTATAAATAGATGTCGTATTTAAGAGGGGACACCTTAGAAATTTATAATTTGACTTTCTATTAAATGAAAAATTGGGAGAAGAAGCACTCCAGAAAAACTTCTATATAGGGGAGAAGAAGTAACACTCCAACAAAGCTTTGCATTTTCATTCTTAAGTTTTAGGCCTGTGACGCGATATGAATCCCAGATATCCCGACCTATAACAATTATATTTCATGGCTAAAACAATATCTTATTTAATAAGATTCCAAAAGAGAGAGACTACTATATATATGTTGGATATGGTGAATAAATCGATACACAAAATATATATAAAATATATATTTGTCCCGAAAAATGAAATTTAATTTATAGAAAATTAATTCCAACCAATTTTGGTACGAAACCAAAATTATATATATATATATATATATATATATATATATATATATAAAAGGGATTTATTTTATCAAAAACTAATCCCACCACAACTAGTACGAAATTAGTACAAGGGATTTAATCCTTACAAGATTAATCCCACCACTTGGTACGAAACCAAAAAAAAAAAAAAAAAAAACGGGTTTTTAACATGAGGTTTTAACCCAACGAGAAGAAAGAAAAAGCAGAGGAAGCCCGAGTCGTGTGTACACACACTCTCCTTAAAACCGATTCGTCGCCTCACGAGGGTGCTAGGAGCGTTGTAGCGTCAGTCTCCCAGGATAAAACGGATCACAACTTTGGTGTTCGAGCACTCAAACTCAAAGTCCGGCGAACTAGAACACAAGCTGAGCACTCCGATGTTTTATGGAAGATGTTGGCAGAATTTTCTCTTTGTAAATGAAGGATGAAAGTTTTAGAGAAAACTAAAAAGTTTTTGAGAGTTTCAAAAACAAAATGAACAATCTGCCAACACACAAACTTTTTGTAGGAGAAATAGAATTAATAGCTTATTCATGGCACATTAACCAACATAAATTCAAAATTTAATAATTGGATAATAACGTTTGAAACGGTCGTACTTATTATCATAATAATACCAACGGTCACGAACTTAATATATGATTAATTCGTACTGACCATAACCACATGTTTCGAAAATATCTGAACGACCGAGAAGTTCGTACAAACCTAAAAGGTTAACGAATTGGGAGTGAAAAGCACATCGGCCCACGAGCACCGAAACGGTGCAGCACGAATCAATGCATATCGCATTGACTCGTGCTCACCGAATCCACAGCACGAAGGGAGCACGAACTTCAATTTAAGCTTTCAAGTGGATGCATCATTCATCCATGCATAGTGCTATATTCCCAATTCCAAAGCTTAAGTTTTATTGAGCCTTAATTAATAAATTATGCTCAACATTAACATGCATTATTGGCACGAACCATCAGTGCTACAAATAGCACGAATCATATTACTTAAGCTTAAAATTTCACTTCTCTCTAATAGGGTTCACTTTGAGAATCAATTTCTCATTCACCTATTATCCATTTTGAGCGTATATTATATCAAATTCTTCGTCTTACTACGAAGAACTCGAATCCACTTTGACCCGACCCAAATCGAAAGTGGATCCCACATATATTTGTACCATAAAATAATCACTCAAAATGTCATTTTTAACTAAAAATTCTAACAATATATATGTGTGCACGCGCGTGTGTGGGGATCTTGACCTCTAACAATCTATATATTATCTTGTCGTCCTCACGATATGTTCAAGGATTTTGATCTTTGGGTTTGCCGAGCTAGAGCAGATATATATCTCCATGTCTCTGTCATTTGTTGGCGTGATCCGCCTGCAAAACCTTAAAGTCTTTAAAATGCTTAATTACGTCCATGAAAAATGACATATAATAATAATAATAAAATAGTAACAAGAGAACAGTCCCCATCACCATCTATATTAGAACGATCACCCTCGATGGCTCGATGTACAACATAAATACTCCATTTTTATTATTATAGTAATAACTGTATTCTGTACGTCTTTTTCTGAATTTGTCAATGCAGTTTCCAGATAATAATAATAATAAAAACAGTAATATATATGTTAATTAAGCAGCGCAGCCAGCTGAGATAATAAGTAGCAATTCAATCAAGCTCAGTATTATTGCAAGTGCCTGAAAGTGCAAAAGAAATGGTCACAGAGAAGCTTATTAACAGTGCACAGATATGGTGCTGTGTGTTTCTGTATCTGCTGGTGTTTGGAGATGGCGGTTCACAAGTCAAATTTCTGCCTGGATTTCAAGGGCCTCTCCCTTTTGAACTCGAAACCGGGTATGCTTTAAGAATGATATATTTTTTTCTTTTTGGGAAACTCGAGGTAAACCAGTTTACATTTTTCATTGCTAACTGGCTCAAATCAAGAAAACCAATCAACCTGCAGGGAGTCGAACTTAGAACCTTAACTGCGTGGGTTGTCCCAAGAATATAATGCATGATTTAGTTTCTGAATTGATGATCAAGAATTGATTGTCTGTATCAGTTACATTGGAGTGGGAGAGTCCGAGGATGTTCAGCTGTTCTATTATTTCACCAAGTCAGAATCGCAGCCTGAATCTGACCCCATTATTCTTTGGCTAACTGGAGGTCCTGGCTGCTCTGCACTCTCTGGGTTACTGTTTGAAATAGGTAAATCAGATTACAAATTCTTGGATTTTAATCGCTATGTTATACAAATTCTTGAGTGTTTAAATGCATGGTAATAAGCAGGGCCGATTACTCTTGAAAAAGAGAAGTATAATGGGAGCTTACCTAGGATTGTTTTGAATCCTTACTCTTGGACAAAGGTGAATCTTTTGTCTGTCATTAGTTGTCTGCATAGGAACTGTTACATGCCCTCATCACTAAAGTTGAAAGCTTTGAGGAGCTATTAGGTTGCAAGCATTATTTTCTTGGATTCGCCCGTGGGTACTGGATTTTCATATGCCAAAACCCCATCTGCTTTGCAATCTAGTGACATGCAAACTTGCCATGAAACATATGAATTTGTTCGGAAGGTAAGACTTCAATGACAACTTTTAGTTAAAACCGAAATGCATCCTGATAAAAAGTATCTGTTTTGATCATATTTTGGTGGTTTGTTTGCAAGTGGTTGAATGATCACCCGGAGTTCATATCCAATCCATTCTATGTTGCCGGGGATTCATACGCTGGCATTCTGGTTCCAATCATTTCTCAGCTCATATCTGATGGTAAGACATGAATGATATGTACAGAACTACAGAAATAACAGAAGTATTGTGCTTTAATGTTTATCCATTCTAGTTAGTACTTCTTGCAACCATGCAGGGAATGAGATGGAAATTCATCCACAGATTAATCTCCAGGTTTTGTCAAAATTCATGAACTCCTTGTTTTTTGTTCATGGATGAATTCTTAAAACACCATATGACATATAAAATGATTCCAGGGGTATATGCTTGGGAATCCAAAAACATTTCCAGAAGAAAATGACTATAAAATTCAATTTGCTCATGGAATGGCACTTATTTCTGATGAACTGTATGAAGTATGCATCTTCTTGACTCCCCACATACTTCACTCGTCTTTCCCCAACCATTATAACAGCTTAAACTTTTAGTTGAAACAGAACTCATTAACCGAATTTCATATTCTAAGCAGTCTCTTCAGGTAAACTGCAATGGAAAGTACCAGAGTGTAGATCCCAGCAATGCAAAGTGCTTGCAGGATATAAACACTTTGAATGAACTGATCAATGGAATTGATGGTGCACAAATCTTAGACTGGACTTGCGGTTTTGCAGTCTCGATGGCAGATGATGATATTGCCAGCCAACGACGAAGATCTCTTCACCAACAACTCAATCATCACCCACTATCTGCACTAAAATGCCATGTAAGTCTTCCTGCAAATAAGATTAGCAGAAATTGTTGGTTAAGCTAAGCCTCCTGATTCTCTTGTAACAATCATCTGTCATGAGATATGCAGATTGATTGGTATAGGCTCTCTTATTACTGGGCAGATAATGAAAGTGTTCGTGACGCCCTCCATATAAACAAGGTATGATAATTGATAAGGAAGTCATTACATTCCTTCAAGAAAAGGAAAGTAAGCTAAAACAAGTAGAAAATGTGGTTTTGATGAGTACAGGGAAGTATTGGGAGCTGGACTAGGTGCAACCTTAAATTGCAATACAAAATAACAACCTGGAATAGCATTCCGTACCATGCAAACCTCAGTGCTAAAGGATACAGGTCTCTTATATACAGGTAGCTAGATGGGCACCTTATGGCTAAGAATCATCAACCTTAAAATGAGCTGTTTAGACAAAAATTAATGAGCGTAAAAGTTGTATATGAAACAGCGGTGATCATGATATGATGGTCCCCTTTCTTTCTACTCAAGCGTGGATACGATCTCTGAACTACTCTATCGTTGATGAGTGGCGACCATGGACTGTTGAAGGTCAGGTTGCTGGGTGAGCCCTCAACTAAGGTTTCTTTTGGTTTATTTAAGTTTTGATTTGTTAAACAGTAGAAATTCTAAGTAGATATGTCTTGCATTTGTCAACAATGTAGTTACACAAGGACATACTCCAACCAGATGACATTTGCCACTGTGAAGGCAAGAAAATTATTTCACTTTCTTAATTGCATCACCAATTCATTGAGCATGTCTTGTATGAGATTGTCTCACGTGAGACATATAATATTTTTTTTAGTTAAAATGCACTCATTAAAATTATTGCATTTTAACTGAAAAATATTACACGTCTCACACAACTTATTCCAGGTGAAGTCAAACAACCTGAATCTTTTTTTTTTTTATTGTTTTTCTTGAAGGGTGGAGGGCATACAGCACCAGAGTACAAACCTCCAGAATGTCAGGCCATGATAGAAAGATGGCTATCTTATAAACCTCTGTAGGATGTATTCCTTTCATACAGGAATATATGATATCTGCATATATATTATATAGTATGTCATCCATGTTTAGCATATATTATATGTTGTCATCCAACTCTCTCAATAAGCTTAAAATTGGCATTTAATAAATAAATAAAAGCATTCTTTCAAGTTTGTATATTCAGATTATTATAATGCAATCACTTGAACAATGTTGAGCATGAGGTTAAAGCATTAACCAGCATTTCTTAAATGCCGAAGCATTTTCTTGCCTGGTGAAGAGACCAGTGACGCATTCTAAAGTCACCTACTGAACTAACATCACATGTTTTGGTGAGTCCTCTTCTTTTCTCCTGCTGTCTACAGCTTCATTGGTTCTGTTACTATGTCCTTCACAGATGAACCTAAGTGCAAAACAGTCAGAAGTACAAGTTCAGTATGTTATTAAATAAATATAGGCAACCCGAGATTGTTCACAGTTGTTGACATTCAAAGGGTCTTTCGCAATTCATACAATTCGTGTCAACCAATTGAAAGCATGAAGCATATATGCATGTCGAAGTTGCTGTGATCAACACACTTACCAGATACCCTCTAACTCCATGGGTAATGCAAACGTTTTTCTCTTTCCCTTTACTAGTTTGAAGAAACAACCAACTGTGGTCTAATCGATTGGGTTCAGTAGTATAATGACTCATCAAATTAAGTAAGACCAGCAGGCTGAAACACTCCCATGTACCTATAATCAATAATTGTATGGGATTACTTGACTCAAGAACAAAGGTGCTTAAGTTTTGTGAAAACTTTGTTCTTGAGTCAAGCAATCCAATACAATTATTGGCAAGCTAAGCTAGATGCTCATTCCATAAACCTATAATCACAGATATTCCAATTATAACACCATGTTTACATGAGGTACTGGTAGACACATGTGCCACTTATAGAGATAAAATTCAGCATTCTTAACAAGGCAAGAGAATACACAAGCCATACTAACGTGATCTCAAATAATGAAGAAACCACACATAATATTAAAAAATGTTAGATACCTGAGAATTGAACTCGGTAACATTGCCACTGGAATTTTCTCCCTTCTTCACCCACATTAATCGATTCTCTACCTGCTCAACCCTTTGTCGAGCCGTCCTTCCGTAACCACCTACATATCCATGCCGACCAACAGCACTACCACTTATCCTTCTCACATTGCCATATTTTCTATTATCATTCCTGAATCTGTTTTCAATATTATTAGCCCAAGGTCCTGCACAAGTTCTAATCCTTATCCTCCCCTCGTCACCATTTTTAATTCCATCCTCGGCCACTCTAACAACCCCCTCCTCTACCTTCTTTTCCTCATCTCCAAATTCTCCTACCTGCTCGTGAACCTTAGAATTAATGCTCTGTTGCTGACTGCTTACCCCCGTTCTATCATTGCCATCTTTGCTATCATCCAAAGAGAAATCCTGAGAACTCATATCAATCTTCACAGCCGACTGCCCTATACCACTTTGTCTCCCCTTCTCACCCTTTTCCTTTGTATCTTCAACCACTAGAACAACCCCCTCTTCTGCTTTCTTTTCATCCTCTCCTAATTCTCCTACCTGCTTGTAAACCTTAGAATTCATCCTCATGTTGCCATCTTTTCTATCACCCAACAACAAATCCCGAGAACTCTTATCAATCTTCACCCCCGACTGTCCTATGCCACTTTGTCTCCCCTTCTCACCCTTTCCCCTTCTATCTTCAGCCACTCCAACAACCCTCTCCGCCCCTTTCTTTTCTTCCTCTCCTACCTGCTTGTGAACCTTAGAATTCATGCTCAGTTGCTGACCACTTACCCTCACACTCACATTGGCATCTTTTCTATCATCCAACAACAAATCCTGAGAACTCTTATCAATCTTCACTGCAGACTGTCCTATACCACTTTGTCTCCCCTTCTCAGCCTTTTCCTTTCTTTCTTCAGCTCCTCCAACAACTCCCTCTTCTTTCTTTTCATTCTCTTCCAATTCTCCTACCTGCTTGTGAACCCTAGAATTCATCCTACCGTTCCCATGTCTCTTAAAGCCACCTCTCCATTCCTTCCTTTCTCCTCTACGTTCTCCCCCAAAACCCTTTCTGCTATCCCGTTCAACCCCATTTTCAGAAACCACACCTCCATTATCACCATCCAACTGAAGTTCCTCAACACTTTTCCCTTTCCCATTACTCTCCTCACTCACAACCGTTGGAATTTCCCCCTTTTCAGCCACATTTTCCGGATACTTCACATTCTGTGGAGCCCTAGGTTTTCTTCCTTCCCAGTGCTTCTTTTCCTTTATTTCCTGGTTTCCCCCAATTACCACCGAGCCACTGCTCTCCGGCTCCTCGTGCTTCCTCACCCAGCTTTCACCTCCGCGCCGATCCCTCGCGATTTGCTGGCGACGGCGAGGAACATAAGCAGGCCCAGATTTCCCGCGATTCTGGTTCCGGGTCGTTGGCGTAATCACATCCCTAGACCCGCCCGCTCTTTCCTCTTTCGCTTCGTGCTCCATGTTCTGTTGCTTATTAAGTTTCGCTTCTTCCTCCTCTTGCTTCTTCTGCAGCCACCGCTCCTTGAGCATCGTCAGCGTAACGTAGTTCGGGGGAAGAGAAGGCGGCGGCGGCTCATTAAAGGAATCTTTGTCGTCGGATTCCTCCATTGGAAGATGAAGAGAAGGAAAAGCAGAAGGTTCACTGGGAGAACAGAGAAGGGTTGTGTTCTTTGTGTAAAGAGAAGCAAGAAAGCGCCAAGTTGACTACAAGACGAAAAGCAATAATTAGGGGTTGGTTCATACACGAGAATAACTAAGAAATGCCAAAATGGTTTTTTTTTTTTTTTTTTTTTTCTTTAAATCTCTAAATTATATGCTAATATTGCTATCCGGAGGTCCAACGGTATAATTGTGGCTTTTTCAAATGAAAGAATTTAGTAACATTTATGTGATTGAAATGTGAGATTTTGACACTTAAAAACCAAACGATAACAAATCTATTATCATTTCAATTAGGTGGTAACATACCGGTTTCTATAAAATTATTAAATTGCAAAATATATTATAATACTTCAATAATAATATTTTTAAAATAAACAAAACACTTTTTTTTTTTTTTAACTCCATTTAAACTATGATACCTCTCTTAGTAGAGAGGTGCTTGGAGGAGTTGGAGTGACCATGATGGCAAGTCATTCTCATAATGGAATAGTTGTAGCTCACAAACATTGATGGCTTCTAGAAAATGATAACTTATTTAAACCGTTCATAAATGGATCGAGCTCGATATACTCAAAAGTATTAGAGCATCCGCATTAATTGGGAAGAATGTTGGGATAATGTAAGAGTGATTAGGAAAGAGAATGGAGAGGGGAGAGAAAAAATATAATAATAATAAAAGAGAAAAAATTGATTTTTTAAAAAAATAAAAATAAAAAACTGATGTTGTCAAGCGCACTGCACACGCCCGGCTTTTGCCCAGCTGTGCGAAACGCGCACAGCCTTACTTCTTCTTCTTCTTCTTCTTCTTCTTCTTCTTTTTTTTTTTTTTTTAATTTCTGACATTAACCCACATTTTGCAAGCTGATTCTTTTTCAAATAACTCATTCCCACATCAAGTATTATTTTTTACTTGAGTGATTTATTTCTGAAATAACTCCACTTAAACCACTAGTGTGGATGCTCTTACCCCAAACAATTATTATTATTATTATTATTATTATTATTATTATTATTTGGTGTGTCACCTAACTATCCATAGATGTTCATCATCTCTGGGTGGCTTTCTAGTTTCCAGCAAGGATTAAGAAATTTTTGGATAATGTAGGAATACATTTCTTCATATTCTTATCATTAATTCTCTTTAATTGCAGCAATATATTGACCCATAGCTCCAAACAAAAAGTCAAACAAAGATCAATATATAGAAGCTTCCCTTCCATATTTCCAATAACTATTATTATTTTTGTGTCATATTTATCCTAAGTTTTCAAGCCTCTGATGTCAAGTTTGACTATTTCCCAACTGGATCAAATGCAGCAATCAAACCACTAATTAAGAACCACTCTGCTCCCAGTTTTCTCTATCTTTGTCCATCAAAGTTATCCCAAAACAACATTCCACATATTCATCTCCTCCAACTGCAAAACCCTTTAGTTTCTGAATATGTTCAGTCCATGCATTTGTGGAAGCTCGCATCTTGATCTTCAAACTGATGAAGATGAGATGTATGTTCTTCTTAGCCCATCTTCAACCCCCAAGAGGTCAAAGAAGGGCACATTTTATAGGGGGAGAGAGATCAAAAACCCTTATGCTAATCGCGGCCTCGACAAGTTCTCTGCACTCTTGGCTGATCTTCAAAACCTGAAGCAGAAAATCTACACACAGATGGGCTCAGATGACATCTCCTTCGTCCGCTTCGCCTTCTTGAACTCCAATGATGTCAAGCCCATTATTGTCAAGTCAAAGAACAAGAAACAAGGTGCAGCAGACAAGGATGAAGTTGAGCAGAATGTGGTTCAGTCCACAGGTGAAGCTCAAGAAACTGGTGGTGAAGAGAAAAGGTTGGGCAAGAGTGTTTCTTGGAAGAAGATGAATTATGTCATGAAGTGGGAAAACTGGAAGAAGCCGAGGTATTACTTGCCTGTGGCTATAATCTTGATTTTGGCTTTATTGGCTGTTTATGGAAGGACGTTTGCAGTTATGTGTACCTCCATTGGATGGTATGCAATTCCCACCATTAGAGAGAGTTCATCTTCAAGCTTGAGCTCCAGAAAGCAGAAGAGGAAGAGGGATTTCTCCAGAAAACTGAGCTGCAAAACTGTTGTTAGTACAAATTCAAGCAATGGGAGAGGCTTCTGAGATTCATCCTCATGTTAAGGTTTTTCTAGTGTGAATTCTTGATTTTTTTTTTCTTTTTTATGAATGTAAATTGAGGCTGTTCTTTTAAAAGTAAGGTTGTTGAACTTGTTCATATGTTCTTTGGTGAGTTCCATGGATGTCACTGTTGTGAGCCTTCAAGTTTCTAGATGAAGTCATCATTAAAATGTGCACTCATCCTTCAAATTTTCAAACCTGAACAACTTACTACAAAGACTTATTACAATGAGAAAAACAATTTTACATTCATTACATGTGTAATGTGTGGGATTGTTTATATTTGACTTGTATATATTGGAATTGGATTGTTTTCGACAAAAGTCAATAGTATCACTCCACAATCTCTTGTGGAGCAAACAACTCCAGCTTCTTAATGAGAGCACTAGTAGGTACTCGAACTCAGAAAGAAAAGCACATCCCAAAAGACTAACCCGACCCTAAGTTTCTTGAGTCAATGTGAAATCATATCACAATGCATTTTTTTTTTAAATATTTATATGTATATATCTATAATCAATACACTTTGTACATTTTATATTTGTTCAACCAAGTGGGGTGGTGGATCATAAATTCAGAATTGCCTTCCATGGCCAGATGGGTAAATTTCTATTCAAGCTTCCTCCAATTGACCTTAAGAGCTATATTCTATAACTTTCAAATGGTCATAGAAACACAGGCAGAGAGTTGAGACAGCAAAATGATCTTATAGAAATTGTATAGGAAGTGCTGAAAATTTTGTGATGATCCATTGTGCAGAAACAGGGTGATAGAATACCTTCCAAATGCAAGGTTTTTCTCAAACTTGAAGTTGACCGAAATCGCTGTCATAAATCTCTGGCTGTCATGCAGACCACAGATTTGCAAATTTGATGCTATTATCATCGACCATTTAGCTTCGTCATGTAGGAAGCAAACACAGTCATGAAGAGAGGGGTGGGGGGTGAAGACTAAAAACGAGAAATAAAAAGCGAGTTAAAAATGGACATGGGATCATCGAGAAAGAAGTGAGGTCATTTGCTTGTTTGACAAACCAAGTAAAAAAATTCCTTGGCAGATGGTTCAATACAGGATCAGTATTTAGTACAATTACTACTAGTACAAGTATAATGGTGCTGAAAAGAATCCAAAGGGGAATTTTTTTTCAAAAAATACTAACCACTTCCATATTAAGCTTGCACAGGTTAAGATTTTGAATTTTGAAGCATCATTCCTGCAATTCAAGAAGAAGAGAATTAAGTAAGTCATGCAAATCTTATTTAGCAAATTTAAAGAACTAAATCTGGGCTTGTGATTAGTGCATGCTTTCGTGTATACATGTAGAAAGTTGGAGAGGAGCAAACGTGGAGAATAGATGCTAGAACAAATGCGGGGCTTATGAAATCGAAAACAATGACAGCTTCATGCTAGTAAGCACCAACACAAATTTTCAAGATTAGGTAAAAATAAAAAAATAAAAACTTAGTGACAACTGACAAGGAATGGAAGAATTGCACTAACAGCTTATCTTGGCTGGAAATACAAAAAATGTTCAGTCATTTGCAGTAGTAACATATTTACCAACCAACCTTAAATCTCTTTCTGCGGCCATCTTCATAACTAAAGTTGCGTGATCGACTCCTAGGTGCTTCATCTCTTTCATTCAGTGCTTCCCTTGCAGGCACCCATCTATTTCTTTCTCCTGTTTGACTTTCATCATTTCGGAAGTATCCATCCTTATCCCAAGTGACATCATAATCAGCTCGCAAACGTGACCCTTGCTGCATAAATTACCATTTACCAATTATGTGATTATCACCCTAATATTTGTAATTTGCAGCTCAAGTACAAAATTGTCACACACATTTATGCAAATAGAAAGACCAGCCTTCAGGCACTAAAAAGAGGAGGGAAATATGGAAATTCATTTAGGTGAGATTGTTCTATTTACATATCATCAAAAGGAAATATGTAATACCTTTTGCAATGAACGGCCACATAACGCCTTCAAAGCATTGCAGAAGTCCTTGTGCTTCTTGAACCGAACCACAATCTTACATTGGAGTCCTGAAATAATGTCCAGTCCATCCTCTTCTACATCCTTACCAACATAATTGTCCTCAGCCACATCAATGTTCCTATTGAATGAAAAGATTAAAGCAAATAAAAAAGTAATAATAACTAGGCAATCTCTAATACGGAGTATCAATTACAATTCTAGAAAGAAAATGCACACCACATCTTGAGTAATAAGCTTTTGCACCCCCCACTTCCCCTACCCCCATTTATAATTTTACCTCGGAAAAGTTCTACAAGTATAGCGAACAATATTTGTCCTATTATCCCGTAGAATTTCATGTTAACTATTTGCAATGCATAAACCAATAAATCCTGTCGAAGCTTGTTATTTTGTGCTAAGGTTACACTTTCTCAATAAAAACATTTGAGATTTGCTTGTTAAAAATTCTAATTAAAAATATTAAACAAAAAGGTGAAGCCTCCACTTTTTTCATTTGTAATATAATATTACCATATAACCAAGAAACATTGTGATTCTTATCTTTAAAATAAGACTATATCAATTATAATTCATAAAATCGCCTGAATAATTACTCAAGAACATTGGCAAAGTACCCAAGCAGAGTATCAAACTAAAAACTACCACGCGCACCTAATATTCCCAAATGTTGAAAAAATTGTATGGCTGACTAGCATGGAAGGCTTCGAAGACACCCTTGTCTCAGCAAACCACCTTGATGGCAAACCTCTCAACACAAGTGTATCTGGTTGCATACTTGAACCCCTTTGATATCCTACAAAACGTAGATAATAGTCAATGGCATTAATTGACTTCAATATTATGAGCTTGATCTTGCAATTACCAGAACAGAAATCTAGTATAGTAGTATACACAATGCAATAACTCCATCTCTCCACACACACGCACAAAAAGAAAGAATCCTTCAGTGACAAACCTCCATACAGCTAGACACTGATTTAGTGATTAGTACAGAATTATAGATTTTCTGAATATTAGGAAAGCTTAGCTGATGTTTAATTATGGATTTATGGACAGTGTCATACATAAACATGTAGAAAACATCATTTATCAAACATAAACAATCACAAAGGTTTATGTGGACTTCTGTGGAAGGTAATTCATTCCCCACTGTAACCAGCCATTATATTGACACAATAACTATCAAGCCACTCTATTTTCCTGAGAATAGACAGGAAACTTGGTAATCAAAGAAGGCAATGCTACTTTAGAATAGGGAAGGCTCATAATACAGAAAACTTATAGTCATAAAAGATTGAAACTTTACAAACCTCGGCCACCAAAAGCAGCAATCTCTTCCCATTCTTTCTTCATCCCTTCAAAATCATCCGACGCCGGCAGCACAGCACTCAGCTTGAACTTAGTGCCTTCAATGTTAACCTCCATACCATCCATTCTCTCCACAATTCCTCTCCTCCACTCCAGGAAGTTCTTCTCAGCTGCCTTAACTTCATCCTTCTCATCATCATACTGAGATTTCGAGGCCAAGAGCTTCGCCAGAAACCCTAGGTCCCGAATACATAGGGTGCCGCGAGCAACCGGCTCGTCGCGCTTGCGCTTGTTGAGGTCCTTGAATCTCCGGACTTCGAGGTCTTCCTCTTGAACGGTGACGGAATGTGTGTTCTTCAGGTAATCGATCAGTGACCGCTTCAGCTTCCACTCGTCGACCGGCGATACGGACTTGTCGGCCCGTGAGACTGTGAGTAGGAGTTTGACACGTGGGACCAGTGAAAGTCCGCTTTCGAGCTCTACGGTTTCCGTTGGCCGGAGAAATTCTAAGGATCGATCGCTCATCTTCTTCTGTGCCTCGGTGGCGCGACGGGTCTAGTCAGCTTCTGCGCTATTCAGACGGGTTAGAACTTAGAATGAATATTCAACAATATTAGCACATAGACCCTCCGAGAATTAACAAAATCCTAATTAAGATGTAACTATGAAAATAAGTCAATTATTGTTGAGGATTCATATTGTAACTATATGTTGTCATTAATTCTTGTGTGCACTTCGGAACACTTATTTTGGCTATTGATAAAAATAATCTATCTAATTACTTTTGTAATCCATTCAACTGCGCAAATCAAAATATCAGATGTATTTAAATCAATTATATACTTTGAATTTTGAAATATGCTCCAAAAAAGTTCCAGGAGCACCAACAAAATATTAAATATTTATCAAAAAGATCAAGGGGACTTCACAATCGTTACTAATACAACGTCATATTTATAGAAACAGACACATTATATAAGTATGGATGAACGCATATGATTGAATATATAAAAGTTATTGTAGCAGGTCTCACATTATATTGTGACCTAAAAAAATATTCTAGTAATAATATACAAGATGTCGTTCCAGTTGTCTAATCAAATCGCAAGTGACAATTACTTGTAGTTGGTACTTCATTGGAATTGTCCTCCTTTATTTTAAAACTTAATAAAAATGATATTATTTTTATTAGTAGCAAAAATTAAACTATTATTCAATATCTTTTAAATTTCAATTCCTTCTCACCTTAGTATTAGAACAAAAGCAAGGCCTTTGGTGCAATTAAGGGGGCGAATCCCCACAACAACATAAGCCCCTTGGGGCAATTTAAGGGGCAGATTCCATAACAACCCACCCACCCGTGCGTGCCTTGTATTTTTATAGTTTAGTTGTACTACAAGTGATAGGTACTAGGTACCGACCGGCCTTCAATCTTAATCGCGCCCGTTATCCACCTCAAAATCTGCAATAAACCTCGACAAACAACAATGGGTTGCTTCAATTGCTTCACCGGAGGAGCAACCAAGCGGAGAGAAGAAGAAGAAGAACGATTAGCTTCAGAGCAAGCTCGCGCCAAGGCCGCCGAAGCTGCCCACAAAAGGCCGGCTACCTATTATTCTCTCTCTCTACTTATTTATATATGTTTCCTTTCTTCTGATCTTCAATTCGGATTCCTCAGATTCTCCAATAAAAATCTCATCTTTACATTGCATGTGCACCTTAAGTTCAAGAATCAAGATATTTCTTCTCTTGGCATATACAGTAATGGAGAATCTGCATTTTGGAACATACATGTATACTAGTTTTTTAATTTTCTCACGTTGACCAGAAAACTGGGTGTTAGGTTGCTTCTAAGTTGTCCATAGTTGACAAGCTCAAATCAGAAGGCCAATAAGGCAACCTGATTGCTCTTATTGAGAGTCGAACTTAATTGTAACATTGTGGTTACCAAATCAACAATCTGACGTGCAATATAATCACCATTTTTGCAGGCAAGAGCAATTTGAACAATCTGCTGCAGGAAGAGCTGCGCGGGCTCAGATGGCAGCAGCTGCCAAGCAGTCTGCAAATACTAACAAAGGAGAACCAGTTCTCAAGGTTTTGAAATTGTTCATTTAGATTTGATGCTATTGCTCTATGTGCTTTTGTTCTTTCTCTAACAGTCAGTTTGATAATCACGTCAGAATCTTTCATCTTCCTTTTTTGATCTTTTTTTCTGTTGTGTTTGCATTACATTTATGCAGTGGCAAATGGGATGATGCTTTCTACTATGCATTTGTGAAAAGAGTTTGGAAAGGAGAAGAGAAAAATGTGTAAAGATATTCTTATCCACTTTCTTCTGATTCCTAACTATCAAAGTTTATATATAATTGTGAAAAGATGGTTAAAAGATAGCAAAAATGCTCAGGTTCTGCCTCATAAAGAGCCTTTTTTTTTTTTTTTTCTTTTTTTCCATTGATTGATCAAAGTGCTGACAGCATTTACAGATAAGTTACATATCTAATGACTATGAACAAATGGTAGGAAATAATTAATGGTGAGTATTTCCAGTTGAGAATCTCTCGAGTTCCTAAGATCCGGGATAAATACCTTTAAAATTTGAACCAAAACCATGCCGGCCTGTCTGTCAAACAAAACTTTGAACTGGTGTGGAAAGCTTCAGCTCGTGTGCAGCTTGGAAAAAGTCTGCAGCTTGCTGTGCTGAGCCTTCCATTTTCGAAAGCTTTCCCAGGCTGAACCATGCATCGTGACATGTGGGTTCTATTCTCAGAGCGTTCATTAGCAAGCTTCTCGCAATGGGGACTGCCTGGCTACCCATCTTCATCAGCACTTCGGCTGTGGACACTATGCTGGGAACATAATCTGGGTCGATTGACAATGAAAATGAGAAGGCGACTAGGGCTTCTTTGCATCTCTCTTGAGCTTCAAATAACGCACCTGTAAGTTTTCAGAACCATTTAGTGATCGAGAAAGAAATGCAGAAAATGTTTTTGTGCTCGAGAAGTTGAACTTTAGACCTGTTGTGTGCCAACTCTGAGGCGAATAAATGTCAATTGTCTTAGCCTTGTCGATACAGACTTGTGCATCTGGCCATGAATCTTGATCGATATAAATCCTGGCCAAATCTAGCCAAGCTTCGACTTCCAATTTCCTATCAGATAGTACCTACATATCGAGGAGATAATGTTAAACACGATGTAGATATACTTTTGGAATTAGAACTTGTAGGAGTGTGCACCTCGTGATCCATCCCCGATTGTCTCTGAGCTTGAATCATAGCGAGCAAGATCCTGTAAGTCTCCATGGCTTGATTGGGGTGTTGTCGAGCAATCTGAAGAGCAGCTTTCAGCTTGAGAAATTGCAGCTGGTCAATCTGCCCGGTCTCATCTAAAGCGAGATCAACTATGGCTTCAGCGTCTGAGAATCTCTGCTCAGCTGAGACGATTAGCGCCAAAAGCTTCCACCCTTTGGCTGTGCTTCCAGCCGTCATTTCAGAATACTGCAATGCATTGTCAAAAGCGGGAGTCAAGTTCCTCTGGGTTGCGTATTCCAATCCGAGGCTAAACACGGTTTCTGCATCCTCCTTACACAGCATAGCGGCTTGGGTGAGAGAGTTCAACGACTGTGTTTGGTAAGAGTTTCTTTCAGAATCTGAGAAAGAGATTTTAGCAGCATTTCCATAGCAGACACCGAGAAACTTTCGAGCCTGGGAGAGTAAATGCTTGTTCTGATTCACGGTTGAGTCCATTGCTCCACGAGCAAAACTAATTCCCTCGCGACTTTTACATGGATCTTGAGAACACAGCTTCGCTCCCAGCAGGAGAGATGGGATATGAGGCTCGTGCTCGGCTTCTGAAGAACCAGAAACTTTTCTCAGAAGGTTCAGTGCTGTTTCGTTCTGGCCTGCAGAACTGTAACAGAGAGCAAGAAAGTACCACCTCTCGGCTCTGGTTTTCATCCCGGGAAGAATCTGCTCAACATTATCTGCAAGAGACTCGAATTCTCCAACTACTGTCAACGCAAAAGTTAAATGATCCATAACTTCTGAATCCCATTCAACTTCACCCTGCTGGATTTTCCCCATGAGTACAAACAGCAACAGGATAGCTTCCTCCATGTTATTCTTAGGAGGCGTCGAACACCAGATTTTGAACCGGGGAGACAGATCCACTTCAACGCCTGCAAAGAGTAACGCGATGGCTAGATCCTTCTGCATACTGGCCAGCCTTTTTGCATCCAAATTCCATGGCTTCACAAGAGCCCTTCGGTACGAATTCACAGCTTCATCTATCAACCCTTCCTGCACCCATAGCTTGGGCAAGAACTCCAGCGCTTTGTGAAACATCTCCTGCAACTTGCAGTCTTCCCCAACGCCCTCCGACATCCCATTAGGAAATGCAGAATCGACTATATCAAGAATTGCTTTACACTCTCGAGCAGCATCTGATGAAGGTGGAAATCCCAAAACAGAAACATCAGAATCTAACAGCAGGTAACATCATTGCATTCAAACACACATAAAGCACAGGTTTTTGCAAATTCCCTACACACATATATAGAATACCTCTAATGCGCCCAAGTCCAGCTAATGATTTGGATTTAAGCAAGATTGCTTCAAGAAGTAGACTCACTGAATGAAGTGACATTACCCCAGAAACCACAATTTCACCCTTGCCACCACGCGGTTTGCGTGGCCTAGTTCTCTCAGTTATGGCCTTGGACATTCTTGGTGACAAGGTTTTAATGTCAATCCCCTGGAAAACTTGAAGGGCAGCATCAAAATTCCCTCTTTGATATTCCAGCCTCCCCAGCAAAGCTCTGGCTTCCTGTATCTCACCGGAAAAACCAAACCCACATTCACAAACAGGTGCAAAACATCAAAATCTTGACATGTTTAATGTTTTGTCAGTACCTCGTAGTTTAAGGAAAGTGCCTCCTTCAACGTAGACTCAACTTCATCAACTTGAGCCTCCTCGAATCTTGATTCCCAATCAGCAGTGCCTGTTCTGGAAGAAGAAAGACCACTCGCAGAGAAATCCCTCGTCGCCAATGACTCCGGCGACTGAGGCGCCGGCTCCGGCTCCTCAAATTTGAATTGCTCACCGGAACAAGCGCACAGCATCTTCCTTCTCCGGCAATGAGCTCTCCCTGTTAAAAATGCCAACTTTATAGAGTTTTCAGTTTAAACTCAAGTCCAAGAAATCTGAGAAGGAAAAAGAACTTATCCCAAAGGAAAAGAAGGGATCAGATAACAATAGCAAAGAGCCAAAAGATTTCAATGAGAAATTTCCAGCAAAGGGGCCAGGCCAGAAGAGAAGCATAAAATCTAAATGGAACAGAATTACCAGAAGGAATATTAGAATATAAATGGAAGAACGTTAAGAAAAAGACAAGAAAAAGCATACAATGAGAGGGGCGACACAAACAAGAGCAAGAAGAGAGAGCTTTGGGCTTACCAACAACAAATCAATATTTTGGGTTTAGCCACTCATCAGCCATTGTTAGTAGTAATAGCCATGAAAGCAACATCTGAGAAGAAGTCTGTGTTTTGACAAGCATTATTTTTGGTTAATGGATTGGGGTTAAATGTCAAATCCAAATGATGGGACATTTTGAAATTTTCTATCACCCCTCTAGGCCTCCATTCACCATTTTTTCTTGAAAAATATATGTATTTTAATTGCATGTGTAGAGAAGTTTGCACCCAGCATTGGTAAAAAAAAGTGGTTGCTGAAACTCTAGCTGGTCATAGATTCCAACTTCTTTTCTGCTCTTTAGTTGGATTGTTTGATTTTTCTATAATGCTTGTTTCATACTTTCATGGTTTGGAAAGCACATTGATTTGGGAAACTGAGACTAAAATACTTTGACTTACGGCGATAATATAAAGTTGTTACGTGAATGTGCGTTCAGGTGAAACTCCGCTTGAGACTCTAGTTCATAAAGGATCATAATAAGATAAATTAACTTAGGTTGCTCATAGTTAAATGAATCAAACTGAGAATGTCGATTGGCTGCTATTGAAGTCGAACTTGAAACATTATAATTACCAAGCCAACAACCAGAGTAAATACAGTTAATCAAAGATCAATCATTAGTATAATGTCAACAACTATAGCTTATAACATATATGCAACATTGTTTTTTTTTCATGATAACATGCTTTACAAGACTAGGGGGGATAGTTCAAAGGAAAAGAAGATGGTTAATTTAAGTTTGATTATTGTATTTAGGAGTCTCTAATAAAAAATAAATAAAATTCACATGGACCAATGACGATGCAGAATAAATAAAAAAACAAAGATTTTGATGTTTGGCATGTGACTTATCACTGGCGGATTCTTTGTAGCCTGGCAGGGACCAGCCACAAGAATATGCATTGAAGTATGGAGTAACTGGAATGCCCCTTTCACACTATCACAATTCACAACAAGCTTAAACCCAAATGCTAATATCCCCCCACCATTAACTATAATTACAAATCTCAGTTAAAAGTTAAAACATTTTTAAACCCGACTCATGAGAAAGTAAATCGCATTAATTTAATTTATAAACTAACACCAAACTATAACGCTTATATTTATTGCAAGCATTCAAATAGTCCAAAAAAAAAAAAAAAAGTTGAATGGAAATGTGATGTATAAAATCAAATCCACATGATTCTGTGTAAACAGTACAGTACTGTCAGTAGTCCTTGATGCAAAGCTGTGTGGGCTTGCGTTTGAAGCTGGATATTCAAATGAGTTTGAAAAACATGAATAATTATGTTTACGAGTTCTTAGGGGATAATGGCATCATGGGCACATCATTAGCAAACAACCAACTTTTTTATTAATGTGCTTTTTGTCGACTTTTTCTATAATGCCTCCACATTGTCACGGTGCTCGAGGCTCGTACCACTACACTGCAGGTTTTTTGAATTCAAAAAACAATTTCAATTCGTACTCCATTCTTCCCTGTCTAGTCTAATTTGATATATATGTTGGGACGAAATTCAAAGATGTGAAACAAACTTCCATAATATTATTCCACTTCAACTTTCATATGCCCAATATAAGCTTTTATAATAGATAAGAGAAAATTTCAATTTTGGTCCACTGACTATTGGGGTTGTGTTAATTGCAACATTTGACTTTCAAAAATGTTTATTTAGTATCTTGACTATGCAATTTCTATCAATTTTGATCACGCCGGTCAAATTGCCGGCCAAATCTCACCGAAAAAATTTAATAGGTCAATTTATGAGGGTATTTTAGTAATTTTACTCCTTTTTTTTCTTCTCCGATGAGCTTCTCCGTTTCCGGCGACGTTCTTCTCCATTTCCGGCGATGTTCTTCAGCGGATTTGGTGTGCTTTTGAGTGAGAATTTCACTGATGACAGGCCAAATGGATTTTGAGTCCTTTTTGAGTGAGAATTTCACTGTTGGTTTGTGGATTCTTGCTTTTAAATTTTTTTTTTTTTGAAATATCTTGCTTTTAAATTAATTGGTTGGAAATACAATACATGCAGGGCGGCGGTGAGTGAGCTGTGAAGTGTGAGATTGGGTTCGGCGAACACACACACCCACAAATTAAAGATGGCTACTGGATTTCCGTGCCGACTGAAAAATCCTCTTTCTTCATCACCGTTGGCTACTTCTCCGCGAAGAATTTTGGCTCTTCCTTGACAACCGCAGTGGGCGTCTCATCCACCGCCGACAACCACCCGGATTCACCGAAGCTTCCACTACGGCAGAAAACCGGGGGAGACGCCAACGGAGCATCAAAGTCGTCGAGCAACTGCCGCCGAATAGATTCAAGAAGAAGTCGCCGAAAATGGAGTTGCTTGCCGGGGAAGAAAGGAAAAATGTAAAATGATCAAAAAATCCTCATTATTTGACCTATTAAAATTTTCCAGTGAGATTTGGCCGGCAATTTGGCCGGAGTGACCAAAATTGATAGAAATTTCATAGTCAAGGTACGAAATTAACATTTTTGAAAGTCAAGTGTTGCAATTAACACAACCCCAATAGTCAGTGGACCAAAATTGAAATTTTCTCAATAGATAATATCGGTCTCTCGGATTCTTTTAATTTGTACTTATACTCAAACCTTATCATACATACATATTAAATAGCATTGATCAGTAATAATATCACTGAAGCAACCGTAGTCGAATTGATCGGTTAGTTGACTTGATAACCACAAGTCGGATTTCAAATTTGACTGTCCGTAAAAGGTGCCTAACTCATTGTGGTCCTTAATAACTCCTATCTCTCAATTTAATTTACACTATTGATTACAATTTGAAAAGAATAGATAGTTGATTAATGCATTAGGTGAGATTTTTCCATATTTCAAATTAGGATAGGCAGGCAGAAGGCTAACCAAAAATAATAAAGTGCTTCAACTAGATAAAAGTTGGTGGTGTGGTAGGAAAACTTTGTCATTTACCACAAAAGGTTGTATGGTTTTGCCAAGTCAAAGGTGCATGAGAAATTATGGCATAATTGTGCACCTTTGGTGCATAATGGACAGGTACCCACCCACCCACCTAATAAATGTTTAAATACACAATCATATTATCCACTGCTATTAACTGTTAGTTATTGTTGAGCCATAGAGGTAGTTACTAGTTAGTAGCTCTTTGATGAATTGATTCATTGATGTATATGGTTGACTGAACCGTATCCCTCATGAATTGACAATTAATAATGGCTGTGTGGTACAATCGTTATGCTCTGCATCCGTATGCACCGTATGCACCATGCATGGTGGTGCATATGGTGTATACGGATATCAAAACGACGTCGTTTTATTAAAAAACGCGCGTCCTTTAAAAAAAATTCAAGTTCGATTCCCAGCAATAACATTATATTGTTCATTCATTCTGGAATTTTAGTTCATAGATTATGGAATTATAGTTCATTGATTATGGAATTATAGTTCATCGATTATGGAATTGTAGTTCATCGATTATGAAATTTTAGTTTATAGATTATGGAATTTTAGTTCATTCATTCTGGAATTTTTAGTTCATTCATTCTGGAATTTTTAGTTCATAGATTAGATTATGGAATTATAGTTCATCGATTATGAAATTTTAGTTCATATGTTGTTGCTGGGAATCGAACCTGATTTTTTTTTAAGGGTAGATGCGCATTTTATTAAAACAACGTCATTTTTGCATCCGTATGCACCATGCATGGTGCATACGGATGCACAGCATAATTTGCCCAGACGTTATGCCATGGAACCGTCGTGTTCACCATTCATGGTGAACACGGTTCCAATGGTGTTAGTGCACCGTTATCTTTTTTTTTTTTTTTTTTCTTTTAATTAATTACGTGACTGCCTAAACATTCACTTTGGAACCATGCCTACACATTCACTTTGGAACCATGAGATTATGAATTTTCTGTTATGAGATTATGAATTTTCAGTTATGAGATTATGAATTTTCTGTTATGCGATTATGAATTTTCTGTTATGAGATTATGAATTTTCATTACATTCATAATTTCGGAGTTTCGGACATTCATAAATTATAAATTCATGCATGCACATTCACTTTGGAACCATGCCTACATATTCCCGTCCGAAATCACGGACATTCATAAATTATGAATCCATGCCTGCACATTCACTTTGGAACCATGCCTACACATTCACTTTGGAACCATGAGATTATGAATTTTCTGTTATAAGATTATTAATTTTCTGTTATGAGATTATGAATTTTCAGTTGTGAGATTATGAATTTTCTGTTATGCGATTATGAATTTTCTGTTATGAGATTATGAATTTTCATAAAATTCATAATCTTATAACAGAAAATTCATAATTTGATCAGTAACGCGCCGTTAACTCCACATCCGCGATTTTTTTTTTTTGCCTAAAACCGACATCGTTTTGACTTGTGTTCACCATTCTCGGTAAACACGATTCCACGGTATAATTTGCGTAATTTGCCTGTGTGGTACACTAAACTTGATTGGGCCAGTAATCAACCCTAAATGGGCCATCAAAACGATTATCCACAAAAATCTGTCTTATATGGGTTTAGATGGACCACATTTAACACATCAATTATACCATAGATCTGGTCCATATTGCAAGATAGACTCAAAATTCGAGTTTAAAATACACAATTTACATTCTGAATGTTCACAATTTGAATTCATATTGTGAACAAATCCTAAATGGGCCATCGCAACAAATATCCACAGTCCACACAAATATATCTTATATGGCAAATTATGCTGTGCATCCGTATACACCAAGCATGGTGCATACGGATGCAAAAACGACGTCGTTTTATAAAAACGCGCGTCTCCCCTTAAAAAAAAAAAATTAGGTTCGAAACTATAATTCCATAATCGATGAACTATAATTCCATAATCGATGAACTATAATTCCATAATTGATGAACTATAATTCCATAATCTAATCTATGAACTAAAATTTTCAGAATGAATGAACTAAAATTTCAGAATCTATGAACTAAAATTTCAGAATCGATGAACTATAATTCCATAATCGATGAACTATAATTCCATAATCCATGAACTAAAATTCCATAATGAATGAACAAAATAATGTTGTTACTAGGAATCGAACCTGAATTTTTTTTAAAAGGGAAGACGCGCGTTTTTAATAAAACGACGTCGTTTTTGCATCTGTATGCACCATGCATGGTGCATACAGATGCACAGCATAACTATTCATCTTATATGGGTAATGGGTTTAGATGGACCACTTTAAGCTATTTATATGGGCTTTCAAATTTGATGATTCTGGTCTCTTACTAATCACAATTTGTCGATGATGTCCAAATGTTCACAATTTACATGGCAATTTATATCTTATACCACGGCGCGCGTTGCACTATGCGCTCAGATGCAAAACAACGTCGTTTTAATTTTTTTATTTTTTTTTTTGAAATTTCCCGCCCCAGTGAATGGCAGTAGTTTTTTCTTTCAAAAAAAATCCGCTGTTCAAGAATGTACATAATGTTATACTAGAATACACATAATTGTATACATGAATGTACATAATTATATAACAAAATATACATACTCTTTTTAAAAGATAATACACATAATCTAACATAATACATAATAAACATAAACTTTTAACATAATACACATCAACTATTAACATAATACACACAAATTTTCTGATTCGAATGTACATAATTGTATAAAAAGAACGTACATAATTGTATAAAAAATGTACATAACTGTATGAACCAATACACATAACTGTATGAACAAATACACATAACTGTGTGAACAAATACACATAATCCCAGCAACTTCCTACCGCGCCTCCCAAAACGATGTCATTTTGGGAGGCGCGCGGCGCACAGTACTATGTGCGCCGTGGTGTAGGGTATAACGATGCCAATTTACATATTAAATGCTCACAATTTATTTTTTTAAAAAATTTATAATTTGTATATTACGAACACATGATGTTAACATATATATAATTGATTATCTTATTTTGTATTGACAAATTCCTTTTAAATATTACAGTCACACAATATTAACAGATTAGGATTTTATGACCATGTATTGTATTATTATTATGTGTTTTGACTTAAAAACATGATTTATATTTTAAAAATACATAATTTTAATACTAAAAATACACAATTTACACGTTATTTAGGATCCAGGTATCTTGCAAAGTAGACTCTGGTCCAGTCGCTTACTAATGGAGACTGTTAAAAGTATGTACAAGTAAGGATGAAAACAACATCTTTGATGGGATAATTCACAATTTATATCCTCCCATTAAACATGAGTTAAAACTTAATGTATAAAAAAAAAAAAAAAAGTTTATCACTTTTGTATTGCATGTGGAGAGTATGTTAGTCAATATATGGAAGCAACTATAGAGTATAATTTATGATTTTAAATAATTAAAGTCCTCATTGACAAGTTAATAAATCAAAATCTTCAACATCACCACCTTGTAGGAAGAGGAATTGAAACTATAACTTTGTGAAGAGTTAATAATGTCACATCAATAATTGAGAGGCTAAAATTACTAATTTCATATAAATATATGATGAAAATATTATTTTGTTCAAAATGAAATTGATAATTTCAACAATAGATAATTTCCCTTTACAATTTTTTTTTTTTTTTGAAAACAACCCTTTACAATTATTGTAATACTGTCATATTTAATTCTCAAATCATTTTGTATGAATATTATTAATTCAAATATTGTTTAACAAAAAAAGGAGGTTAAAATCGTAGAGTTATGAAATGATTAAAAGAGTTAATGTTAATTGATGAAAATTGTAGTAGATGGTCAAAAGTTAATTAAATAAAATATAAGGACTAAATGTTTCAAAAAAAAAAAAATAAAGGAATAAAACGTGAAATGTGAGAAATAGTCCAGTGACGGCAAAGCAGAAGAGAAAAGATTTGCGATTGTGATTTCTTATGCATATTTCTGTGCGATTGAGATCAATATATGTTGTGTGTTGGGTGTAAAACTTATACTTATACATACAGAGAAGCTGGGGGGAATTGAATCCGGCTGGTCGGTTGTGGCGGTGGATCTAAGCAGTTGGTGGAAGCCGGGAAGGATGCGAGGAAGAAGATGTGGAAGGAAATCAGGGACAGAGAATCAGGGAAACTTCGACCTAATTCGTACAGCAACCGAGTTAAGTTGAACCGACTCGCTGCTATTCAGCTCTCCAATCACAAAGAGATCGTCTCCCCTCACCGCGGCCCCGTTAACTCTCTTCAGGTTCGCCCCAACTCAATCCCCTTGATCACTGCGCGTTACACAATTTCATATCAGGAGGAATCCCTATGAATTTGAGCTGTAGATTACTTGCGCTTTATTGAATTTACTAATATTAGCTGAATTTGAGAGGATTAGAACTTAAAAACATATAGAATTGTGATTTACAGATTCTAATTGTGCTCATTTTGTGTTTGATGGAAGGATGGTGTAATTAGAGTAATAATTTAATATAAGATTCTTAAGGGGAATGAAAATCTTTCTTAATTCAGCTTTGAAATTTAATTATATAACTGAAGTGAAGGCAGAGTTGTATAGGTTAGGCATTTTACAGCTTTTGGGTTTGCCACATTGAAATATGTTATTCGCTCGTTGCCGTTTTCGTTTTCTGATAGGATCTGTTGTTGAAAATTATGTGGGGTGAAACTTGCATTTTGTGGCCATTTATTTTGATCACAAAATCAGGTTGATTTGACAGAGCAAAGGTATTTACTATCCTGTGCTTCGGATGCATCAGTTGCTGTTTATGATGTCCAACGTGCAACAGGTCATGAGGGAGGTGGATTGATCGCTAAGCATAAGCCCCTTTTTGTTGTTGACAAACGACATGAACAGGGCCACAAATATGCCGTTTCTACAGCCATATGGTATCCAGTTGACACTGGCCTGTTTGTCACTGGTTCATATGACCATCGCGTTAATGTATGGGACACAAACACAACACAGGTAGTGTAGGTTTGTTATTATGTTCATCTTACAGTATTCTTCCCCCTTCCTCAGTCTGGTCTTCTATATATTCATGACAATGTTTTGAAACTCATTCTTTTTTAGGTGGTTGTTAATTTTAAAATGCCTGGAAAGGTTAATAAGACTGCCATGTCTTCTCTGGCAACATCTCATATGCTAATTGCTGCTGGAACTGAAGATGTACAAGTTCGGCTTTGTGATATAGCTTCAGGGGCCTTTGCTCACACTTTGTCTGGTCATCGTGGTATGCTGAGATTTGTGTAAAGTTGTTTTTACAAAATATTTATGACTTAGATCTTAAGCTACATAATATCCTTCTGGGAAACTTCTTATTCATCAATAATGAAATCTGATTTGCAATAAACTCATCAACCAATCCTTAGATATAAGTTTAGAACATCAAGAAGAGGTTTATCTAAACCAGCTAATATGAAATAATGCAACAGCGTACCTTCATTTTCTTGGGAAAAAAAAAATTAAGGGGATGCAATCATGAAGATTTAGATCCTAGAATGTGCATTTCTGGCTATGGCATCATTGATTGTTGGAATTGATAGGAATTATTTTTCTCATGGCAGATGGAGTGATGTCAATGGAATGGTCTTCTTCTAGTGAGTGGGTTCTCATGACTGGGGGATGTGATGGTGCAATTCGTTTTTGGGACATTAGGCGAGCAGGATGCTTTCGTGTTTTAGATCAGTCCCATTCTCAGCTTGGGAGACGCCCACCTGTACTTGCACGTTCTGCTGTGAATAAGGTCTTGATCTCTAGACACTGTTAATACTTATTCAATTGGAAATTATCAGTTCGGAATCTTCTGATGATAAAGTTTACCTCTACTCCATTTTGAAAGCATTTTTCTTTGCCTTCTTAGTTGAGACACCCAAATAACTTTCTTCCTTTTCCTTTATTACCTCTGTCTTTCTTCTTATATTTCCTTCACTGTTTTTCTCAGAGTTCAACATCTAAATCTCCATCAGTAAATCAGACTTCATCTTTAAAGTCCCGGCCATCTCAACGGAAAACTGTAATCAGTAACGGTCACAAACAGTCTGTTATTGACAGACAAGTTAGGGTGTCATCGAAGCAGAGACTACATCCAGGGCTGTTGTCGAGTCAGGATCGTGCCACTGCTCATTATGGTGTAGTAAGCAGTTTGAAAGTGACTGATGATGGTTTGTATCTTCTCAGTGCAGGTAGACGTCTTTTTCTTTCTTAATACATACTTTACTTTCATTATCTCTATCTCCATCAAATTGTTTATGAAATTAGTGGATTGTGTCCTGTAAGTGTTAAGTTACAACTTTTTATGACTCCAGGTTCTGATTCAAGGTTAAGGTTATGGGATATAGAGTCTGGTTGCAATACACTAGTGAACTTTGAAACTGGACGCCTTCAAACCACCAAAGCACTACAAATGGCAATATCCGAGGATTCAACTGTTGTCTTTGTTCCATGCATGGCTACCACTAAAGTAAGAGTTTCTGCAACTCTTCTCAATTAATTTAATTCTCAAAATATTGAACCTCTCCTTAATTCTTCTTAACAATTTTTAAGAGTATAGTGTTCACTTGCATCATATTGAATCTCTTAGGCATTCAATTTATGGTCGGGCAAGGCAATGATGAATTTCCGTGGGCATTATGAAAATGTAAATTGTTGTTGGTACAATGCTCAGGACCAGGTACAAACCTCTCCTCTCTCCTGCTTGCCACTATAAGAATGACTTTTTACTATGCTCATAAAATTTTAGGGGTCATTTGGTCCAAAGTTGCTTAGTGAAGGGATTGACAATCTATTTGCTATACTATCCCAAAGTTTAGCATTACTTACCCCACCTCCTCCCAACAACATTAGGCCCTGTTTGGCAAATGGCTGCTAGCTGATAGCTGTTTGGGTTCATTAAAGGGTAACTAGTTGATAACAGTAGCCGATTGTAGGGAGGTGTTTGGTAAATTAGCTGTTTAGCTGTTTGGTATAATTTCTTTTCTCAAAAAGCTAATTGAAAAAGCTGCTTTGAGCAACTTTTTAAATTTTAGCATTTTGGAATTGATTTTTTAACCAAGTCAGACGATTAATAGTGATCAAATAAGCCAAAATTGGCTGATAGGCTAATATTTTACCAAACAAGGCCAATACTCTCCCGTAAAATTAACAAGCCTGGGAATAGCTAGTCCAATCCCATAAACCAAACTACCCCTAAACTGGTTTTGGATGCTGGTTCAATCACTGTAACAGTTTTATAGAAATTGATCCCGAGTCAGTTAATCTATACATTTATGATATATACACATACAAAGACCAAGAAATCAAAATTGAGAGATTTTTTCAACTATAGGACATTGAGATTTGTAGTCTGTTAAATTAAGTATATTAACCCATTTGCCTTATCTTGTTCCAGAGTGGGGATTCTGGTTCTACCACAGGGTTTATTTAAATTATTTTTCCCTATTGTGGTCGATGATATCATTTTATTTGATTATGAGTACTATCAGGCTTGGGATTTGTTTGTAAAATTGGTGATGAACATTATCTGCCTTGTTGCAGGAACTATACACTGGAAGTAATGACAGGAAAATTCTCGCGTGGTCTCCCCCCAAAACTGTTATTGAAGAATCAGTATGCATTTGAAACCATGAACCTTTTTTCCCTGCATTTGCTAAGAATGGGGAGGCATCATACTATTTTTATTTTTATTTTTTTTGAAAACAAACTTCATTAACTTTAATTAAAGAAATGCGCAAATACAATAAGGAATAGAAGACAACCAACTCAAAGGACCAGTATGAGAACTCGCATCTCTAGCTAAAGCATGAGCAACTTTGTTCGTTGATCTAGGAATAAACCGAAAAGACACCGTCTCAAAGGGAGACATCATACTATTGATTCAACAAAAGTTACAAAACTATCTTAATAGTGTTCTGGTTGTAATGCAGGAGGGAAAGATGAAACAGCAAAGTATGGTCGCTGATGAAGATTGTTGGAGTGACTGAGGACTATTGACCATCAATTTACAGGTTTTGCAAGTTTGTGGAAGAACATGTTTTTTTTTTTTAAATATCTTAGCTTGCTTGAAGAATGAAGAGAACTTTGTGAACAATTGGAAGCTTTTGTTTCTACTATGTTGGTGAGGTTAAGATTTTGGACTGCATCTTGAAATCATGAACAAAACATGGCCCTTCAGATCTATATTCTCTGTAGCCTTTTTAAGTTTAGGGGTTATCTATAATTACCCCTCCCCTTTCTGAGCCTATGGTTCTTGTCTCCAGTACATATGGATATGTTATCAAATAAATCTTTTGTTTACAACTTCATGTGCCATTCTTAGCTAGAGTTTGAACAGATGTCATCCTCAGAAATTATAATTATCATCAAGAGTTTTTTTTTCACAAAGCTCTAACCAAATTAATGTACATAAGTAACAAAAATGAACTTCGATCTTATATTTTGGTAACAAAATACTTACAATGAAAGAGAAAATGGTATTTTCATGTCTCTTGTGTGTGTGTGTGTGTGTGTGTTCAAAAGAATCAATATTCAATCCCCCAGCAATCCTAAAATGAATCAATCTACCCTTCTAACAGCAGTGTTCAAAAGAATCAATATTCAATATCTATCCTCTTGCCACTAGATCAATTAAAGCTTTTCAAGGCACAAGAGCGAGGGACACGCCAAATTTGGGGATTTGATCCATTGCCTTGGTGTCAAACGACCCAGATACTGTCAAGAAAGACTTTGGCTTCAACTCATGTTTTACTAGGGCTCCAAGCTTGCCGTGATTGTTGAGCTTCGCCTTCATGGTTGTGTGAGCATCAACAGCATATGAACATCCCACTGTTAGTGTGCTCTCATTTGCAGAGAATTTTATTTCCATCTCTCCAACAACAGTTCCTCTCTTTTTCTGGTCCAGATGGTGTAAATATATTGCCCTCAATGCATCTCCTTTCTCAGCTCTGCAGCACCAAAAATAAAAAGTTGTAACTCAGAAATGCTGATAGCAAAAGATAATGTATGCTTTCTAACACCAAAATCAGCAGAATATTATCTTTCCATTAGCATTGACACTTACAGAATTACAGAAACAGAAAAATTGGGTTTTGTCAAGCTAACACCAGCATTGTATTTTGTAAAGTTACGAAAAGCGAAGGCGTAACTAGCTTCTGTGCCAAAGGCAATGTGTGGAGTGCCAATTGTTGCCGAAACATCAACAGCAGGAGACTTGTTCAGACCCATAGCCATAGTGAACCTTGCATGTTCATGGAAATATTGAGCCTCAAACTGCAAAATATGAATAATTATAAATAAACAAAGCATAACAGAACATTAAAACCAAGCAAGCTAATTGAATTGATGACTGTAAAAAGTCCCAATTAAGAAGGTACCTTCCCAGATTTATAATCAGGTAATCTACATGAAGCAATAGCCTTTGTTGATGGAAGAATATCATCGAAGGTCAATTCTGTCAAGATCTGTAATGTAAGAATCGGAGTAAGACCACTATATAATACGGCTGAGGAGCAAAGAAAGTAGGTGGACAGACAGAAAATACATTTGAGTCGGTGTCAATTTTGACATCTATTCCAGTGTTCTTGAAATTGTACTTTGCTGACACATATCCGGTGGAGAGGCTTCCCTTCTTTTCTAAAACTGAAACAATGGCCTATACACAAAATTAAGATTTCAATACTATTGAGAGAATATGAAAGAAAACAAGGTACAATCTCTTTATATGGTAAACGAAAGCAAATAAACCGCTAGAGCAATAGGTTACTAGACTGCAGCAAGTCTTATGGGTTGCTATTAGACATCTTACCAATCAAAGTTAACCCCATATCATTCAGTAGTATAATGGAAAAACAAAAAACAAAAATATATAAGCTTTTTGTTACTCCGTATTTATTATAGGTGTGATTATGCTGTAATCCAGAACAAATATCTATAGTTAAATATAAATACCTAAAATGAAAGATAAAGTAGAACTCTGTTCTAATTGACTAGTGAACCTAATGCAACTGCAAAGTATGAGCCATATGTTAACAATTTAACACAATTTGAAAGGATTTCAGTAAAAATGGGAACGGAAATAAATAAATGAAGATCCCTTGCTCCCTGCATTTATTTCTAGATTCCTCTTTGCTATACTTTCTAGTCCCGTGTGTTTGATATATGTAAAACCATCATTAAATTGGAGAACTAAAGCAGCAAATTCAAACTTAACAAAATCATTATACTCCCTAGATTCATGAGATAATAAGAGTTTATAATTAATCAGTGATACAAACTAAAAGGAACTGAATAAATTCAAGAACTGATAAATGTAAAATGAATTAGATAAACGATTCAAGTTTAGTGAACTTAAGTCAATAGTAGATTAAAATCATAATCCAAACAGAAATTACGTTTTAATAGCTAAAGGAGGGGTAAGCTATGATTAAAGTAATAAATTCGAGTTCTCAGGAATCAATATCTTGAGCCTAGTAAAACCAAATCCCTAATCGAGCACATACAGAAACAAGCAAAATCAGTGTAAATAATTTGTTCACAATAAGCTGCTTACAACTCCGTCATGACTTCGAGAATCGACAGTGAATTTCTGATGGCTACTGTAACCTGTCGTCAAAATTTCTGCAAAAACAGTAGAGACATATAATCAAACCAAGCGATTCATCACTCAACTTAACGCTTATATATGCATATACCAAAAAGCCACCTAAACATACACATAACATAAGTATATATTAGATGTATTTAACAAAATATGTAGCAAATATTACTGTAAATCTTCGTTTACCTTTGGCCTTCTTGCCGAAATCGGAGAAGAGGCCCGGTCCCTCAGAGCTCATTTCTTTTGACTGGGGAGGCGGAGGCGGGCGGGTGATGAAGAACAGAAGAAGGAAGGAAAAAATAAAAGATTCTGAATATTCAAGAAAGAGAATCTGGCATGGTGGTTATTTTAAATTTATTGGTTTAACCATTTATTACCATTATTCTTTGTATGAATGACACCAAGATGCTCCCTTATATGGAGGTTGTGGGATCGAGCCTTAGAGCATCCACAATAGTAAATTTACTTTGAAATTTTTAAAGACTTTTTGTAAGTGTGATTAAAAAAGAGAAGATGAGAGGAGAGAGAGAAAAAAAAAAAACTAAACTGATTTTTTTAAAAAACAATATACAGTTATATTGTCAGGGGTGCGTGACGCGCCACCGATTGCACGATCCCGTGTAGGCCTCCGCTGTGCGCGAAATGCGCACAACAATCAAGTTTTTTTTTTCCAGCTTAACTTTCATTTTATTATTCCATGATCCACCCCATGCAGAAGAACCGATTCCCTCTCTCCTAAATTATCTCTCCTATTTGGCATTAGCTTTTCTGACATTATCCCTAAAATAAACTTTGATATTCACGCTCTTAGAGCATCCCAAAAGGGGCTTTTGGACCAGATTTTATGAAATTTTGGGTGAGGAAAGAGAGGGATCGGAAGAGAGAGAGTACGTGAGGGTGTTGCAGGAGGTTGGGGTTCTTTGTCACCTTGTGTGGGCCCCACAAAGAAAAGAAGAAAGTAGAAAACTGTGCATGGACTGCACATTTGTGCCCACTTGGGCGCGTTTAGAGCCTTTAATTTAATTTTTTTTTTGAATTTTGCCGTTGTTTTTTTTTTAAAAAAAAACCTTCTTCCATTTTTTTTAATCACACCTACAAAAACTCCTCAAAAACGACACCAAAACCTCCACTATTGAGGATGCCTTTAGTGTTTCAATAGGTTGAGAGAGTCAGTAGTATTCAAAAAAAAAAAGTTCCAATTCATTTTCAAAATATATGCTTTTTCTTTGTTTTTTTTATAAAGAAAATCATCATATGCCTAGAGATGACCACGGTTCCGGTTCGAACCGGAACCATGACTGTGCAAACCGGAACCGAACCGGAGCCGTCCGTACGGTTCCGGTCCGGTTAAGGTTTGTAAAATTTTGGAACCGGAACCGCGCTGGTTCCGGTTCCAAACCGGAAAAAATTAAATATTATAGTGTTTTTTTTAAAAAAATTTTTTAAAAATAATTCCGGTTCTGAACCGGAACCTTACTATAAGGTTTCGGTTCCGGTTTCGCCATCCACGGAACCGGAACCGGCGGTTCCGAACCGAAACCGGAACCGTGGTCACCCCTACATATGCTGCTAAGCACTTTGTGCTCAGATGATATGTAGTGATTTTCCCATATGGGAGGTCATGAGATTGAGTCTTAGCAACTACATTAATATATGTTTTTCACAAATTTTTAAGAGTCAAGTAGGAGCGAGATTATGGAAATAAAAAATGTAAAAAAGAAAAAGAAAAAAATAGATCTGACAATTTTTATTTTTTTTAAAGAAAAAGAAAAAGAGGTCGTTGGCACAGAACGTGCGCCATGCGCATTATTTTATTTCAGCGCAAGGCTCATAAAGAACCAACACTTGCATAAAAAACCTTTCAAAAATTCATCTTCCTATTTGTTCAAAATAATGTTTTTGATTATTTATCTCTGAAAAAAAAAAATCACCTAAAAACCCCTAATGAGGTTCGTTGCTCTTATGCGGATAGTTGATGTGTGGATAACCTAAGTATCATTTTATTTGTAACTAATGTTATCTCCTTACCCTAATTTTGCTACAAAGTTACTCATATTTGATATACTTTTGTAGCAAAGGGATTATAAATGTTATTTAAAAAGAAAAAAAAAAAAGGACTCTTAGGTTCCCCATTTTATGGTTGTTGGGTTATTGATCCAAGGTACGTGCTCAATGAAATTAAATGAGCTAAGATTGAGTTAATATTTAGGGACGGATTCAGAAATCTTCGTCAGTGTGTGCTAAAGATTAAAACAAATGATGTATTTTATAATTTGAAAGAAAAAAATAAAATACTTAGAGGTCGAAGCATAAATATTGTTGACTAGACGAAAAATTAAAATACATCAAAATGAAATTAAAAAAAAAAAATACTTAGCTTAGAGGTCGAAACATACATATTGTTAATTAGGGATGAAAAATCAAAATGTAAGATTCAAACTCTTAACATTTAATAGAAGCCATATACCTTACCATATAAACTAACTAATCCTTTGGTTAAATAATGTAAATTAATTTAATATTTATAAGTTAACTATATATATACAAGGGACATATACCTACAATATATACAAAATGGATGGGGTGATGGCAGTTGCCCCCACTGTGAATCAACCAGTGTTAATAATTCAATCAACAATGACAACAATCAAACAATAAATATAGGAATCACTCAAGTTGTATTATTTTAGAGGCAGAAAGGTTTTAAAAAAACATACAAATAATAAACAAATAGTTACAAAGTCTCACTACTGTGGGTCGATTGAACTAATTGAGTTAGAGTTTAAGTTGCTTAAACAAATGGAGTATGTAGTAAAATGATAGAGAAAGATATTCCCAATTCAATGAGACTTAATATATCAAAATTCAGTCAAAGTAGTTTGGCTGGGTATGGATACCAATATGAAAACAGAAAAAAAAAAAAGACCCATCTATATTGTCTCAACAGTTGCGCAATTAAACCACTCATGTTTGAGCTGCAAAATCCTTTCATTCAAGTACAATACAATATACTCTCCATATATACTGTCTTCTACCTAAGTAGCATCTTGTAGTTTGGCAGTACAGCATGGCTTTTGCTTCTAGGATAGTAATGGAGTTGAGGATTGATGACATAAATATTATTATTATCATCTTCCTCTTCAAAGAAACAAGGCTTCTCTTCATCAATCCTCCCCATCGCTACGCTGCAACTCCTGGGCATCTTCCGCAACCGCATCCGCGGCTGCACCACCACCACGTTACTCTCTTTCCTGCCGGAAGCCGCCCGGAGGAGCTCCCGGAAATCCTCGCTGTCATCCACGTTTGAGCTGCTGCGTGCGCTGTAACTCCTCCCAATTATTCTCTGCTGCTTCGGCGGATTCACAGCGCACCTGTTCATACCCTTCACGTAATAGTCCCTTGCTCGCGTCAAACACCTCGCCGGCAGTGCCAGAAGTCGCATCAATTTTCTGTTCTGCTGCCTCGCCTTGCCTCCCATGCTGCACAGTACAGTGTTAATGAATTGAAGGGAATGAAGTTGGAGATGATGGCAGTGGAAATAATGGAGGGGACATACTTATAGCACACCACTTGTGACTAATTGAGAATAGATGACGACGTTAATTAATTATTAATTAGTGAAAGAAGGAAGACCACGTTGTAGACCAAAGTTGAAAAAAATAGAAATATCATCAACCAGGTTCTTGTACCAAATTAAATGATATATTCTTTTTTTTTTTTAAATCACTAGAGAAATTTGTAATTACGTACTATTAGAGGGTGTTTGTAAGTTCTGTATCAGGTGGGGACCTATCTTTAGGTGAGGACTAATTCAGATTATCCATTTTGAATGATTTAAATGCTATAACAAAACAAATTGCACAAAAAAATGGGATAGATGCACAACAAACTGACGAATGCACAACAAACTAAGTACGAAAAATTAACATAAAATTAAATCATAGCTATTGATTTAATTAAATGAAAAGATCAGATAATCTTAATTAAGAAGTGACAATGTTCTTTGGAAACTTCCTCACATGCAGCAGCCAAGCACGTAGAATTTTGATCAAAATAATGTTGCATGCCTTTGACTCGAATTGTGAGGATGGAGTGTTCTAGTAGATAGAGATGTTTGTAAATTGTAATAATCCTCCTTTGGAAACTTCTGTTTCAACGTTTCTAGAATGTAGCTAGATCCACGACAACTGAAACCTAGTCTAGGCCTGTTAGTTGGCCTCTATATTTTAGCATAGGTTGTCCAACGTAAAACATCATACACTCACGAAGCCCATTATGAGGCATATTAATATTTTCATGTATGTTAGCTTTAGGGCTATAAATGATTCAACTCGACCCAAGTTCATCAATTTCATTTTATGAGCCATATATATATATATATAAACCCATATTTTCCAATTTTGTTCGACTATATTTTGCATATCATAAACTCATCCTCTTACCTCTCAAGAGATAAATAGAGTTAATCTAGTTTCAAGACTTAGGATCAAATTGTACACTTCTATACATAAAAATTCTAATCAAAACTCTCAATGTTTGTGTCAGGAACTGTCGTTAACTACAATATATAGTTTTAATATGTATTTAACATTGAGGTTTAGTTGTCAATGAACTTATTGTCTAGTGGCACAAAGTGACTCTCTCAAATGGGAGGTTATGTGTTTGATTTCTAATAAAGATAATATTGACTTTTTGACCGGCCTTCAGTAAATTGAGAAAATAGTTACATGGTCAGTCAGTAATACACTCCGGTGAATTCCAGCAAAGGTTAAAATAATTAGCATCTTTGTACTGTTGCATATAGTGCCTAATTATAATCTACATTTATAGACTATTGAGGGCAATAAAGCAGAAAATTGGAATAAGGGTCAAATATGCAATCGAACTGCACACGATAATGCAATTAGGCCACTGAATTTAAAAAACTAACAATTAGGTCCCTAAACTAACCAATTTCAAACAATTCTTCCAATTTGAAAATTTCCAACAGGTCAACATGTCATCCTCCCAAATTAATTATTTAAAAAAATAAAAAGTAATTATTTTTAATTTAAAAAAAAAAAAAAAAAAAAAAAAAGGACCCGGCCAGAGTCCCCTTTTTTTTTTTTACTTAAATAATTAATAATTAAGTTTTAAAATTTAATTTTTAAAAAATAATTGATTTGGAAGGATGACATGTTGACCTGTTGGAAACCTTCAAATTGGAATAATTGTTTGAAATTGGTTAGTTTAGGAATCAAATTGTTGATTTTTTTAGGTTCAGTGGCCTAATTGAATTATCGTGTGCAGTTCAATGGCCTATTTGATCCTTATTTCCGAAACTAATTAATAATATTGGTCCATCATATATATAGTATAGTATTTTTGCAATCATTACAAGTCTATGCTAACAGGGGAACATGTGTAATGACAGGCAATTAGTCAAGTGTGGGTCTGCATGCATGTGGAAGAATAACATGTAGCAAGGCAAGAAAAGTTATAAACTACAATACAACATTGATTTGCCGACAGTAACATATTAGCGATTAGTTCAGTTCTTGAGAGATCAAATCTGTTAATTTAATTTGATAATTTAAATTTACATTTCAAATAACTGAATGGTGATTAAATATACATTTTGATCACAGTAAAAGACTAAGCTAAAAATATTTTTTTTCTCTTTTTTTTTTTTTTTTTTTTTTTTTTTTTTTTTTCATATTTGTACAATAGCAAAATATTGTACAAGTCTTTTCAAAATATTGTTGTATACATATGAGTTCAAACTCCTATTAATAATATTATATGTGAGCATATCAAAACATATGTGACGTTCATAATTTTGATTTATGAATATTATAATACTTTTTGACACTATATTAACATTTGTTAAATTTAAATATAGAATAAGGTTCAAATTGGCCACTGAACATAACCTGAAAATGCAATTAGGCCACTGAACGAAAAAAAAAGATGTAATTAGACCACTAAACACCATAAAACGTTCAATTAGGCCACTGAACACTCCAAATGTATGCAATTTCACCGGATAACGAGTTATCTTCAATTTTAGCATGTTACCTACTTACGTAACAGTTGAGTTGACATTTTTAATAATTTTTAATAATAAATTTTTTAAAAAAAATTGAAAAAAAAATTAATTTTTTAAATAATTTTTTTTTTTAAAAAAACTTTATTATTAAACTTTATTAAAAATTATTTAAAATGCCAACTCAGCTACCACGTAAGCAGGTAACTTGATAAAATTGATAGTAACCTGCTATCAGGTGAAATTGTATACATTCGGAGTGTTCAATGACCTAATTGTACTTTTTTTCGTTCAGTGACCTAATTGCATTTTCAGGTTACGTTCAATGACCAATTTGAACCTTATTCCTTTAAATATTCCTTAAAATTTAGTGTTTGACTGGTCAATCTGCATAGCTGCCAGGCAACTTTCTGAAAGGTATGCTTCATTTTGAATCCCCCACGGCCATTGATTTGCGTTTTCTCTTTTTTATATTCGTTTATATTTTTCGAAGATAGCCCCCCGACCTTTTGAATAATTTATTGTATTCCCCAAATTACTTTTTAAATATCCATGAATTCAACTCCTAAATTAACCCACAATGTAAAATGAACAGGGTAAAAGCTATTTTTTTAAATGCTACTAACTCTATTACAATGTAGTATCTGTTCATAACTACTTTTTCAACTTATTGAAACACAAAAAGTCCAGTTAAAGTCACTCTAATTTCATCGAAATTTATTTTAAATAAAAAGCTAATAAACTTATTTTTTAAAAGTTAAAAAATGTTTTAACATCGCCCAAGCGTTGGGCGCGTGTAATACATACTTTCCTCTTGAGTGGTCAATGAGATGCACTTACGCGTCTCACTCAGGTTTTTTTTTTTTTTTTTCTCTTTTTAAATTTCATTAGTTAAAAATTATCTCTTCTTCTTTTCACTATTCTAAAAACTCACAAAAAATGCACATATAATGATGCTCTTATCCAAGGAGCTCAAAACTTTTCTCTACTCCATATCACACAAGGTCCCATACAAGACCTCTTAAAATGCACTATTTTGGATGCTATGGGAGTTTGTACTGCACGTGGTCTGGTCAAATTACTGCGTTTTGATTGGTAAAAAACCCAAAAATCACAGAGAGAAATTAAATATATTTAAATGGAATAATTTGAAAGGCACGTTTGGTGGGATTAACTGCCCCCATCACAATCAGTCAGATTAAGCTCATTTCTCCATTTCTCCTGTCTTGATCCTCCACTCTTTGTAATTGTGTATATTTTTTTGTTGTCCTATAGCCGCTATCTTTTATCGCCTCTATTTGTTTTCCCCTGATTTGGATGCATCAATTTTCTTGAAATTTGGTTGAGTTTTGTTGCGTGGCTATGGGATTTTTTATGATTGGAGAAGAAAGGTTAGCAATTCATGACATCTTCGTCCCCTTCCTTTTATCATGATAATAATGGCGAAAATGAGCACTATTGTCCTTTTGACCAGGGAAAAAGGGTTCCGGTAAAGCTCAATAAAGAAAGAAAATATGTTCCCTTGACGTCGAATCTTGATTGTAATACTAGCATTTGTCAATGGACGAGAAAGCGAAAGAACCAACGAAAGAGAGTGTAAGCTCTCTTCTTTATCCACACACTTAGTGTACTGTGTTTTAAGCAAGATTGGTTCTTTTTGCTCGCAGTTGAGTTTTGGGCAGAAAATGCGTATGAATCAGGGTGAAGGTGCGGCGCAGGTTTTGGATCTGGAAACTGCGCTCAAAGATGGGATTTTGGGCGGTGGAGTGGTTGCCGCCGGGAAGAAGCTTAGTCTGGGGAAAATGATTGAAGAGCTTGATTCCATTGAGGTGGTTCCTTGGGTGTTCATTTGCCCAATTTCTCTAGAGCCAATGCAAGATCCTGTGACCCTTTGCACAGGGCAGACATATGAGAGGTCCAACATCCTCAAATGGCTGTCTTTGGGGCATTTCACATGCCCCACCACAATGCAAGAGCTTTGGGATGATTCAATCACCCCAAACAGGACCCTTCACCACCTCATCCACACCTGGTTTTCCCACAAGTACATGGCTCTCAAGAAGAGGTCTGAGGATGTGGAGGGGAGAGTCTTGGAGATTCTTGATAGGTTGAAGAAGGTTAAGGGCCAGACTAGGGTTCATGCCCTGAAGGAGTTGAGGCAGGTTGTGAATGCCCATGATTCTGCCAAGAAAGCAGTGGTGAAAAATGATGGGGTTAAACTCATTTCTTCATTGTTGGGTGCTTTTACTATGCACACTGTTGCTTCTGAGGCAATTAGGATTTTGGTTCACTTGGATCTCAGTTCAGATGCCAAGGCCAATCTAGCACAGCCAACCAAGGTTTCTTTAATGGTGGATACATTGAATCAGGGATCCATATCCACAAAGATCAACTGTATGAAACTGCTTGAAATATTGATAGAAGGGAAGGACTCTGACTCCGGGATCGTTTCAAGTTTGAGTCTTTTCGTGGGACTGTTGCGATTGGTGAAGGATAAGAACCACCCCGAAGCAGTCTTGAGCAGCCTCCGGCTGCTCAAGACAATCACCTCCCATGAATCCGTTAGGACCTCAATTGTCAGTGTTGGGAGCATCCCTCAATTGGTGGATGCCTTGCCCAATCTAAATCCAGAATGCCTGGAATCAGCTCTTGTGATTCTCGACGTTTTGTCCACCCTCCCAGAGGGTTCATTGGCCTTGAAGGATTGTCCTAGGACAATCCCAAACACGGTGAAACTACTTATGAAAGTCTCCGAGAAGTGCACTCAGCTAGCTTTGTCGATTTTGTGGGCTGTCTGCAAGCTCGCCCCCGAAAGATGTGCCTCCGTTGCTGTTGAGGCCGGGCTAGCTGCTCAGCTCCTCCTCGTACTTCAGAGTGGCTGCAATCCTGCATTGAAACAGCGGTCAGCAGAGCTCTTAAAGCTCTGCAGTCTAAATTACACCGCTACCATTTTCATTTCAAAGTGTAAACTTACGAAAACAATACAATGATGTTACAAAAACTTCCCCTTTCCAGATTCCAACCGCTCCCAGACCAAATACTATCAATGAGAAAGCAGTCTTGATCGAGCACTGAGGCACCATTCTTGTATATACATATATATTTAATCGCTTTAGCGTTCAGCCATGGATGATAAGGTTTCATAACTTTCCTCATGAATAGATGAACTGCTTGTTACCATTAGTCCTGCTGCTGTTCGCGTAGAAGCATATTTCTCCCTGGAGAATTTTTGTCATTGTAAAGATTGCTACTTGTAAATCTTCTGCTGCTTCTAGAGATATATATATATATATATATGTAAAATGCAAACATATATAAGTGATTCTTTAATTTATTTCCCCGCTTGAATTCTTGTGTTATTTGCTTGCTTTTGGCCTGTTCTCATCACTTGTTGCTGCATATAATTCATTCTGAAACTGTGTTTCTGTCACAAATGTTGTGGTTTGGTGTCCTGTGAATACACTGTCAACAAGAATGGTAAAGAGAACAAAGATTGTGATTTGTGAGATTATGGTTTAGGAAACTTGAAAGTTTTTGTTCAGTAAAATGTTGTGGTTTGATGTCATTTTTAGATAATAATAATCGTGTCATATAAACTAGAATAACTATATTGTAAGTATATATAAAAATTGAATACTAAATATACTTGTTTGAGATAATTAGTAAGCGAATTGTTAAGGCAATTATAGGATTAGATGATTAACTATTATATGGGTGCCTGAGAGTGTCTGCTAGGTGCCATAGGCCAAAAAAAAAAAAAAAGAGAAGTAGAGAGAGAATAGATTTTGGGCCTCTCATAAATAGTTGTAAAGGTTTTTTATTTTTTGATAACGGGATGAGTTTGTTCCTGGGATCTTTTTAATTGTATTTTTATTTATTTATTATGAGAAATTAAAAATTAAATTATGAAATATTGAAATCTTACCTAGAGAACGAACAAACATTTTTGTATTTGCTTGTTTTCTTTAAAATTTTCTAAAATTTCTTTTAGTTTAGTTTAATTTTTGTATCTAATATAACTTTTCATGTAATAATTTGTAAATATATAAATTTTATTCCCTAATACTAAATTAATTAATATAAAAATTAATGTATAACAATTAACTTAGTCTAACCCTCATTAAATAAGCTGAAACATAAAAAGAGGGAAGAGTTTAATTTTATTAGATTTAGTTTACGATGACATTATGTATTTGGGCTTTTGCTCCATACTCTACGGTCAAATTGGCGTTTGAAATCCTCGGCTATCTTTCTTGATTCACATTAGAATTTTATAGAAAATTTAACCTTTAATCAAATTCTTAATTCTACTCTCAAATTTTTGATATAAATACTTTTATGAGATCAACTGAAAATAACTCATTATTATTTACTACGAAAAAATAAAATTCAAAAATATACGTAGTAAATGTCAATGTGAAATCAAATCCTAATAATCGAGGCAGGGACAGTCCTTTTTGCAGCAAGGTACTTGCCATTGAGTAGTCGATCCACGCATGTGCTCCTAAATCAAAGAGAGTTCTATATGTACTCTCTAAATTTTACTCTATGTGACAGATATATAGATCTCAATACTACATCAAGATTTTTTATGTGAGATGGAGTACAAGTTGTGAGTACAAAATGAGAGTACACATAGCGTTTTCCAATCAAAAGAAGAGAGATTGCAGTTCATCAGTTGGTCCAGCAAATAATTGTTGAGACTGGGTTCTTGACGGCCCTAAGGAAACAGTCGAGTGAGTGTAATATGATTTTCGTACATATATAAAAGTCAATTCTTGTTAATACCCGCTTGTGACAAAAGGTGAAATCGCGACTCCAGGCGTCCCACACCTGACACCCCAGCTCGACAGTTTGTAGAGGGTAAATCATGGTAACTCAACCGACTAACAGAAGCTAGATCTTTACTCACTACGCACAATGAACCTCCTTCATTTTGAGAGGTTGTTCCAACACTGCCTTGTCAGATCAATACCATTTTGGTATAGCTCATCGCACAATTACGTTTAATTTTTTGTGTGATTTGTAAGGTATTACAAAAAAGTTAAGTTTATCCCACGCTACAATCAAGTAGTGGCAAGACAGTCCAAATATTATGGCAGCATGCATGTATGTACTAGGTGATCTGATATGGGATTTGGAGTGTCACCAGGGTAGGTGTCCCTGGTCGGTGGTTACGTTGTTAGTGCTGGATCATGAGAATTGATACTTTAGTTGGTATGGTACCTATCCCCTTGCTGTGGTGCCCAAATTTGTTGTTGGGGTTCATTTTACATTACCTATTACCTATACACGTAAAGAGGCTTTATAAGTTTTTAATTAGACAACTAGTGGTGAGGGTGTGGTGCATGCTTTAGAAGTTATTATAGTTGTTATTTTAATTCGATATCATTTAACATTAGATTCAAGTTTTTTTTTTTTTTTTTTTTTTTTTTTTGACTTGAGTTAATGTCTTTTGATTATTTAATGGCGTTTGTCAATAACGACAAATTAGAGCTATGGGAAAACTAAAAAGTAGAAGTGCAATTTAAAAAAAAAAAAAAAAAAATTCAATGTATAAGCTATCCCTATATAAGTAGCAAATGGGAAACCACAACACACAAAAAACAAGAGAAACATATGAATATAATTATATAAATATGTATTTGTAAATATTTTTTCTTCAAATATGTATAAATATTTATTGTTTACTAGCAGTTTTTTGAAATACATTTTTATATTTTATATTTTTAAATTAGGGAAGCAATATCAAAACGTTTTATAGGGGTTTTAATTTTTTTTTTTTTTGGAAAAAAATATTTTTAAAACACGAAAATGTTCACCCTTGAAAGTTTCTATTAATCATAAGGCTAAATCTCTAATGGATTCTACTTAACACATTTTCATTTTCTATTCCCAATTGAATATTATCATTATTGATTTTAAAGTAATTTTTTAGATTTTGATTGGATTATAAAATATAATTAATTAAAAATTTAAAATTAATGCTTTTCTTTTTTCCTTTACAACCAAACCTATGACTTCTTATATATAAAGTCACAATCATCTTATTATGTTGTTCAATCACAAAATTTATGACAAATCAAATCGTGGCATTATTATACACACATAAATATATAGTAAGATAAATATACCATACACGTAAATTTACCAGATAATTAATCTTGTGATTGAGTGGAAGGGACTCATCCATCCTTAATCAAATGTCAATGGTTCGGTTCCTGGCTTTGGGTATGAAGCAGCCTTAAATCTTCAGGCCAGCTGTCACACCGTGTCTAACAGTGGAAACCCTGGGATACACCCAAAAAAATTACCAGATAATTAAGAATTGGACCAGAACAAAGTTGATTCAACAAAATAATAATACATTTATATTAACCAATGTTGAGAGCCAAACTCCAATACCAAAAACATTTGGCAAGCTTCACAAATGCAGAAAAATATTTTGCTTTGCAGAGAAGAAATTAACAAAAATGGAAAACCAACTAAATGTCCTTTTGCACCTCCCCACTATTTAATCTGCCCTATCTCAGATAACAAAAAAGCTTTTACAAACTTTGTTTGTACATATCACATGGATCCTACTTTCACATTGCACAATAAACAATTGAGAGCAAAAAAGAAAAATTATTTGTGACTGCCCTAGCCTGCCTGCATGCATGTGATGCTCCACTATGCCATGCCATCAAAAAGCAGGAAATTCTGGCCTGGGAAAAAGAAGGAGAAGAAATAGTTAAATAACTGCCATCCCAAGAATAAAAACTACCTCAGAAATGAGAACACCAACTAAAATAACCAACTTCGGAATATACTTGTTTCTTTCGTAGGTTTATTAACTATAGATTCTTCTTCTTCATGTAGCTTAGCTTTTCGGTGCCTCTAATATAATGCATGCAATCAACATACCAAGACAACTACTTCTCCTTTTGTCCTTAACGCTATAGAGATTCGTAGAGGCGGCAAACATCCACTTCTTCTTTATATATATATATATATATATATATATATATATATATATGAGCAATTGTGGATACAACATGAGTTGTTGAGAATGTCTATGTCATCTAACATGTTTTCTTGAATTGGTTTATCACTTTATGTTGGGTTAATTTAATGCAGTCACCTTAAAACTCATGAGGGACTGAGGGAGTGCAATAATGTAATTAGTGTCTGTGCTATGCAGTTGAACGACTTGCCAAACTTATAAGAGAGTGCGGTTTTGCCACTTTTACTGTCCTATCGCACAAACGTAATTAGTACTAGGGAGCCTTAAGTGCACAACATGCATGATACAAATTGGTAGGGTTAAACGCTTATCATTACGTCGAAAGCTGTTTCGATATACTTGAATAGTTACGTTAGTCCCACATTTCGATGACAAAATGCACGACTCGCTCCTCCAAGTTGCTGTAAAACAAAAATTATTGGGGAAGTTATTTTCTTTCTTTGAAATATTGGCAATGGCATAATTTTGAGGAGGATAAAAGTTAGAATACATAGGAAAATAGATCACCCCACATGGGGGTCAAAAAAATTGCTAGTTTTGGCTATCCTTAACTTCACACCCATGTTTGATGCCACATGATTTCTGACTGTCCTGTATAATTGCAGTAATATGATTTGTTGTATATGTGTTTCTTGGTCTGATGCTTAGTCATTAAGGTTATGCTAATAATCTTTTTTGGTAGCTAGGACCCCATCTAAAGCATCCAAAGGAAAAGGGAACTTCCCATCAACAACAAACCTCTTATCCCCATGGGGCCATCTGTCCTCTGGAAAATAACTAATTAATTTATTAAATCCCCCACCTATGAGGCATATTCAATTAGAATATATAAAGTTTAGAAGTTTATACTTTGTGGTAAAATACTATAATTGTAATTTGAATATATTTGTATATGTTACTTTTATCAAATTTAATAAAAAAGATCAGATAATATAGTACAATTTTAAGTAACAAATATCTCGTTTTAGAGTGTACATAATTCCTATAAAGAGTTAATACCTTCAATGGTCTTCCGAGTATTAGCGATTTACCAGGCACCAGATGTGGTCATTCGAGTTTTAAATGACCTCCAATGATCCTCCGAGTATTAGCGATTTACCAGGCACCAGATGTGGTCATCCGAGTTTTAAATGGCCTCCAATGGTCCTCCATGTTTTAAAAAATAACCACCCGTGGTCCTAATTTTTAAAAAATCCGAATTTAAAATCATCACGAGACGTCTTAAAAGGACCACAGGTGGTTTTTTTTTTTTTCAGTGCATAATCCATTGATTATTAATATGATATTTGAGCAACTTGTCAATTTATGTTAAGATATTTAGATTAATT